CCCCCTTCCGCGTTGCATGAGGCTAAATAAACTGCAGCCACTTTTTTCTAAATCGAATTCAGGGGCTCCAATAAAAACATTTATCATTATTTTCATTATTCAAATGCAACAGAAGCGTGAATACAGACCCCAAAGTATTCGGTTGTTTCCCCCCCCCCCGATGCACAGCTATTTTTTTTGTTCGAGTTAAACTTTAGGTCAATACTGTACAATGAAAGTTGTTCTGACGCCAACTGACGGACTACACGTTGCACAGGGTGGTGCAAAAAGAAGGAAACCAACATGTGACAGGAATTTTTACCTAATTAGATAACTTATTCGACTGTTTTTTTTCCATCAATGTAGTGACGTACATGTATAGCTCTTTAACCATACGTGGAGAAAAAAAACTTTTAAAAATCGCAAGAATAGTGTTATTATGCTAATTGAATGCAAGTCACTAAAATCACTTTTGTCCACGTGTAAGACCAACTCATAAATACACGAGTATATACACACCACAATATCCTTTATCACTGAAAATACAACTTGTTTGAACAACACCGCTTAAAAAGAAGAATCATAAAACCAAAACAATTCCATTTGTATTTTGCATCCTCAATTGCCCATAAAAACACCGTACAAACATGACACTAAAATGGTTTCTTCTTAGTCTGAATATCAATAATATTGGAAGTCAAGGATACCCAGAATAATATTCTCAGACATTAAAACGATATATATCAATAAATCTATAGCCTTACCAACACAAAAAAAAACTATTTCGACAAGAACATATTTATATGCAAATTATTTAACACTTTTTTTGTACAGAAGTGCAAACTAAAACACCATTACCGAATCGCATCGAAAACCTTAAATATGACACATGTATATTGGTCTTGCTCGTTATTACAATTTTGGCACAGATTTGTCCTTACAATACAATTTGTCTCATGATCGAAATATACAGGAAAAATATCAGGTTTCTCACGAATCTGTCGTTATTATTCTTGACTTTAAAATAAACCTACACAGTAAGCAGTAATGCCGATCCTATATTTCATTTACAAATTGTCGACCATTTTATCGAAATACGAGTTTGCTTTTATTTTGGTTTGTTCATTTGTACATGACTTCCACTATTTTCTGGTGATAATTCAATTATTTTAACAATGCTAAAGAAAATTCCCTTTTCCCATCCAAAATGAAAAGATCATGGTTTAAACAAAATGAACAGATACAACACCAGGAATACACATATATTTTTATGTAAGTAAAAGCAGTCTATTTTCTTTTTCAGTTGGCACAGTTTTTAATACCGTTAGGTCTCTACACCCTGAGTAGGTTACATATTTCAACACCGACGTAAAGCACCCTGTTAATCTGGCCTGCATGTACAATGTTGCACTTCATTTGCAGTGATATCATACATACAACGCATGTGAAGACCAGCGGAATTCTTTGACAATGCCTGAAAAAAAAAAAAAGTGGACCAAGACGATGAGGTTTATTGCTGATCCAATCGAGTTTTTCTACTTCTTGGTTTCTGATAGTGTTTCGAGAATCAACTACGAAGACCTTAACTTTGTGATAAAACAAACACAGCATGCGAATATATCAAATTCATTTAATTTCCCCATTGCGTGGGGCTTAATGCAAAAACTATCCAGGCCCACATGTACTTTAAACAAATTTAGCCTTTTCACCTTCATACGAACATAACAGTATCTATAACCAAATTAACCAGCAAACATATCTGTCGAATTTGCTACATTTTACATGCCTGATGAGGATTAAATATTACCCTATTAAATTCATTAAATAAAAAAACATCTGGCAACTAGCCAACAAAACATTAATCAACAAAACATAAATCAACAGCCAAAAAAGGCAAAACCCAAGCCGTAGATCAACATTTACAACAATGTAAGAATGGAGCTACATGTACATGTACATAACGGAGAGAGACCCCTTCACAGTTTTGAGAGATGTTTGACAACGGTGAAGGGAAACACGCCACCAAGAGGCCATTTACCATACCAAGCACAATTCAGAATGAGGGCAGTATTAATGATCTACAAGAAAATAAGCCCGTATTGGCAGACAGTGCGTCGAACAGTGCATTGACACCTCGTCATAACGACAAACTGCTACATGTATTTAATGAATCTAAGTGATTCTGAACACATAGAGGGCAGTAGACATTTGCAACAGTGATTTATCTAGAATCTGAATCGGTGGCGGAGGCTGCCACAGTATGCAAATGGTTTATATAGCCAATCACAGACATTCAAAAATGTCTCTCTTAGGAGAGAATTCCCGGGTTTTTTTATTAAGTAAATGAAGGCTGGAAAGTCAATTGTCAAACATGAAGCTTTTGAATCTCAAACACTAGGATCCAGGAATACCACATACACAAGAGACCGTCGACTTTACACTTTGTATCAGGACATTTTTTGTAGTGCAGTATAAAACAACAGAGAAGTTTTTGTTTTGTTTTAGGGGGAAAAACAACTTTGCATCGCTTCACAAAGTTAAAGCAATTTATGCTGTTAGCACCCCAAGAAAACACACTTAAGGAATGCTTGTATATTCCTACATGGAACATTACATGTAGGCCTACCTGCATCATGTTTTGTCACTGAAAACTATATGTAACCTGCCGAGTGTCAACTCAAGGTGTGGCTTTTCTAGATTTGGAATGTTCTCACTACATTAACCATAACTCCCTAGGAACTGGACCAAGTCCATCAAAATCCATCAATCACTGTGCGTCCAATACAAAGCTGTACATACATGTAATGGACTCCACCACTGACACACTGGTTGACATTCATGGACTTGCTACACATGGCTTTTATCACAATAGCAGTACAGGAAGCTAGGCAAAATCAATCGAATACCCCTTGCACTGCTTCAGCCCATTAGGCCCAAGTCCATCACACTATCAATATTTAGTCACACCAGGCTTTCTGGATGAAGTCCCCCAAAATCCAGCAAATTGGGGGACGGATTTTGAGGGAATTGGGGTGGTTAGGGTTAATGTGTCACTTCAACTTGGAGCTCTGCATGTAAAAAAAAAATGATTTGTTTAATGCCTAAAATCTTTCAGAACTCCAGCCATAAAGAACAAGTAAACACACTTATTCTCCGACGATGGTATTTACAAAAAAAACCTCTCCCTCAAGTAGACATCAAATAAATAATTCTTTTATATCGTAAGATTGAGACATTGTTTTTGCAAATTACAGGTATACTTGTATATAATGTTCTTTCCAAGTTACAAGTATGTTGCCCATTTAGATTTGTTTTTCATGAACAGTTACCGAATTGCCGAAAACATACTCTCACCAAATTTGACTTCATATCCATTTTGTTTTTAGATGTCAGATTTTCATTTTCATTCCTTTTCTTTATTTCAATAAATAATTTCCATACGTTTCACAGAATATGGTGGCAGTGCACTTGCTAAAAAAAAATGGTAGGACTGAAACAAAAAATTGAGGTTTCACATCCGAACGGGTACGTGTGTCCGCGCACATTGAGCTATCCGTATTCGTTATCGACCAATTGGTTGTTTCATATGTGTAAAATTGGAACTGTTACTGATAAAAGCAGTTTAAAATCCAAAATGGCAGCCTTGGGTGAAAGCCTATCTTGCTTTGAAACACAGACATACGGCAAATAAACATGCTCAAATTTCATCCTCTTTCAAGCAGATCATGCATATGTACATGTACATGTACATGTAATTAAGTGACTTGTCGAAAGTTTCACAGTGATGTGTAGTACGCGATATATCCATGAGGTGATTTTGCCTAATAAAATTAAGAACCAGGGCCTTTTCCATACCAGGATTTCGTTGTTAATGTTTCACCCAACCCACTGTAACATTATCGGGTTAATCCCTTAAGGCAATTGGCCAAACAACAGGTGGCCAGTCCACACACTCTGGAGACACAGTCATGAATTTCTATACGCCAGAGGACAATGCTTTGTGTTTCCCTTTGTCCCTGTAATATAACAATCTCCCATAGACTAAGCACATAACCGTACAATCGAGGACCGTTTTCAACAAAAGAACCAACGCTCGAGGACTGAAAGGATCTTTTGTTCTCCCTTTGTGTGTCTGTCCTCTGTACACACAGACATTTATACATACACCATGCATACAACGGTGTACATATGGACATAAACCTAGGTACAGTCTCACAATTCAGCATTTTTGGTTCATGCACCATTTTCAACAATTCAAAAAATAAAAGATGGTTTCATTAATTGACAAAAGCAAATATTACATTGGCTATTTAAGTTATGAAAATCCGCTTGTGTTTAGAAACATATGGGCATGCCACACAAGTCGTTCAGTCAAGCGATACCAATTGTTCCCTGCTGGTGTTAGGCATTCATCTGGTAATAAACTCCCCCAAGGGGAATACAGCTTGAGATAAGAGAGGCTTGAAATCCTGGTACGGACTCGGGCAAAAACCCGAACATAAGCTCTGTACTCTGGTTTTCTGGGATAAGAGGATTCAAGGCATGCCATGCCGTGTAGCAGAAGCATAGCGAGTTGCGTGTGACGTCACAAGACCACACAAACTGATGACCGATCTGGCGCACATAAGCCCGACTCATACTTCATGCGAATACGAATCGAACTTGATGTCATGAAACATTCGCTGCGAAATTTGCCCGAGTTGAAAATGTGTTCAACTTTTGCAAATTCGCAGCGCGAATACTTGCCATGACGTCACAGATTCACGTTCGTTTTCGCTTTCGCGCCGAGTATGAACCGGGCTTAACCGTATCCGTTCGCTTGCGAAATCTCTCTTATGCACAATGCCAATACACGTATGACATAGTAATACCGCAAGTAGGAATGTATAGTGTCTCGTAACTTTTACCCAATATACTGGCCTGATGTGGCCAGCTGTACATGCATGCATATCTACAAGACAATGTCAAGCTCACTGGAAACCCACAGACACTACGTAAATACTACAGAAAAAAGTGTCTTATTTTTTTTTACAAAGAAAATATAGTGCGAGGTAAATAAGTGCATAAAGTCAAATGTCAAAGGTGAAATGTGAAAGCCAGGTGGGTTCACTATAAAATAGTGGCATCTTCACTTTATTAGGAATCTGCTACGAAGAAAGGCGTTGTATTGCAAGTTACTACTCACAGCTGTCTTGCACTGGAAATCACTGAACCGAGCAGTTCAGCATCTGAATATAATGGTTGAAAAAATAAAATACATGTATGTGTTAAAGGGAAAATACAACATTTGCAAACATCAAAAAATAAAACTACCAAATCTTTTTGAAATACCTTGCTGGACTGTTAGTGAATGACAGTGTAAAGCATCCTGTAAAATCATGGCACCTGGTATACTGTCATTTTCAAGAAAAGTGGTATTTTTGTATCAATTTCCAACGCTGGTCGGCTGACCAGCATTGGAAAAAACTGGCTTTTTTTCAGATACTGGCCCCAATTGACCATCGCACTTGTTTGCCATCGATTACACACCTATGAACGGGTACAAGCCAGCTAGACTGGTTCCCTGACCTTACAATTCCCCAATGTAAACTGCTCTGTTTCTTCTTAAATGGAGTCAGGGAACCAGACTACAGGAAAATGATTGTTTTCTTGGTTTTTATAGCATTTTCGAACCCAAAACCTCAAAAAAGTCAGTGTAACTATATTTGCTATATATTTTCAACCCCCAATTCCATCCATTTCTGAAAATTACAGCAAAAGCAAATGATGTATATTCCCTTTAATGGACCAGCTACGTGTATAAGTGACAAAACTCAAGTAATACAAATGATGAACATGTCAACATTCAAGGTTTGCTATACAGTGGAACGTCCCTGTACCGAACACCACTATACCGAACATTCGGCTATACCAAACATGGTCTTTGGCTCCCGATTTTTGTGAACAATATGTACCGAACATTGTTGTTGAAAAATGTCAACAGAAGAGGGAGAAGTGGCTTTTATTTCCCCAAGGAATAGAAGGGGAAACCCATAAATAGTAAGCTCAACAACTGTGTAGTTACATAATTCAATAGTTGGCACTTCAAAGTCGTCTTTCAAAGTCGTCTTTCAGAGTCTTCAAAGTCGTCTTCAAAGTCGTCTTTCAGTAACTACCAGGGCGTGCAGTGTGAAGTTCTGAAGGGCACTATTTATTGAAAAGTGAGTACCAGAGCACCAACAGCTTAAAATCGCTACACAGAACGATCAATATTACAAACGATTTCTGTGGATCCCGAGATTTTAGTTATAAATAGCAGTGTTCCACTGTACAGCATAAAGACATGATGAGTGCATTCAAGCACTGATTTTAAAATTTTTTTCAAGCACCCTCACAGCGAACAGTTTAATATGTTAACAGCGATGAGGCGAGTATCAAATCTACTATTGAGCCCTGTTCCCATTGGACCTTTTGTTGTAAAAGTAACAGAGATTGTTGTTAACTTAACCAACTTAAGCCCAATGCAGACAGCTGGTAAACCGGTCAATTGCTCGTTTTACTGTCCACATAGTACAGCGGTCAGGGCCAACTTGGTCACGGAAGAATAACATTGTTAGCTTTACATGACTGAAAAGTCCCATGTGGATGCAACTGCTTTGTAAAACTAAGGCTATGATCAAGTGACTTCTGTGTGAGTCATCTACCGGTATATCTGACCCCCGCAATTCAGGACTTCATTCTTTTTAAGTGATATTCTAGCGTATTTTTTGCTGTGTGCTACGATATTGTTTGATGCGTTTTTCCCATAGAGCTATATTAAATTACTAGAGCGCTGACCCATGTAAAAAGTGATACCTGCTGGGCGCATTCATGTTTGTGCACAAACCTATTGAAAACTCGAAATTTTGTACGTCTTATGTACGGCTATTTGCATATCTGCGTTTGTATTCTATACAGGTGCGTTATTGAAGCTGATATGCCCAAAACTGCAACGCACGATCAGCAAATGAGTATTTTATTTTGCTTTACGCACAGCGCTGCAGATAATTACCGTGATTTTTAAAAAAAAACCATCGTGAGGCGCTTAAGTTGTTTGCGTACATTCTACTTGCGCGTTGCATTTAGAGTACACTTTCAAAATCAATCCATCTAATTTAATTATGTTCTACAAACACGCACCAAAATTCAAAAGCTCTGCGCCCAGAGTGGCTTCAAAGCGTCTCCGCGCGCAAGAATGAAGAGTTAGCGCTCTAGTAATAGCTCTATGGTTTATCCACAACAACATTCAGTGTTAGTTTAAAAGGTCTATAACAGGACACCCTCATAAGAGAGCAAGGCACAGTAAAGTGAATGCAATGAATGACTTTCCACAGGCTGAAGTTAGTCCAAAGTGTGAACGCAAGTTAGAATAACCACTAGGGAATGTTAGCGATTGCTCGTGGTAACTTTTTACAAAATGAAGTCCAACGCGAAAGCTGCTTTAGTCCGTGCAAGATCTGTCATTTGCGGTCCATGGACGCTCTCCTACCTATCATTTCTGGATACAATGTACTCACTTGACAGAAGACAAAGATAAGGCACTAGGCACGGCCTGCGACTGCTTATTCATCATGACCTGGCTTTGGTGGCGTCTGTCTGTCCATACGCCATGCACAGCGAGTGATCCCTGACGTCGCCCCACCCTCCATTGGGCTTGGGCATCTTAATAACAAATAACAATAATAAATACAACGTTGTAAATAACACCACAAGGCATTTACATAAATTAAAAGAATCATAAACTATAACATCAAACTCCATATAAATTGTATTTAATTTAAATAAGGTATTTGGAAAACAAAAACAAATGCATAGCAAGCTAATGAAGAACTCAAATAACAGTTCACGAATAAGTTTTAAAAAAAGGAAAAATAAAGGAACTTAATTTTAACCAACATCAAAATTGTTTTAAAAATGAACAGTCACAAAAACAACTAAAATCAACACTAGATCAAAAAGTAACAGACATGAAATCAAAATGTGCATTTCCCATACCAATCAAATGAATGCTTATAATATACCACCTCAATTTTGGAAGCAGCTGGCCGACGCATTTGTGTTCATGCATGTGTGACGTGATTGTGTCGGGTAATTTCTGGAAGGAGTAGTGTTTTCAGTACGAACATCTGGTGTTTGACTACAGTGGCCCAATTGTCCATGACTGCAATACATTGGTAGGGTCAGTAGAGACTTATTAAAGTGTCACAAAAACCTGAGGAATGATTTGATATATACCCATTTGCAGGGCTAAGAGACAAGGTGATTTAGAGTCATGCAAGGCTGTTGCTGACGTTTGTTACTAACTAACTAACTAACCAACCAACTAATGGAGAGACACTAGTACTTGTAGAGCTGCTGTCCACAGCTAAAAATAAAAATAAATCAGATTAAGGAGTCATCTCATTCTATCATCTGGGATAAGTTGCCAACAAGTTAATATCCACAATTGATAGGCTCATTGTATTAGGTATGAATAGCAGGATTCTAAGCAATTTCACCAGAAGCACACTGCACCCAAGTTAGCAGTTTGTAAACAATGCAGGAAGTTTCCAGAGAAGTTGTTATGAATCCTGCAAGTAATACCAAATGCAGTGAGCCTACTGTGAATAGCTTTGTCGGTAACTTATCCCAGATATTTAACAAGACGACTCCGTACTACCTTGCGATACAAGGCGCGTGTCAGCGGGGTCATGGTGAGACTCTCGGGGAAGAGGTAGTCACTGCTGGAGGCTACCACGCTGTCCAGCTGCTTGACCAGCTCGGCCGCGTTGCACTTGCCTTTGTGGTGAATGCCGCTGCACAGAGAATGAATAACAAAGCCAAATCAATTTCAGATCATGTAAACCAGGGCCCAATCTCATAGAGCTGCTTAAGCAGAAAATTTGCTTAAGCACGAAAAAACATTGCTTAGTAAAATTAGGTTTCCAGCCAAAACTCCATGTGATGTACATTGCTTGTGACTGGTATTTAGCTGTTGCTTACTTAGCATAACAATCGCATGGAGTTTTGGCCGGTAACCTGATTTTATTAAGCAAGACGTTTTTGTGCTTAAGCAAATTTTGTGCTTAAGCAGCTCTATGAAATTGGCCCCAAGCATGAAAAATTGTATGGAGCAAGTATCATTACATTGAGCAAGAGGGTGAGATTTAAACACCAGACGGAAAAAAATCCTCGCCTTCAGAATCTGCCACTTTCGACTTGGCATCCTCTTAATGTCGATACAGTGCTGGAGACGGTAGCAGAAGGCGCGTGCTGTGGCCGAAAGCTTCTGAAGGAATGCAGGATCACCCGTGATGTCACTGCACCTCCTCGATTGATTGGTGTAACACACGATCGAGGAGGTGTGGAATGACATCAGGGGTGACACCGCATTCCTTCAGAAGCTTCCAACCGCAGCACGTGCCTTCCACCACCGTCTCCAGTGCTGTATCGACATTTTGAAAAGCATTTTTTTTTCGTATGGCATTTAATCTCATCCTCTTGCACAAAGCTGAAGGAACTTGCTACATAAAATTGTTCATGCCTTGTTTACAGGATCTGAATTTTTTGGTTTAGTTCCATTGGTAAACAACAGAGTTATTTAGGATCAAAAGTAGGACATGTTTTATTTGACACGAAGTACATCTTTGACAACTGGAGACTGTCTTCCGGTGTTGTCAAGATCCTCCCACAATGATGCTACATACAGCTACTCACCATTCACCGATATGAAAGATCCTTGGTGCTTTGGGAACGATAACTGACAGGCTGGGCTTCAAGCAGGTCAGACTAACATGCTGTAATGTCCAGTCCCAGTTGTAATCATCGTAATTGCAAAATTCCTGAATGCCAAAAAAACCCCAACAAAACGACAAGAAATTAGTCAGTGTGAAATAATATTCTAGGTGGACCCTGCCACCATATGCTGGCCCTGGTTCCACACTACATGTAAATAGGTCTGGTATACATGTACATGTAACCGTGTAAATATACATGTACATGTACATGTAACCGTGTGCAATAATCTGCATATTGGACACCTTTACAACTAACAACCTACATACATGTACATGTAACCGTGTAAATATACATGTACATTTTGTACATGTAACCGTGTGCAATAATCTGCATATTGGACACCTTTACAACTGACAACCAGAACTGTGATACATGTATTTTAATATTTTTTATTGGATTTTTTGTTGTTGCTTTTTTTAGCACATGAAAAACATGTACATGTCCCTTGTTTTAAAATTTATACCATTTCTCTTACATCCATTTACAGTGCCACTGGTTTACAACCAGAAGAATATCTTTTTAAAATAAACTTCATATTGAAACTGACGACGCAAACTTCCTAATTCTACTAGTTTCTAGCTTAATAAAGGAAATTGACCGATGTGGGTTTCGAACCTCTGAATTCCGGAGGGAAAAAAACAAGTGTAGCTTTTGTTCTTTGGAGCTGGCGTGACAAGCCCCTTTATTCCTTCTCTCAGTCAAAAGCAGAACTTTGGAGGACACAGGGACGGGGGACAAGATTATCAATTTCCAAAGAAATTCTGAAAATTTGATGAAGGTCTGAAAGATGCAAATATCTTTCTATACTGATAATGTCTTTTCTGAATTCAGACAAGAGTCTGAAAAAAACCCCTCATGCCCGAGGACAAAATCAGTGTTACTCGTACTCGTACTCGAATGTCAAAGAACTCGTACTCGAAATGACGGTACTCGTACTCAGGCAGCAAAGTACTCGTACTCGACATGTCAAAATTGTACTTGATCATCAAAGTACTCGTACTCGAATAGCAGTACTCGGGAGGAAAATGTTCTTATTTTATAGATACTTTCAGTTTGAAATGGTTGATTGGCTTGTGGAGAAATCGAAATTTCCCGATTTTCCTCTGTGCACGTCCGGACAAACACATTTTAACAGCTGGCCGTGGGTGGGTCTGTATATCGGTCTGACTGGGCCTTGGCCGATTACGCACAATGAACCATTTGCTGTATGGCTGTATTAGGAAATATAAGTACTCGTACTCGTACTCGGAAGTACAGTACTCGTACTCGTACTCGTACGTACAAGTACTCGTACTCGGAGACCTGTTCTTGTACTCGCAGATACAAGTACTCGTACTCGGCAACCTAAGTACTCGGCAGTACTCGGTACTCGGAAAAAAGTACTCGACTACAACACTGGACAAAATCAGGATAAAAGTAGGACTTTTGCAGGCTTTCAGGAGTAGTTTTCATTATACACACCCATGTCCACAGCACCATAAGCCTCATTTGGCATGTTCTGTACTCACAACACTTGTGCTCCATCCTCAACTATGCTCTTGGAAGTACAATTGCAGTTCTCCTGTGCCCAAGCCCTTCATTGTGTGATTTACATCAGTACATGTAACAGTGTGTAACACCGTTATGAAAAAAAATATTCAATGATATTTCATTTTTTGAAGTAGTGGGACAAAACAGTTGGAAAATGTAAGAATTTCAAGAAAAAAAACTAGGAAAAGTAGGAGAAAGGTAAATAAAACTTGGAAAAAGTAGGAAAAGTAGGAATATTTGACAGTATGCGATCTTACTTTCACGCATGGCTGAAGTCTGTCCCATGTGCTCCTATCCAGCGCCATGCCCATATTGTGCCTAGAAGAATAGAACTGTAGAACATCAACCTGCAATTTGATAAGACATAACGACCACGAGTAACAGCTTATAATCCAAGGATAAACATTCAGGAGCCATTCTAAGCACTGTCGATATCAGAATTTTCAATAATCAATATATCAGAAATCCTACATCAAGAATATTTGATATATCGATTATCCCATGTAAATGGCACTTTGATTAAAAAAAAAATCCAGAGTCCCAATTTTCCACGGCTTTCTCTGGAGCATATTGCTCAACTTCTCGGCAATGAGACTTGTGTGAAAATAAATACATGTACATACACATTTTGTATGTGCTCTACTTTATGCTCAAACACTGAAATACACACGTTCATGTACAAAATGTACATGACTTGTACCGTATTTCCCCTATCCTTGTTCCCTACTGTATTTCCCCTATCCTTGTACCTTACCGTATTTCCCCTATCCTTGTACCTCCTACTCTTCTCGTAGGTACCTAACGTGAAAATATCACACTCCGAACATTTGCTGTAAGAAGAAGGAACAAAATACAGGATGAAAGCGGGCCAAGTACTTATTCTTGGACTCTTTTAAATTGGAATCTTGATGATGACTAAAAATGTGGCGCTTCCGCCACAGTAAACTGAAGGATCCTTGGTTATAAATGAGGTTCCCCCATGCAGGCAGCCATTAAATCTATGTCCGAGGTTCCTTTACATAGCAACCTCTGCCATATGGCAAAATCTGTTTGATTTCAGTTCCTCCTCATAGGAACCTCTCTATTATGACAAATGTATGAGTTACATGTAAGTTTCTCTGTGCAGGAACCTTAGCAAAGAATGAGGTTCCAATATGAACATGTAGGAGGCTCTGTTATAGCTGAGGGTTATCCCACATGATTTCTCTGCTGTTTTACGAAATTCTATTTTGACTGAGGTCCCCCCTTGCAGGAATCTCAATTATGAGTAAAGTTTCTCTATGCAAGAACCTAAGTAAAGAATGAGGTTCCGCCATGTATTGTAGGAAGACCTGTTATATTTGAGGATCCTCCACATATAATATACTGCTGTTTAGAGATTCTGTTTTCACTCAGTGAGGTTTCTCTATGCAGGAACCTCAGTTATGAATGAGGTTCTTCAATGTAGGAGGCTCTGTTACATCTTAAGGTTCCTCCACGAAGAAATTTTTTATGACTGAGGTTTCTCTGTACAAGAATTGTGAGGTTACTCCAGAAGAGAATCCCTACTCAGGAATATCTGACTTGAGGTCCCTGCACATAGGAAACATCAAGAGGCTCCATTTCTTTGTTACTGTCTATCCACTGTTACTTGTGACTGGTCTTGTGAAAGGACCTGTGGTTTACTTTTGACCAGACTTGTGTTGGACTTGTGAGAGGCTCAATTACAACAAGAGGCTCAATTACAACACTTATATTTCAGGATCATTCCCAGAGTGTATACACTCCACAGCTTGGTGGTACATGTACGTGTAACTGTCCAACACTAACCTGCCTTTAAGCTCATACATCTTTTGCAACATGTAGTAGGCGTCAGGAGTCATGTAGTGATCCTCTTCAATAAGCAAGACAAGACCTTTGTGGTTCTTGGTGGCAGAAAGGCCACCAAATACATGCTGAAGCTGTAGTGACATAAAAACATGTACAGTTTGTTCATGTAAACTAGACAAGCATAATCACACATCCATTGTACATGTAAGCAAGTTTTGTTCAAAACGAGGAACTACCGGTACCCAAACAAATGGGGCCATTTTGTTTTTATATATCCCAACCCCTCCCCCCCTGAAAAAAAAGATAAACAAAACTTATATTTGACCAATGAGGAGAAAATTAGCAGAAACAAATCAATTGTCCATAATAATAATTTAAAACTATTAAATAGGCCTGCATCTAGCACAGCAAAAATCACACAAATCCTCATGAAGTACACCCACTCTTGTTTTACTATACTCACGAGGACAGTGCTTTGTGTTTCCCTTTGTCCCTGTAATACATGTATAACACTTTCCCGCAGACTAAGCTCACAAACCTACTACAGAGGACCGTTTTGAACAAAAGACCCAACTCCCGAGGACTGAAAGGATCTGTTGTTTTCCCTTTGTACATTGTATGTCTGTCCTCGAGGGTTATGTAGAACAAGTACATGTACCAGTATGCGTTTATCTATTCAACCAAATCACCCTTCCGCTTCAAGTCCAATGTACGGCCAGTGGGTTTCTGATTCAAAAATGCCCGTTTTCATTTTTCAACCACAGAAGTGTGTTATAAGATAATCAGTTTTCCATTTTATCATACTGTTTTTTTTCACAAATTTGTACGGGGTAACTAAAATCTTTTCTAGGTTTATCCACTGAGCTCCTAAAGTACCAAAGTAATGTCGGTGATGCTGCAATTGACCATGTCCAATGTGTAAGTACAAATGTACATTTATAAATATACATGTATCCCTTCTGTACACAAACTAAACTTTTTTTTGAAAAAGCTCAAATCCCTCTCAAGAGAATTTCTCTGTTTTGCATTCTGTTTCCACCAAACATGCCGAAGTAGAAGAACGTTGGTCCTGCTAATTGAAGGGGGGGGGGGGGAAGCTCAGCACAGCCTGTTTCCAGTGTACATGTAGATTGTAGAATGCCATGGTCCAGTGGTTACATGCTGTTTGTGCCCTTGGGCAAGACACTTAACTACAATTGCCTCTCTCCACCCATGAGTACATGTACGAATGGGTACAGAGGACCGAATGTACTCTGATATCGGCTGCCGCATGGTCTCGTTGGCCTAATGAACGGTAGAATACTGTAAAGCCTTTTGAGATTGCTGATACGATGGAAAGTTCTATACAAGCACTACAACTTTGTTTGTTTGGTGTTTTTTTTTAGTTCCTACGTACCTTCCAGAACCAATGATGCTTGGTCATGACAAACCGCACCTCACGGTAATGACCATACTTGTCCGGATGCTCCCAATTGTTACACTTTATCTCTTTGGCTCTGGTTAAAAAAACAACAGAACAGCAGAAAAAATCAAATAAACAAACAAACAAACAAAAAGGAAGCACATGTACGTACACTGTACATTGCTAAATATACGATGGCATACCACTGCCACTTGACATTTTCACAAAGTAAGGCAAAAGAATTGAATATTTTATGTGATTTCACCCTTTTATAATTTACAAATCAGAAAGGCACAGCTGTTCTCCCTGATGGCACAATAATTGTTCTGAAGCAGGTTAACACTTCACTTGTGATGGTAATTATTTTACAGGTTTGACCATGGTGTGAAACTATGATAAGGCCGTTTGTGTCCAAATGCTTTTAACGTACATGTCCTTTATAAGTGTGTTTATGCACTTGATTTTAAGCAAAGGGGCAATTCCACGGTTACTCACGTTACATTTTTGATGTACTTTTGAGTTTCCTTGGGCTGTAATTACCTTACTGAAAAGGTTTAATAACTGTTATCCCCATGGTAGATAGAGTAGACCTACATGTAGACCTACCTAAGCACCAAAGATGACATCCAGAAAAATGTGTTATGTATGATAAACAAGACGCACAAAATCGGTTACTCACATTACATTTTCGTAACATTAAATCAAAAATGTAACGTGAGTAACCGTGGAATTGCCCAAAGGCAGAAAAAAATCCGTACATGTAGCATACATTGCATCAATAGCTGTACATGTACAAAACATGTACATACATGTAATACATGCAGGAACATACATTGTATGTACTGTGCCAAAACACATACCGGTATGTGCTGGAACAACTGGTATTTTTTAAGTGACGTCGCAAAAAAGGACAGCCACTGCATGCGCACACCACGAACAAAACTCAACGAAAGCAATACACTGCCCCCCCCCCTGCTTTTTTCATATTTAAATTAGGGTGGAAATTGTTTGGACCCACTGTTTCGGGGAACAAAATCCGGCCTTGTACCCAACACCTACATTTAGGCTACATGTACAGGTACATGTAAATTTTTTGTACACATTACACCAACCCATTGACAATATGTACAAGGCATACAATGAAAGAGGCACCAATAAAGTGCACCCGTAAAAACCTAATCTTGAATGTGCTCAGTGGACTGTGTCGATTCTTTGACACACAACTTCAGAACTGCCATACAGTGTCAATTGTACCCAAGCATTGTTATGGTGGGCTCGAAAAAACCAATGCTGTACCAGGCTACAAAGTACCGGTATGCTCATTATACAATGAACCATACTTAATGTAACCAAAAATGTGGGAAAATGTGGCTTGTGGGGTCCAGATGTGCAATAAATGTGATATTCCCCCCCCCTCCCCCCTATCAATTTGTTTGACAAAATGGTTTCATTTTGCTGCCGCGCAACACATGGTATCGCTTTGTAGCAGAGCAAAATTAGCATTGGGCTACTGTTAACTCAAAGCCATATGTGCTGTTGTCACGGTTGATTAATTTAGATTAATTCCAAAATTTACATGAACGATTTTTACTTTTGAGCCAGAGAACTGGTAATAATCAACTGAAATTACATATACATGTGTAGAGCTGAATTGCAAATACAAAATATGCAAAGGATTGGGATATTACTTAAATTTTAATGTCTGACACAATCACTACATGTACAATTTACATGTACGTGTAGGTTACTGTGCATTGAATTGGTGGGTCCAGGAGGGGGAGGGGCAACAGGGGCCATCCCCCAAGGATTTTTTTAAATCGGAAGAGTGAAGACACAGTTTTGTAATAAATTTGCAGGAAATCAATTAAAACGTTGTGCATCTCCCTTACAACCCATCAGCTACAATGTACACATGCCTTTAGTTTTAAAATTACAATGTGGTAGCAGCAGACAATAGGCCTACCACTTAATATCCTTCCCCTTTTTAAATTTCGAGACCTCTTCCACAACACCCCTTCCCCCCTCCACCTCCCCCCTCCCCAAAAAAAATGGTTCTGGATCTTGTGTCAGACATATGTGTATAAATGTGTTATTGCTTGGGGACGTTTTTTTTTATTTTTGAAACCTATACATACATGTATGTAAACACCCATTGTTCTTCTTTCAGACTCTTCTTCAAAAACAAAAGAACGTCATCCTTTTTAAACTTTAAGGCAACATGTTTGCATGTTAAAGCATTCATAAACTACTGTTATGATTAATTCGGTTGCGACACCCACTGCTATATCAGATTCCAACCAGCCAGCCAACCCATCAAGCTGGTGGTCAATGGCAAGACGTCTGCATTAGTAAGCAGGAGGTCGTGGGTTTGAGTCCCACTTGAGTAGCTTGTGATTTTTTTCTCACGATCACTCGGAACAACACCGAGTACACGTATACACCGGTAATGTTTATAAAATACATTGGTGAAGGGCAAAACCCAATATTGAATTTACATCGCCCCGACGTAAATTCCATTTTATAAGATATTCGCACGTACATGGGCAAATAACAAAATCAGTGCAAAAGAGCTAAAAACAGATGGAGTTTTTGGGTCTTACCTGTCTCTTTTCATGTCTCGAGGGCAATCGCCGGGATCCTCTCCTGGAAACTCTTTCTCGTAGATTTGCAATAAATAAGGATAAAAAATTTGCATAGTCTGTAATACAAGAGACAAAAAGATTCAGAATTATTTTTTCAATATAATAATTACGGTGCACATGTACTGGTAGCTCATTTTTGTTCATAAAAACTATATCCAGATATTCTTTTACAATGTATCAAATTCAAGAAAGATCTTGTAAGGTCTTGTTATAGGACACATTTGTACAACGTACTTTATCATGTAGATCAATGTATCTCAGTATAATACAGACTCAAGCCTTGTGATAATTTCTCTGATTCGTCTTGCAACCATTCACATGACAGATGGTCACAACAAATCTTCGAAGCAAGTTATATAAAAAACAAATTCTTGAACAAAACTTGGAAACTCATTTTCAAGGAAAAGATACGAATGAAACATTTTTAGCTTCTTTTTTAAAATTTGCATATACATGTATATGTTCATGGATGTGCCAAAATTACATGTACATGTAGTTGGTTCGATTTCGGGAAAGATTGCCAACTACACAAGTCCTGAGATCTCCAACTACTTGTACATCTAAAGTTTTAGCTGTAACTGAACTTTAACCCTTACTCTCTGAGGGTAGTTTACTGCATGTCAGTTGGTTATGCCAATGCCCTCCAGCTGCAGTTAATTGGAGGATAAACTATCTTGACTGTGAAGGCTCCAATTGGCAGGAGTTGGAGGCCCTGGAGGGTGCCTGATACTGACCAGCTGGGGGCACTCACTTTGTTATCAGAGGACTCTCATTGTTCTCTGTGGCATGTATTGGAGTGCCTGTCCAGTTACCCTTGAAATGACATGGCAGATATTGGAGGGCCATGCAAAAAACATAGGAGATTTTCTTGAGGCACATATTGGCATGCGTTGGAGGGTCTAGTAGGGTAAGGGTTACTAAATGTACATGCAGTTTGAGATTTCAAAACAGTTGATAAAAATTCAAGCAGCCAGCTCTGAATGTAAATTTGAAAATGATGACATTATTACCTTTTTTATTACCATTTATTACCTGTACCAACATCTCAACACTCATACCTGGCAAAAGTCAACAGTTCTGATGAGTGCGTTGATCTCCTCGGAATAATAGTCATGGCTGAAGATCAGCAAGGCATCCCCGATATCCCGCACCTGGCGTAAAGAATTGATAAGATACCGCAGATACTCCAGTCTCTTGTGAACCATGACCAGAATCACGACGCTGGCGTTGGATCGCGTCGGGAACCGGGCCAGGTTACGGACTTCCTCCTTGCTGTTCACGTCCAGGATGGCCTGCCGGATTCGCTCGGCTTCCCCGGTTCTGTTAGTCCTGACCTTGACGGGGTTGGCGGGCAGCACCTCGGGACCCGACTGCTTGACCTCCTTACCACGTTGTGGTTGACCCCGATGACCACCGCGTCTTGTTTCTTCACCCTCGGGTGCTCCTCGCTTTGTCCCTTGTTCGGTTTAACCGGCTGGACAGGCTTTGCAACATTCAGACTGTGGTCAGCACCGGCGTTGGCCCCACCAGCAACACCTCCATCCTGGTTCCCGTCATTGTCATCATTGGTCACCCTGTACATGGTGTACATAAGGAGGCAGGTGATGGCTATCGCCAGTTTATGGAGTCTTCTCAGCCTCATTTTGGACTTCACCTCTCCTTGTGTGCCCTGCCGAGAACACGCTCAGGCTCGACCATCAAAGTGGCCTCAAATGTATTTGTGGGTTACCTCTGCAGTGAGAAAACCGAGAAGAAAAACTTTGAACAATGCAACATACGAAGTACCATAGATTGCAAGCAAGTACATGTACATTGTACATGTACCTGTAATCTGCATTTGTACCACAATGGATTACAATTCTCGCAAAAAGTTCAATGCGTACATGCACATATTCATACAGTAGCAAGCAACGTAATGTTCAGTACCTGTACACGTACGGTATGTGTCTGAACAACCACCACAAGAGCAATGTATCTATCTGCGGTTGTGTTCCGGGTATTTATTGACAAAGCAGCAGATGGCTCCAGACTTGATGAGCCTCTGGGAAATTATACTTGCAAATGAACCCGAGACTGTATTTGCGAAATGCTTTGCTTTATAGCTTGGAGGATTTGCCTCACAGCTTTGTGGGACAGCGCCAATATGTACACTGGCTACTCCTCAGAGTATTACAAATGTAGGTGTTACATGTATGTGTGTATTTCAACAGCATCGTGGTCATGGACATGGGTATGGTCAGAGAAATTAAAGAACAGTCCGACATCATACATGTGTAGACATGTACTTTTGTGAAATACATGAACAATGTACAATTTATATGTTTTTGAGTGGTACAATTTCTCAACTGTGAAACTGAAGGATTGCCAACAATTGTTTTTCCCCAAACGTGATTGGTTCACAAGTAAAACTCTATCTTCATCAAGACAAAGTTTATGAGCTAATACAATTTGAATGCGCCCTTTTCATTGAAATGGGTCTTTTCAACAATTTTCCATATGATATTGGCGTACCCAAATGGGCTGGAAATCCACTGGATGTGTAGCTGCCTGATATAAAAGTTTATGATCCATTTAAATTTGTAATTTATTTTCCTGTACATGTACATGTGTATGGTACATTGTACTTCCAGCAGAACCAATTTCATACGCCAATTTCAATGCATGAAAACTGCCATTGAAATAACTACAGGCTCTTTAGTATGAGAGACTTCCTGAAGCTTGACAGAAACACAGTGAGTCACACTACGGTACTCCTGGAAAGTACACAGTAATTTTAAAGTACAGTACATGTCATGCATGTACGTGTACACTATGTGAAAATACATCAACGTTTTGATGCATACTTTTTGTAAGAGAAATAAAAGTTCACCAACAGTATTGTACAGTGTATGTGAACAGTGGCGGCCGCGGATGAAGGTTTGGCTAAATGATGGGGGTTTAGTCCCCCCCCCCCCAATCTGCTGCTGGTGAATGAAAAAAAACCACCAAATTACCGGTACATGTTTATAACTGCAGGTATCAGGCATCTGCGAAGTCACCCTCCCCCCCCCCCAAAAAAAAAAGGAAATTCAAATCTTTCCATGAATTATTAGGGGCCTATAGTACTAACAATCCACCTCGCAAATATCACAAACACCAAAACAAGGTTGGGCATGTTGTTATTAAATTGTACATAAATCATATTTTATGAGTGGTCTGATGACTGTACATGGTCATTGGGCAAGGTTTTAAGTGCTATACTTAATGTGTTCCATGTTACATGTAAGACTGACAAGGTTAGAAAAACAGTCTCTTGCTCCTAGCTAGCTGTTTGTTTGGATAGTACATTGTACATGTATGGCCTCAATTTGACAGCAAGTCTACATAATGACATATGGCCCAAACACATGGGGTTTTTGGCTAAAGGAGAGGTACGGTAAGCAACAAAAGGCAGATTTTATCGGATTTAAAAATGAAGATTGAGAAGAGCAAACAAACAGTAACCATACAGTTGCAGGGTGTCCCCAACCTTCAATGTAACAACCTGCTATGTACTATCAATGACAAGGTGCAACTTCAGTAATTAAAGGTTTCCAGTTTAAGAGTAAAAAGTCTTGAATGTCAAGTCTGAATTTAAACTGTACAATTTTCTGGATCACTTTTTCACTTCAAAGCCCAACATAAGTACACCGTACAGCTGTAAGCTAGTCATTAGTATCGTCTGCTCTAAAGTTCCGACTCTTTGGACTTTCTTACGTAGGCCTACCTTTCATTTTGTAAGAGCGGGACTTACTCTTATCACTTCCACACAGGCATCCTTACATTTACATTGAGTCAATATGCTCGAAACTTCATGCAAATCTTTAAATCTCCCTCACAGGAAGCTCAAATAATTGTACGCACATGTATTGCTGATCAAGTACATTTGGGGTACATTTTGTACATGTACACGTACATTGTACGTGTACATGTAACATCTTCTCAGTGGCATAATCACTGGGGGGGGGGGGGGGGGGGGGGGGGGGGAGAAAGGGGGAGGGGGAGGGCATGCCCCCACCCACCCACCCCAGCATATGCCCCCCCCCCCAAGTGGCCCCCATTAAAAATCTTGAGTTGAACAAAAATATGTTGCTCTCCTTCCCCCCCCCCCATAAAATAATTATGCACCCCTACAGTACATTGTACTTCCCCCAAAAGTTTAATCCTACATGTAGTTATACCACTGCACCTTCTCCTTGGAAGTGTACATATCCAGGGTTAATTACATAAATTAAAACAAAATCAATCATCTGGTTAAATGGATGACTAAAATTTACATGTGGCCAAAAAGTTTGAAAGTTCAAACACACAAACTATGAGTACATCATCATTATTTATGTATTATGTGGACATCTACATGTACATGTACAGACACATTTGTTTATGGTGTAAATTAAGGATTTTCTATTGTTCCTCTCCCTTTTTCCTTTGTTTATATTTCCAACAGCTCTCATTGGTTATGTACACGTTTTCTAATCAAGGTCGTCCTTGATTTGGTTCCTGTCCTCAATTCATGATGTTGCACATGTGTGTGCTCGATTTACACCATAAACACGCACAATGTATATAAATTAATGATAATAATAATAATGATAATAATAATTTGGGAGGCTATTCATCCTTACTCGCAGCTGGTATGCTGAATTGCGAAGGACGCGGCTACAACGTGGTCGGGCCGCTGGCACGTGAAGGCGCCTATGGCTGCCGGCCACATCGACCCATAACCACGGAGCACAGCTAAACCCTCGTGGCACAGGAGAGAACCAACGCACAACTCTACTCACATGCGATCCGCAGCCAGGATTCGAACCGTGGTCACCTTGGTGAGAGGCGAGCGCTTTACGCACGAGCCACCCATGCCACCCTAATTAAACTGTACATGTACATGAATACATGTAACGTGTATACGTAATACATGTACCTGTGCTTACATTTTTCCATCAGAAAAATTCCTGCAAACAATATCACCCAAGACATGAGTCATGCGTTTGACTTCACAGAAAGTGACAGGGGTCTTGTGGTGTAGACAAGGAAAGTCTCCTAAGTGCTGTACATTATTAAGAACCAAAACAAGACTTGTGAAAGCTCTCAGTTGGTCTCCCTGGACTCTTTCCTCTTAAAAACAGCTGACGTACAATATGCATACTGTATGACAGCTGTAACCACATACATGTACATATAGCTCCATGATATGAGAAAGCAAGCCACTACACTGAACAAGTATTGAAAGCATGCTGTTCTCATCACTGCAGGATCCAATTTGCAAACGGAAATTTATATTTGTATTTGTTAAATTTTTTAGCGCATGAGAACTTGACAAAATATGTGTTTATCGATTATTTTAATACCAACATTGCACAATGAACAAAATTTAACGGGAACAAATTCTGAACAACTTTTCCGAATTGACATCCTGTATCCTGCATCAATGTCCTGTGGTTTGACCATGTGTAAATGGTCCGTGGTTTGACCCAGTGCACATGTATTTACCTACATACATGTATGTACATGTACACGTCAATTGACAGATGACAATATTATGGACATACCGGTACATACGAGTACATGTATGTACCGTATGTTATGTAAGAAATTTTGTTAACTAAAATACACATGTATGTAAATACACACTGTGGATACAGGCCTACATGCATGACATGTACATGTAGTGTTCAAACACATGTTCGTTAAGTTTATAAGATTCACACTGAATATATCCGTAACGTACATTATTAATCAGTGATCATGGTGATTCAAATCATGTTCATATTCACTGATTCCAATCATGTCGATTTAATCACCGATTCAATTCATGTTGGTTGAATCGTTGATTTAAATAACGCTGATTTAGTCATTCATTAACAATGATGCTGACTAATTAAAGAGCACTGGGGCCTGAAATTCCTGAAAATTTCAATATTTTTGATTGTTGACAAATTTTATTTCAAACATCTGGTTAAAAGGAAACCAACCTAATGTTTTACCATTCCCAACAAAAGACCAAAAAACCCCACGTCGTATACATCGGACAGGACGGAGTACGCATGTTTTTCCTTTCGTTTTCATTCAATGTACGATAGTCCATACACGTTGTGTTTGTCACATAAATTACACACAGCAGCAATGCACAAAATTTGGTTTCTTCTTACATGTCCGCAGAAGGCGATCACTTTATGACTGGAATCACAACTAGCAATGAACGGCCCGAATTTTGGGGTTGCAAAAGTGGACCCAGAAATTCTTTCTCGCATGAATAAGACAAGAATTTATAACACAAAAATTGGGTGGCTCCGGCTGGCACGACACGTTGTGATGCGACGGCTGTTTCTTGGAATTTGGAAACCTGAAATGACCGGGCCGGCCCCAGTTCTGTCAAGTTGTCACAGTGGTGCCCAGCGAGGGGAAGGAACCAATCTGGTCAAATCCATTCCACAAGTAACAGCCGTTGCATTGCAACTCGTGCAGCCGGAGTGACAAGACAATTTGTAATTGTATAACACGATGTCACAGCTTTGGGGTCATCAGATTCTGGTGGAAATTTTGGATTAAAACTGTAACTGGACATTCCATAAAGAATGAGGGCACTTTTCATTACTGTATTATTATAGCCCATAGGCCCCATTGCATTAAGGGAAAGTCAGAGGAAAGAATTTCATACCTACTGGACATCATTTGACACCCTGACTGGTCTAAAAAATTCCCAAGTGTTTTCAGTGTTTTAATAGTTCGAAGTGGCTATCGTTACGGCATTCGTTGTTTAGCGCCCTCTACGATACTTTTTTGATACGCACGCAGGTATATAATTATTTGTTTCCCCAGAATTTGGTAAGCAGTGCGACAGCTCAGTCGATAGAGGGTAGGATTATGCACCGCGAGGTTGCGGGTTCGCATCTCAGGTTTGCACTCGATTTTTTTTTTCCTTTTCTAACCTGAGGCTTTGGAGGATTTTTTTTGAAAGGGAAATAAAGTCCGAATTTCATAACGTTCAAATTCACTTTTTTCCTTCTAATTTATATTTTCTTCTCATGTTTTTACAAAAGTTGCAGTACTACCGTAACGATAGAAAATGGGAAATGCGTTACGGCTGCCGTAACATTCAATAGCCACTGCGTTAATAGTTACTGTCATGACTGTCAGACTGTGCAGAAATAAAAAAGGCTACTTGAGCAGTGCTGAGGCTGCGAAACTCATTTGGGAATTGACAGTTGGCCCTACATTACAAAAAGTCATTTTTGAACAGAATTTAAAGTTAAACATATTTATTTTAAAAACAAAACATTTTAATAGTAACTTCATTCAACATGTTCAAGTCTTGAAATTGAATAAACATGAATGATCAAGATAGGCCCTACATGCCCTAAGGCTAAGCCAAATCATCAAATGGTCTGATGGTCTACAATTAGTACAAAGTACAAATGAAAGCCCTAACTTGAAGGCAAAGCAATTTTAAGAAACATACCAATGAATGAAGATTGTGGCAACTTTCCATTGAACACTACAATGGATATCAGTAAAGTACGAACAATTTACCGATCAAGGTAAACCCGGCAGCGAACTTGTCATGTCGTCCGCGGATCCTCCACGCATGAATGATCGATCTCTAATGATCGATCTCTCATGACCGTAAGGTCATGGCAAAATTCTGCTAAATGCGCTTCAAAAATCTGTCAGATTTATCAGAAATCTGCCAAATTCCCCAAATTTCCTCGAAATACACTAAAATTAACTCCTAAAAATCACATGCAGATTTGTAGTACTGCCTTAATTAAGGTTCAAATTACATTATTAACAATTTATAGTCACATAAAGATGTTATGAAATTACTAGTGCATAAATTTCAGGCAAAACGCGGTTGCAGCGTGAAGTCCGGTTCCCAGTGAACCTCAGCGCCTAGACCAGCCAACCTGTCCCATTATGCAAGGGTTGTTTGAAAAGATTGAAGATTTTTTAAACAAATGTACCATTTTTTTTCAAATTTGCTATTGTTTTCTGTAAATAACCATTTTTGCAGAATTCTGCCAGAAATCTGCCAAAAATATCCATTCTGTTAAATTTTCCGTCAAACTCGTTTTTTAACAAAAAATCTGTCAAAGTTAGCTGAAAATCGGCTAAAACGGTCAACCTGATCTCTAGCTCTATTTTGTGCGCAGCTACCTGAACTAGACGCACGCAGGATATCCACAGTTGACTGTTGAGTATGGGTACCAGACTTTACCGGCGATAAACTAGTCTTTGTTCAAGTATGGATTTGGTGTCCATCCAATGTAGCCGACCACGAATGTATTCGCTGTGGACACATCGAAGCACTTTGCTATGATGGGAGTTGCAAGTCAAGTTCTCCAATTCTTTTCCCTTGATATGAAAAAATCCTCCAAACCACAAATAAAAAAAAAAAAGACCCAAAAAATAAATTTTTAAGAGAAAAAAAATGAGGTACAGAAAAAAATATATCTAAACCATACCCAGTGCATGCTGTGGGTCTCAACTCAGTACATGACCAACAGTAGCCTTTAGTCAAGTCCCATGCCTTTCCCCGGACACGTGACGCACCCCGGATGCTGACACGTAAAAAGACTAGGACGAGCGGTTATGTTGATGCATTTTTGATGTACAAAAAAATGGGACTTTCCATTTTGAATGCCGACGGACCAGGGAGGGCAGTATTGCAGTGTTGAATACATTAGTTCACGGGTCAGGACTCCAAAATCCACCAATTATTGTTTCACCCGAGCTGGCAAAATGTTTTCATTGCTGTACATCTCTAGTTTATATATCTTGATATGATAGCCTTTTCAATGTAACAGCTTATTATTGATTATCACACCTTGAATGTCCCGACCCCATCTTTTTAACGTTTACCCATAATGGGCATCAGGAGGCGGGGCCACGACCCCCCACCCCCACCCCCACAATGCAACATTTTATAATTACTCCTGCATGAACGCGAATCTCTAGATATTTTTTGATTGATGAACATCTCAAGTTTATATTTTGATATGATAGCCTTTTCAATGTGGTAGCTATTATTATTGATTATCACCCCTTGAATGTCCAGACCAAAGATCCTATAGCGCCGCGTATATGATCTTTGGTCCATACCTTTTTTTTCAACGAACCCTTTCGGCATCAGGGGGCGGGACCACACCCCCTCCCCCCTCCGCCCAACAATGCAACAGTTTATAATTACAATTACTGCTATATCTAACAAAAATCTGCTAAATCACCCAGAATTAGCCTACACTAAACATTAAAAACAATTATACTCACATATAGATGTTATACGATTTTCTCTTTGAAAAAGCAAAAAAAGAAATAAAATGTAAAAAAATATATAATTTTTTTTTTAATTTTCTTTAAAAAAATGAGTAGGTTAATATTTTTTTTTTAAATTGGCCGCGTGTCTAGCCTATCTTCCATTGAGTTGCTTTACTTTGTAGTCGTACACGTCAGGGAATCTCAACGCTAGGAACATGCCTGCCTATCCCCGCTAGTATAGTATTCAAGGGTTTGTTTGAAGTGATTGAAGCATGTTCAAAACAAAATCTGCTATATTTTTTAATAGGATCACCGATTTTACAGAATTCTGCTAACAATCTGGTACAAATTTCCTTATGCTCTATAGATTTTCTACTGGATTCGCTTTTTTTTCAAGCAGTCTGTCAAGTCTAGCCGAAAATCGGTTAAAACGTATCTTGTGCGGTACAAATGTACACCATTTTCGTCTGCTCAATTTTTTTTTAACCAGACTCCCTCTTCCAATCAAATTAGCTAGATTGACGAGAAGACGTCACCAACATACTTCTGACCAATGAGAGATAGGCCACGCGAGCCACGCGTGCTTACGTCACGGATACTTCCTGGAACGCCCTCCCGTCTTATAAAAAATAGGGCATTTTTTTCCCGAAACTGATGCTACTCCATCTGGAAATGAAGACTATTCCATCATATTTGTTTCGTTTTCTGTAATTGACAATTTCCATACGTGATGAAATTTTTGGCATTATGTTTTATATGTATAAGTGGAGAAATTTAGAATGCGGAGAAATACACACTGAGTACTTCGGCCCAAGGCAGCGCAAAGACCAGTACGGAGCAACAGCCAGTGATATAAAACATAACACTTTTCACCTCCATATCATTACGCCATGGAAAATTACCGAGAACGGGGCCGGGTCAACGGACACTGTACTGGCGCAGGCAGCTCGCAATGTCTTCCCGCTATTTTTGGTCAGTCACCAAAAAATTGCCTCAAATTTCACAAGCACAACTTGATACTTTAACCTCCGAGTCTGCCGTCCAGCTTCAAGCCTCCAACACGGAAACTTGTACATCATACCATGGAGTCTTCATGGGCGCAAAAAAACATCAAATTTGGACGCTTGGAGTCTTGCAAATCGACCAGAACACCGGCCTCATGTACGGGGTCACTGCAAAGCTTCGACGCAGACATGTTGCGTCGTCGTCACCCATATTGAAAGACTGACTTGAACTTTGCTGTAGGCCTACAGAACTTGTCATAACTTTTGTTTTATAGAACTGAACTGGACTTCGCAAAGCATTCCTTTGAATGCTTATTTTGTGCTGTACTGAACTGAATGGACACGTGGAATTTTTGTGAACTCATAATTTTGTCGAATGATCGATGAATGACGTTTTAGGAAAATACTGAAGTCAAGCTTTTGGAGTACGTCGGGGTAAGTCCAACTTTAATTAAGGAACTATCGAGGTGAGTAAAAAATTATCTTCTCCTTCCGTCACACAGAACCAAAAGAGTAAAAAGCGTCCCAATATTCTGCACTTTGAGCAATACGGTATATGATATATCCGCCTGCATTTTAGACTTCATTTCGTAGAGAGGTGGAGTCAGAAAATATTCATTCTTTTCTTTGACTTTGATCCTTGAATCGCATTTAAGTAAAACAAAAAATGTAATGTTATCTGCAATAAGCATAATGTATTGCATTCTGTACATGACGTTGTATTTTGCATTGTTGTATTGTGCGATACAATTCTGCAACTCTCTTTAATTGAAAATTAGAATATCGACAAGCACGAAATAATCATGTGTGTTTGTTGCCAACGAAATGGCGTCCATTTTAGCCTACATTGAGTTAGTCTTTTTCATTGCTGAGTAACCTATTGTACGTTGAAATTCCATTCCTGTAGGCGAAAGCCTTTTTGATTTATTAGCATGTGAATACCTGCCAATTTGTTTGTCAAAATCATACATGCACATGCCTTTTGGTGCATTGCGCATTTCACGCATTGTGTCAAAAGCCAGCGCGTGGTGGAGTCTGCACGTGAGCCGCTCGTGGCCGGCGCAGTGTGGGCGTGGTAATATATTCCGGTGATTCTTATTGGTTGAAAAGTTGAAAGGCCGCGCGCGCGGTATGCGGCCAGGTGCACCGTTTTTGCTACACTTTCAAAGACATTCCAGCAAGGCAGGGGCTTTTAGGGATTTACTCAAAAGTTGGAGTAAACATGTTTAGATTTTCGTTGGAGGGTTCCTTGGAATTTGGATTGCCTTTTTGTTATGATTGTATTAAAATTACAGGTTTAAAACTTATACCAGAACAAATAGTTTCGGACTTTTATGTAATTATTTAAAGATGAAATGAACAACCTGAACACCATTCAATAACGGAGCCAACGGATTTTATCATAAACCTGAATTTATTTAATGTAAGCACACTATTTTGAGTATTAAAGGGCGGTATTCCAACGGACCAAAATCAATTTTCTTGGACAATGTATCCACGGATCTCAAATTTGTATAAACTGCTCAAAATAGTTGACTTTACACCATTAGCTTCAGGGTAACTTGTATATTATAAATAGTACTATAAGTTCAAGAGGACAGCAGAAGAAAAATATTGAGAGCTAAATTATTATGATTGTATAAATAGAGATGTTATAACAGATAGCCGACGGAATTATTTGAAACTCAAATGAATTGGAGAAGACCTGCTGTTGCGATCGAGACCAGCGAAATTCGACGTTTGGAGGAAGGCAAATAAGGCAAAGTTATGATTGTATTAAATGAATGTTTAAGGTTCAGGTTAAGGCATAGGATTAAGGCGGGGTAGGTTGGGGTATAGGCACATGGTGCGCGTAGGCAGCCGAGCACACCAGCAGCAGCGTAAGGGAGCTTGACCTGGCACAGCCATGGTGTAAAAAATAACTTCTAAAAATATTTTAACAATACAATTTAAAAAATTACCTTTTCGGGGCACAGTAAAAATCGTCGGACAAATCGTAGCTTGATCCTTAAAAAAATTAACGGTAGTCAATTAAAAATCTTCATCGAGGTTGTGCATTGTAATGGAAAAATACAATGTTATCAATATTAGAAAATTTCTTGTTAATATCAATTTTGGTTTTTGAAATTAGTAGACGTTTAAGCTTACATGGGTTGATGAACATCCGTCATTTAAAAAAAATAGGACATCGTTGGGGTAGTTTTCGCAATGTAATAATTGTATGTATGATATTGTCTTCCCGAGAAAGTGGTCTCGGTGATATCTTGTAGGTGAGATGCCGTCTTCCCGAGAAAAAAAATATTTCCCGGGTTGATGATATCTTGTAAATAAGACATCGTCTTCCCGAGATAATGTCATCACGGGTAGGCGATATCTTGTTTGTAGGGTGAGATGTTGTCTTCTCGAGAAAAAAATCTCTGGTCGATGATATCTTGTAGGTGAAATATCCTCTTCCCAAGAAAGAAAACATTTCTCGGGTTGAAGATATCGTGTTGGTCAGATGTCATCTTCTCGAGAACAAAATGTATCTCCGGTGGATGATGTCTTGTAGGTTAGATATCGTTTTTCCGAGATAATATTTCATCACGGATTGGTGATATCTTTTAGGTGAGATGTCGTCTTCTCGAGGAAATAAAATATTTCTCGGGTTGACTATATCTTTTGGGTGAGATGTTATCTTCTCGAGAAAATAAAATATTTCTCGGGGTGATGGTATCTTGTAGGATATCGTCTTCCTGAGAAGATTATTCACTGGTTGACGATATCTTAATTTTCATATTTTCCCATACCAAATCAGTTCATTATTTCATTAAAACGGATGATAGATGTCTACCTTCCGTGATAAAAAAATTAATGATTTTATCAACTCATAGCTACTACGGAGCTCTTTAAAATATAATTATTGTAAAAAAATAAGTCTTTTACTGAATCAAAATCATTAAAACAGCTTTTCTAACTGGAAAATAAAATGAAAATGTATGTCCGAAGTTTTAAATCTTAAGTTCAGAAAAACTCGATGAGGTTTCAAGTTTTGAGGGATACCAATGAATAAAAATTAAGGCAAAGCTATTATGTAGCCAAATAAAATATAAAAATTAAAGTGCATAAAGAGCAGGTGGTAATAAAATAATAATACATCAATAAATACAATTTAGGAAGCTTTAGCGTGCTGCAAAAAGCGAGCAAATAGCAGCTTGCAAGACAATTAGGAACTATGGGAATCGGGGAGGGAACGAACGTATTTAATTTATACCAACGTTATCCTGACAATGCCTTTGTGCATTGGCAATAATAATGCCAGTTGAAGTATGAAGAAAATTAAGTTTTAACGTTTGGGATTTTATTTGAATAATGCAAACTGAAGAATCAGCGATGAAGACGGACCCACGGAGATGCTATCATATCAACAGAAATTAATGCCAATGGCATTGCCTGCGGCCGCATCACAACCATATTACGTTTGCTGATTATTTTTGTGTAAAGCCGAAGGACTTACCTTGACGAAATAATGGTGTAAAGATGTTCATTATGCATTCCTTTTCAAACTTTTGCGAAATAAGTCTGTAAACTGTTGTGTTGAATAATGTCCATTGGAATACCGCCCTCTAGAGGTTAAAGTTTATGATTGAGAAAGACGACATCCTTGATAGGTGCTACTATTGAGAAAAGCGACACCCTTGATGGGTGCTACCGTAATGTCACCCTCGATGAGTGCTACTTTTGAGAAATACAACACCCTTAATGTTACCATTGAGAAGGACGACACCCTTGATGGGTGCTACTATTGAGAAGGACGACACCCTTGATGGGTGCTACTATTGAGAAGAACGACACCCTTGATGGGTGCTACACCATGTACTGTATTGATTAACACGACACACTTGATGGGTGGTACTAAGGCAACACCCTTGACGGGTGCTACTAGTGAGAAGAACGACACCCTTGATGGGTGCTACACGACACCCTTGATGGGTGGTACTAAGGCAACACCCTTGATGGGTGCTACTATTGAGACGAACGACACCCTTGATGGGTGCTACTACTGTATTGATTAACACAACACCCTTGATGGGTGATCGAGAAAGACCTCACCCTTGATGGGTGCTTCTATTGAGAAATACGACACCCTTGATGGGTGATTCTATTGATAAAAACGATACTCTTAATGGATACTTTTATTGAGAAACAAAACACCCTTGATGGGTGCTACATTGCCAACAAATTAATTCAGTATAGAATTGTTAATGTATAAAGTTGTAAAACCAGTAAGAGATTATGTTTTGCAGAGAAGAAAAAGAGAGTTGAAGATAATAATTATATTTTCCAAGGAACCTCTCCGCACGATAAATAGTTCATCAGACACAATTCTTACCAAGAACCAGATGGGAAAGGAATAAAAATCCCGCCGCTTGGATGTGCAAATAAATTTGAAATAATTTGTTTCTTATTGCCAACGTTTTTGAGTGTCAGTAATGTACGATTCCGAAAATAATCACGCATTCGAAATGAGCAATAGCACGCTCTCGGTTTGATTGAAAACGTCTTTCAAAAAAGATAACGTATAAAATTAAAAGGCAAAAATCTTCAAAGGAAAAAGAAATCAATGAGGAGAAATTCTAGGAGCGTAAAAGTGAAATCGTACAAAACCCCTAAATGTCAATCATTTTGTTCGATAAGAGTAGACGATGGATATCGACCTTCGGGTATATTAAAACAGCAAATATATCGTTCGTTAACGATTACGAGTGAGTTCGTGTTGAGTTTGAGCGCAAACAAAGTTAGCGTCAATCATTAAATTTTGTCAATCATTTGTTCGATTTGTGAATCGGAAGAAAATAAGACATGGACCTGCGGGTATGGGTTGAAACAACAAATATATCGTTCGTTCACGATTAACGAGTTCGTGTTAAGTTCGATTGCGAACAAAGTTAGCATCAATCATTAGATCTTGTCAAGCATTTGTCAATTATTTGACCGATTTGTGTATAGAAACAAAATAAGACATGGACCAGCGGGTATTGATTAAAACAAAAAATGTATCGTTCGTTCACGATTTACGAGTTCGTGTTGAGTTCGAGTGCGAACAAAGTTCATTATAGATCTTGTCAAGCATTTGTCAATCATTTGACTGATTAGTGTATAGGAAGAACATAAGACGGTGTATCGACCTGCAGTTATATTAAAACAACAAATGTATCGTTCGTTGATTACGAGTTCGTGTTTGAGTTCAAGTGCGAACCAAGTTCGTGTACGAGCTCGAGTGCGAACAAAGTTAAAAGAGTACATGTAACGTACAAGAACGAAATACGTACACGACTACGAGTGTCTGCATATGAAGCCCGGGAAGGGACAGGGTGGATATTTTTTTTGGAGTTTGCTAATTCGTTCGCACGAATTACTAATTCGTTCGCACGAATTAGTAATTCGTGGGAACGAATTAGCAAACTCCAGTAATTCGTTCGCACGAATTAGTAATTCGTGGGAACGAATTACTAATTCGTTCCCACGAATTACTAATTCGTTCCCACGAATTACTAATTCGTGCGAACGAATTAGCAAACTCCAGTAATTCGTTCGCACGAATTACCAATTCGTTCGCACGAATAACTCCAGTAATTCGTTCGCACGAATTACTAATTCGTTCGCACGAATTACTAATTCGTTCGCACGAATTAGGAATTCGTGCGAACGAAATAGCAATTCGTGCGAACGAAATAGCAATTCGTGCGAACGAATTACTAATTCGTGCGAACGAATTAGGAATTCGTGCGAACGAATTAGTAATTCGTGCGAACGAATTAGGAAATTCAAAAAAAAAAATCCACCCTGTCCCTTCCCGGGCTTCATATCTGCAGAATAATTGATAGGGCCATGTGAAATTATGATTGGGCCATGCATGTGTATGATTGGGCCAACTGCTAAACTACGTATAGCACCTGCTATCTAGGAAGGATTTTTATGTCGAAATCATAATGGGGCCATGTGTAGTAAATCGTTCTGCTTCTCTTCCAATTTGCACCATCTGTACATTTTTGTTTTATCATGTCTACTGCTTGACATTCAAAGACAATGATTATGAGCTGTTAGATATTTAGGGCCATGTGTACGAATCAAACTTGTTGAAATTCTAGTTGCGTCTATCATGCATTTTCTCGTCGTTCCATATTGATTGTCATCGTGAAAAAAATCCTAGGGCCATGTGTACAAAACTGACATCGCCGTTTTCTGCCAAACCCAATTTTTCAGATTATTTACAGGATTCCAGGACCATGTGAACATGTCTTACTTTGTTTTTGTAAAAAAATCTTTCCAATTTATTATGCGAAATTATTTAGGGCCATGTGAAGTAGTGTAGAGATCTTCTATTCCTCCGTTCTGTAGAAATTTCTGCAATTTTCTTGAAAGCTGCTTGTGCATTCATCCCGTCTTGAGTGCGAATCATCGTGTAATATACTCTAGGGTCATGTGTTAAGAATCTACTTTATTTGTCCATGTGACAAAAATTTTCTTTGAGATCTATTGTTTAAAAAAGCTCCACATGTATAGGGCCATGTGCAGATCTTAAAAATTCATTGAAACACGGTCGTGAAACGTAATTAGGATGGTTTCAACGATTCGACGATTATTTTGTGACATGAAATAGTCTTTGGTCCAGGTCGAAACGTGTCTTATGGACATGGAGTATTGTTTGTGATTTGTTCTTCCATAATATCCGATTCACAAAGATCGATAATTGCCTTTTGTGTTAGGGCCATTGTGTCAATTTTGTTTATTGTAAATCAGGTGTAATGACACCTGTAGCGTCGGATACACTAGTAATCGCTCTGTAAAGTGTATAGCCTGAATGTACAGGATAAAACAACGTGCATTGATTAATTTAACAACCACAACACCAGTGGAGGATTTGATCGATGGTACATTTGAATTCTGATAAGTCCGATCCATAGAGCTATATTAAATTTAATAGCTCTATGGTCCGATCACAGCTGGTCGGCAATGTGAAACGTCCACAAGCCTCATTTATTAACAGCGGTGGCTAGTTGAATCGGGTGTGTGAATGTTGTTTCCCTTTGAACCGCGTTGCGCGTCAGTAGATGCGCGTTGCTTTGCGCAAACTGGAATATCATCTTCGCCACCATAGTAGGCCAAATTATCTATTTAGAATAAACTTAGCTTTCATTCTCAACGGTTGAATCCATTACAGTGGTCAGGTAAGGGCCACTAATTGGATTATTTTCACTGTACGTATGTAAGATACTTTGCATCCAATTAGGCTTAGAGATCTCAGAAGCGTAGACCTAAACTAATTTCCCCTTTTTTTCTCTCTATGGTTGTATCTTTATAGTGGTCAGGTAAGGACTACTAATATACGTTTCCTTCTCTTTATTATTAGACCACAGCACCGGTCACAAATTTGATCAGGAATCCACTGTACATTGTAGTTACAAAACCTAGCTCCGCTAGGAAGACTTCTTTTATTTTCAGCAACTTGCAATTAGATTAGGAGGACCGGCAAGCCACAGTGCTCATGTCAGGAGCTGCTGACACGGAGGAACCGGAAGCAGGGAGGAGGAACACCGGATGACTGAAGACCCTGCTTGCCGGGCATCCCATTACTGATTTCCCAGGTAAAAAATATTAATGTTATTTTCGTTTCGAACAATGTCTTAGGGTGTTTCAAATTGTTCTGATTATTTTGTCTGCGATTAATGATACCTTATTTTTTTTTAATACGATAAATCTAGAGGAAAATAAGTTTAATGTGAAATTAATAATCAACAACTTCACAAAAGAAGAGCAACAGGCGCATAATTGTCCCGCACACATGTGTTCCTTCTAATCTTCTGGCAGAGATGACGGTCTGCAAGATGAGATGTCATTCTGGACGAAGATACAATCACTTCTGAATCCCAAGGAACCGGAAGCAGGGAGGAGGACCGACGGAAGGACTGATGACCTGCTTGCAGAGCAAGTCTTCACCAATTCTTGAGGTAATTTAGCAAAAGGGATTTATATGTATTTTTCATTTATTCATTTTCTATTTTTGTCTTAGTCTTCGGGAAGTGGCATATCGAACTTTTTATGACAATCTTTTCACTCCGATAGTTGGGTTGTGCTTCGAATGTGAAATATGTAATATAATAGATAAAGGGCCTATTTCTTTTATCTTTGCAGATTGCTCTTGTTTCGTGTAAGCAGCAGAGACGATGACAATATACATAACGGAGTGCAGTTGTTCACCAAGGCAGGAACACGAATTTTAGCAACACTCGACTGAGTTTTACAATAGCTAGCTCCTGAAAGTTCCCATAAGTTTCTCTTAAAAAGTCGTCACATTTGATTAATCCGAGGGATGTATAAAGACACCATCCCATTCAAAATCCTTCCAAAAACCTGCTGGATAAATTTAAAAAGCTGTATATGTCAACTTACTACTCTGTATTACTACTCTGTATTTCTTTTTTTTTCCGATCAGCAATATTGTTTTTCCGTGTGTTATGTACAATTTAAAATGTATACGTTCAATTGTTTTTCATTTGTTTTTCATTAAATGTTTGTATTAATCCATGTTAAAGGGGATCTCTACTCGACAAGCTCTGCTTTTTGGGGATCCCCTTCCGCCATCTCCAATTAGAAAATAATGCGTCCAAAGTGTATAAATATATTTTGTAAAACAAGCTCGAACTTTATATTACCCAAAACTACATGTATGTATTTATGCCTTGTCACTTTGAAATGAGATGTGGTAAAAATAATAAAGAATGAATGAATGAATGAATGAAACTTATTTCATCAATAGGTTTAAGTAATACCTAAGTGGTCGTAGTCAGTCTGTGAATGTCGAGGGCAACATGTCAAAGGTAGGCCTACTGCCACTAAAAACGTTGGTGTTCCACAGGCTAGGGGTCGATCTTATGTCCACTTTTATTCAATGTCCACTTATTCTTATGTCTACTTTTATCCAACTTCAGGCTCTAGTATTGCACATATGTTGGATGTTGCTGTTCTTGTTCTTCACCCTCCCTCCCTTTTTGTTAAAGTTTGATTGTTTGCTCCCCATACCCAGTGTGTTTCTTTTATTTAGAGACACGTCGGGCTTTAACTGCTTTGCTTGTTGCATTGCACAGGCCAAGTCCCCCAAACAAAATCCCCCAATGCAACTGATTGACCGCACAGATGTTTGCCACGTACACTGAGTTTACTGACGTAACATAAATGACACAAAATGTCTTAATGAGGTGCACTAACTTGGCAATATTGTAATTCGTATTCTTTATTTTTATGCCAATTAGATACAAACTCCCCACTGGCATAAGATTTGGTATAAAAACAAATGCAAACTGCAACTAATTACGCATTAAACATTATTAATAGTTGAAAATGATGTAAAGCTTTGCTCACGCTTGGCCATGCAAAAGACATGCATAATTAGAGGTTTACTTATTCATGGAAAATGTTAAAACCTATTAATCCTGCTTCACTTAGTTTCTTTGTTCAACATGTTCAGTCATCATGATCATTAAAAAAAAAGCAGTGATTGTTGACTGACATATCACACGAATTTGCTTTTTTTTATCCCTTGTTATCCGAGTAAAAATCTTCCATATGAACATATCTTCAATTTGCTCTGATTACATTTGTATATTGAGCTTTAAGTACATGTATTATAATAATGCAACGCTACTAATACAGTATCAGAGAATCCAATGAATATCTAATCTGTTATCCGATTAAGTGTTGGCTAAATAAGCAAAACTACACTGCTCTGAAAATCATTAGGACAAATGGATTCTTAAGAATGCAAAATCATCGGTGCAGCCATGTGTCTTTTAACACCACAACCAAAATATTTTTTTTGTATGTCAAAGGAAAGGGTAGGTTTCATAACTGTCTCTATAATATCAATTCATGATTTAGGGTGCATCCTTCATCATAAACATTTCTCATTAATATACAAAAAAAGTAAAGAATATTTTAATTAATCATACTTTCAAGCTCTGACAACTACTTTCATGTATATATAAAACTGTGTCAGTTGTTGTTGCGTTATTAAAAAAGTTGACAATAATAATCATTGAGGTGGTCAGACATACCATTGGAATGGTTTCAGTATCCATTCGATTTTCATCGTTCTTCAACTTAATGGAATCAAACAAATATTAATTCCAGCAATCGTAATTTTTATATCAAGGACAGTTTCATCCCTATATGGGTAAGGTATTTTTTTCGCCAAAATGAAAAAAATACATATATATATATATAAAATTTGCAAAACCATTAATTAAATGAAAGTGATTGTTTTCTTAGAATGGCCCAATATAGTTCCGTAAAGAAGTTATTTTGGATTACAAAGATCTCAAATTAGAAACAAGCATGCCTCATAAAGTGCACATAATGATCCTGTTGCCGGGGCTGAAGAATTTGTGAAGGAATGTTCAAGTTAGATTTGCAAAAGTTAAAGAAATAATAATGTAAATACAGGCATGCAACTGGGAAATCACAAAAAAAGAGGAAATTCAAATTTTTCCCAGACTTTGTACAGTGTTTTTCTATTTTCAATGGCACACATTGGAAGTAAAAAAATAGGAAATCAGCTGATCCGAGGAAAAGTTGCATGCCTGTAAATAGCACATATAGACAAATCTGGGCACACGATCACTGTACACTCACAACAGTCACGAGGCCCCCTTTAATGGAGAAACCATTGTGCAAGCTATTGTACAAAACAACGGCCCAGTGACGGATTTTCGGAACAATGGCTAGCACAATGCTTTCGCCATTGAAAGGGGCCTTCGTGGCAGAATTGATAGCGTGCCCAGATTGTTCTATACAGGGTAACCTAAAAAAAATGCAACCCTAAAACATTTGACTTTAAAAAAAAATGGATCTGTGGATTTTTATGTTTTGGGTATCAGATTAAAGCTGAGAGGTTTTTCTTTCAAATACTGAAAAAATCACGAAAACAGCACTTTGGGTTGCTGAGAAAATGCCAATTATGTGGTAAAAGCAGGTATCTTGAGATGGCATACATCAGTGTACTATTATGGCACTTTGACGATGAGCATAACGTGCCATGTAATAAGGCAAAAAGACTTATCTTGTATAGTTACGCCCTTTTGCCTCGTGACATCAGGTCACATCTAGCACAAAACAGGATGCATCTCAATAAACCCCTTTTTTCAAAGAAACTGCATTAAACAAGCATACATGCGATACGCGCTGCTATCTTTGAAACGTAAGGACATGGATTTGAAAATTTGCTAAATGGAAACAGCGCCCCCAATAACCCCAAAAGTGACTTTATCTCAAGAAGGCCAAAATTCAAGTTACACTGTTTTGCCGTGAGAGTGTGACTCGGACTTGTGATGGACTCGATTGCAACTCCTTCTTTAACCCCTTAAAAAGAACAGCACTAAGGCTGTCTGTGATGTTCAGATACTAGGAAGAGCAAGGCACGTGGTCAATATTTCAATATTTAGTCAATGAGCTCCACATAGTTGGCTGGGAAGAGTCCAAAGGTACCGTCTGGTGCCGTGCCCCTCCACCAGCCTGGGTCGAGTTGTTCAATATTCGTGATGAGGTCGCCTGGGTCAAAGGTTATCTCAGTGTCATCGGCTGAAAGAAAAAAAGTTGGATAGTATGTAACATAATTAAAAGGCCATTACGTCCTGAAATCGCCGAGATTTGTGTGCTTTAGATTGTTTACTCATCCCATTTTAAAGTTTTGGTTAGGAGGAATCTAACCTAATGTCCCACTGTTCCTGAGAAAAGACAAACAATCCCAGTTGTTTACTTCTGACGCAACGGCCATTTTGAGGAATATGCATACGTATTTCCCGCTGTGTCCATTCAATGTACGGTGCACGTTGTGTGCGACACATAATACGCACAGCACCAACACACCAATGTTTCTCGCACGTCTGCAGAATGTGATGCACTAAATGGAACATGTGCAGCAGGATTCAAGACTAGCACACAACAGCTGGATTTTTAAAAGTCAAAATTTTTACCCGCAAATTCGTTCTTGTAAGAATAAAACAAAAAATGGCAAGTTTTTCAAGGGTGGTTGTGTGGATGTTTATTTCTTACTTTTTAAATGCTCTTTCCAATTAACATAATTTCGTTTAAAAAGCTTTTTGTAGCCCAATTGGGCACATTCCAGGATGCAATAGTCAGAAGTGAATTACCTTTGTGTTGTAAGAAAAAAAGCAACTAACAAACAAGAAGCGTGTTTGTCCCATGGATGGAGTTGTTTCAAGAGAAACAACTCATCATACAGTGTATTCTATAACAGTCCATTGGTCTGTACTCCAAGTCAACTTTTTACCAATTACAGGTACTATTTTACAGTTTACAAGTATTAAAAGAACATTGATACAATGCCCATTTTTTTGTTTCCCCTACCTGCTTGGTAATCATAAACTGCACGTGCGGTGGCTCCCTCCCCTGCTGGTTCCTCATAGTTATCCATTGGCGGGGGCTCTATAAGATGAGAGATACACAAACAAAACAAAACAAAAATGGGAAAATTAAGTAAAATTTAAAGAAATCAAGTAGAAAAGTAAGTAAAATGTAAAACAAGCTTATGCAGCCTAGTCTTAACCAGTTTGCGCCGGATGACATGTATACCCGCAAAGGCCTTGCGGCATTCTGAATGGATGACGGATAAAAACGCAGGGAGCGAGGCCGGAAATATCTGTCGGCAACCCTCGTGTGATGCCCGAGGGTGATGGCCTCAACCCGCATGGCATTAGGTCGAGTGAAAAGTAATCCCACGCCTCGTTCCATTCTTGTCAAAATAATTCTGGCGCGAACTGGTTAACTGATTGAACAGTCACAGACAGTCAAAAACTTCCATCCACTTCCCCTGCCATGCCTTTTACACAGGCTAGTCACCAACAGTCAGATCATATTCACAGCAAGCACTGTCACTAGTCAAATTCAGTCAACAGACAAAAGCAGGAAACTGGTGAGCAAAGCTTTCTTATCAATCACCTACAGTTAAAGCACAGCTGTATCAAGTTACATAAACAGTCAAAGCCAGTCGATCCTGCTTCATGTAGGCAGGGAGCACTTAACCGTAAAAAACAGTCACTTGACTGATTTTGACTAAAAGGACAAATTATGCACAGAGAGTATGTTTGCATAGGAGGGTTATAAAGGCAGCTATTCTAACGCTAACCGTTTTTCTAGGGATCATCCACAAACTTAAGTTGTTAGCAATGCTGATATGTGCAATATGGCTCCTTTGTTTTAAATTTTTTTTGTGTTGTCGCACGTGCATGAGACTACTTGTAATGGGAGACTGTTGTAATGTAGACTCTTTTAACTAAAATATGTGCAGAGAATGCTTATAATAATAATAATGTAAGCGCTTTGATCTTAGTTAAAGCGCTATATAAGAACTTGTTATTATTATTATTTTATTATTAATAGACATTTTACCTTGCTCGTAAAGTGGTTCCGGTTCTGGTTCCGGTTCCGGTTCCGGTTCGTAAATTGGCTCCGGCTCATACTGCTGTTGTGGTTCTGGTTCCGGTTCTGGTTCCGGTTGTGGTTCATACTGAGGTTCTGGCTCATACTGTTGTTCTGGTTCTGGTTCTGGCTCTGGTTCCGGTTGTGGTTCATACTGAGGTTCTGGCTCATACTGTTGTTCTGGTTCTGGTTCCGGCTCTGGTTCTGGTTCCGGTTCATACTCGGGTTCTGGCTCAGGTTCCGGCTGCTTGGGTGGTAGGCGTGCCGGGGCTTTTGTTGGACGGGCAGCGGGTGGCGGAGGCTCGTATGACGGCCTCTGCTCAAAAGCAGCCCGAGGGTTTTCTCCACGCTGCGCTACCATTTCTGCTGCCTCCTATAAGAAATTAAGATAAGAAATTGCAAAGAAATGAGCTACTATCCGAAGGCTGTCGATTTTCAAAGTCAAAACAAAGGAAAAGATGCAATCTTCAACACCATTCTATGCTTCATAACAACAACACATGTACTTAAATGCTCCTCTTGAAAGTAAAAAAAATCCTGGTTTTTCATGTTTCAGTAACTATTTCTCTGAGACCACTGATACAAAACATTTAAGCTGTCCATATCTTAATCTTTTGGTCACGTCCGAATTACGCTGTTACGTGTCTATGGAACATGTGATCAGTGGCTTCAGCTGCCTCTATATTGGCGAATGCGTATCTTGCAAGCCGTAGCCAATAACATAATACGGACACCAGTGATGTAGTGCCTTGATGCTGGGCCTTGGCCTTAAGGCTGCCTTAAGGCTGGATTTTAGGGCCTTGGCCTTGGCCTCGAGGCTTGAGGGCAAAAGCTTTGGCCTTGGCCTTGGCCTTGAGGGATCACGGCCTTGCAATTTTGAGTCAAGGCTCTTCAAGGCCCATAGATTTTTGCATTTTCCAGATAAATCTGTTCGAAATTTTGCTGTTACCATTTTAATCGTATTACCATGGAGGAGGGAAACCCCTTGTAGATTTGTGTGTTGGGCACACTTCCACTTTTATAGCATCACATGTTGTTACCATTGTAGTAGATTTGCTGCAAAAATATGCTGTACACTTGTGGGGCTAATGAGATGATCACTTAAATTGCATACAAGTATCTGATTGGTTGTATGTCTCCCTGATAAGTGCTAAAGATTTGCATGTATCTGTTTTAGATAATGCTGATATTTCTGACCATGTTGGCCCAACAAATAAAAATTTCCCAAATCAGTTTCTTGGATCCCCCTTTTGTTACACTCGGGAGAATTGTGCGTCAATATAGAAGTAAATCTTTATTTTGTTTTAGTTAAACCATATTGAAGACCTGAACTTAAACTTGAATAGATCTAATGCAGTCATAAAACGGTGTATGCGAGCATGTTGATTGCAATTTAAGACATGTTGTTCTTCTTAATGGGCGATTCGTGATGATGTGTCATGTGACTATAATTAGTTCTATATCAGTGGTCATTTTTATAAAACAGGGCCTTGGCCTTGGCCTTAGCCTTGAGGGTTAAGCCTTGGCCTTGGCCTCGAGGCTTGAAGGTCTAAGCCTTGGCCTTGGCCTTGAGGGTCAAAGCCTTGGCCTTGGCCTTGAAGGTTTAAGCCTTTGCTCCAACACTGACGGACACTGACCTTGGTACGGTCACTGCCTGGCCGTCTTGTTGGGGAGGTTGAGGCCTCCATCTGTTTCTGCTTACTCTCCTGAAATAAAATAATCACAAAACATGTAAAAATAACTAAAATCTTCAGCAATATTCATTGGGAGTGCCTATGTGACCTGCCACTGCGAAATGAGCCTTAAAGGTACTGTCCATCATTTGTAATTGGTGCATATTGCTCGTTTGAAGCAACAAAAGTGCTCAGAATCTAAAGAAGGGAGCTGAACAACTAACCTGATGAAGCTTCAGCTCAGCTTCAGCTGTGTATTTCGAGAAAATAGGATCTCGAATTCAAATCAAAAGTTGCTGAATCATGTTTTGAATTGAGCCGGAATTCAGCATCCGAGACACTTTCTCACCGAGCCGATTGTAGCTACGCAATGTCGCGCACTGATCCGACGAATTATAGCAACCGCGCGCATGTGTGTGTCGTGTCAACGCTTGCGCGCGCTTCGCCAAAATAAAAAAAAACGAACTACTAACAGAATTTCCAACGATGTGTCTTTATTTAGACACATCGTTGGAAAGGCCTTCTTTCGTTGATTTCTTCAAAATGACAGCATGCCAGAAAGAATAATTTCACAGGGCGTTTAGTTCCCTTACTATCTTTCAACCAAGCATGTTTTTCTACAATAATTACGTCAGTTGCTTTTTGGACAGCTGCAAATGATGGACTGTAGCTTTTAAGGCATATAGAGAATCATTTGCAGATATGCCAAAAAGAAACCTACCGAATTATTAACAAAAAGGTTGTACTGGTACCAAACAACCTGTGAAATTATTCCGTTTAGCTTGCTATCATTAAGCTCATCTTGTGGTGACAGATCACTATGTAGCAAGAAAATGAACATGGCAGTTGAGAAATTGCAGCTTTTCGTCACTTTTTCCATTTCAAACTTACCCATCTAGCCTGCTCCTCCTGTCTCGACTGTTCAAGAGCTCGCTTTTCCTGGGCCCTGCAAAAGTAGTACATTTATAAAATACTTCAAAACAGTTGGACTCAATCAAACACCCTAAGATGATTTACTAGGAACCTTCCTCATCCTTGCAAATTCCAACACCCTGTGCTATTAAACTGTGCACTAAACAGTTGGACTCCGCCAGACCCTTGTGTTTGAGTTTGGCTGGTTGGGGATTGAAGGCAGGATTCATAAACACCTGAAACAGTTTACCCATTCCTATTGGCCTAGAGCCCGTCACTTGGCTGGTCTTAAACTGTTTTAACACAGGTCGTCGCTGCTTAAGACCGGTGTTAAACAGCAAGACCCGCACTCCACGCCACAAGTGCGCAGTATGCGTACCGCGGCACAGGCCAGCAACAACCGGCACGTAGCTTGAAAATCACTGTTATGATCAGCATACAGGGAGATGTTGAGCATACCATGTACGCGATATGCACCACAGAAGTGGCCTGGCCATGCAGTGAAATGGTCAAACAAATTCGATGGAAGTTTGTCAACTTTTAAGACTATTAACCCCAACTCCCTAGCGTCTTTTACTAGGAACTCACTGGACCAAGTCCATCAAAATCCATCAATCACTGTGCGTCCAATACAAAACTGTACATGACATAATGGAATCCACCACTGACGCACTGGTTGACATTCATAGACTTGTTACACATGGCTTTTATCCCAATAGCAGTACAGGAAGCTAGCCAAATCAATCGGATACCCCTAGCACTGCTTCAGGCCATTAGGCCCAAGTCCATCATACTCCATAAATATTTAGTCATGCAAGGCCTTCTTGACCAAGTCCCCCAAAATCCACCAAAAAGGGGGGATGGATTTGATGGAGTTGGGGTGGCTAGGGTTAATGGCTTTTGATGGTTAGGGGCCTAGTCGCTGATAACAGCACTCTTTTGGCTCAGGCCACTATCAGTGGCCAGACCCATCGCCTGTTATAAACCAAACAATTTCAACTGATCCAGGGCACTATTATCTCCTTAATTTAGAGAATTTCCTGGGAAACATATGTGTCACCTGCAGGTCTGTCCATAAAAAAATTTAAAAAAAAAAACAGTCCTGCCAAATTAAATGACTGCAATTTTTGCCAGCCAAATATTTCTGGAAATTAACAAAAAAACACTGAAAAAAAAAAGAAAAAAAAAAGTTGTTGCATCTCCATTTCATGCTCTGCAATTTTTGTGATGGAGGTTGAAGTCTGAGGTCCACGTACTTCTGTTGGTCAACTGTCCTCATCTTCTCGGCCAATTTCTGTTCTCTTCCTTGGGCCTCGTGCTCCTCTCTTTCTCGCCTCTCTTTCTCCAACTTCTGGGTCTCAGCAGCTTTTCTTGTCTTCTCTTCAGCTTGTCTCTGCTTCTCGGCTTGCTGGAGAACAAAAAACAATGTACATTTTCTCGATTACTTATCTTTGTACCCGTTTCTGTCACACATTTTTTTTTTTTCTGAAACGCACTGTTGGGTCTTCTTGATAATGCCCACATTTGTGAGGCGTTCTGGAAAAAATGAGACAGAACTGGGCACAGGTCGAAATATGGGTCTGCGGGTATGAGTAAAGATAATGAAATTCTCCTTACAATACTGTTTGTTGCGATTGGACTTCAATTGGACATTCTGTTGACAAGTAATGGCTGTCTTGAATTTCGCATTTATCAACGTTTCACAATGGTAAAATGCTGAGAAAAAGGCCTTTTTGGTTTTCTTGTGTTTTGCAACCATGTGTTGTCATGTGCCGTTACCCTTTGATAATAGTTTACTGGTCTGTATATATATCTCGTCCAGTACAATAAATAAGTTTCAAGCTTTGTATTTATGAAAATAAGAGATGCCAATTATGTGAACTTTCTTGTTTAAAGCCAACATTGCTCCCATTCTTTTAGCTGGATAAAGTCACTTGACAGTTACACAGTACCTATTGCAAAACACTTTAGCTGTGACCCCATAACAGCCATCGCCGAATGCAAATTTTAACAGGCGCACTTTCTTTGCAACTTTTGACCATTGAGGAAGGCAGCTGCAGCTGGCGTGTGCAAAACTTGATCGGCGAGTTTCGAATACTCAAATGTTTGGTCAAGTTCAGTTTTGAATAATAAAATATTAAATTATTTGAATATGGATAGCCCTAGTATGATAGAATTTTGCATCGGGGAGGTGTAAATTTAATATAGGCATGCACTCGTGTACCTCTGACTCGGACCAGAACTTGTCACTCCTTTTAGACTTGATCTCAGCCGCCGCATTGGTTCTCTTGTAGACCGAGGCAACTGGGCCGATCTCTGGTTCGGGGGCAGCCTTCTCCTTGTGGAAGCTGTAGTTGGAACCCGAGGCTTTGGCCACTTTCTTCAGAATGTCTTCAGGATCCACGTCGTCTTCTGTGCGAGCATTGATGGTCACATGGGCCCCCTGGCGAGAAAAAACAGATTCTAATTTTAATAACAATGGGTGCTTATATAGCACTTTTAACTAAAATCAAAGCGCTTTTATACATTATTATCACCCCTGATCATTCATGTCATTGGGCCAACAAAACATTCCAAATGCAATCTCAGCTCCCTGCATGGGGAGTATACAGCTCGATGCAGCCAGTTTCGGCGCAAAGCAGATTAAATCAATCACAATAACCAGCTCTGCCCTCCCAGGTACCCAATCTACTCGTGGGTGGAGAGAAGCAATGAGTGACACAGTGCCTTGCCCAAGGGTGCATGCACCACAACCCCAGGCTGGACTTGAACCCACAACCAATTACCCGCGGGGCCACAGCACTCCACGGGTTGACTTGAAAGAGAGTAATGACAAGCATTTCCCATTTATTGCATACACCATCAAAGTTGTGGCATTACTCATAGGTCAACCCGGTGCAACCATAGTTACTGGTTCACAAGCACAGCAGTGGTCCATTTAAAAACAGTGTTTTTGAATTTCCTATGACGGTTGTAAACCCAAGTCTTATAATTGGCTTGAATCTCCTTTGGGAAGAGTAAATTAAGTACAACTGTCGTTTTAACAAGTTTAACTGGTGTGTTGAGAATCTGCCACAAAAAATTAACCCTTTTCCAATGCAACTCAACATTAAGTTTTGCCCTTCTCCGACATATAACTCTGTATACTCAGTGTGTTACCTCCTGAGTGAAAGTTGGGGGAAAAAAATCACTCGAGTGGGACTCGAACCCACGACCTCCTGCTTTCTAGTGCAGACGTCTTACCACTCGACCACCGAGCTGGCGGGATCGGTTGGCTGGTTCGAATCTGATGTAGCAGCGGGTACCGCAATGAAGTTATTCATAAGATGGAATTTGCGTTGGGGTGATGTATGGGAATCAAAAGGCCTATGAGCTTTTGCCCTTCTCCGACGTAAAAACATGACATACTAAGTGTGCTACCTCCCCAGTGAATGATAGAAAAACAATGACTCGGGTGGGACTCGAACCCACGACCTCCTGTTCTAGTGCAGACGTCCTACCACTCGACCGCCGAGCATGCTGGTTCAAATCTGATTTATCAGTGGGTACCGCAATGAAAATATTCATAAGATGGAATAAGACATTTGCGAGTTCAATTTGAATAAAATCTGGAACGCTGACTTAATCCAATGCTTTGCACATTTTAACTTAGCATTCTCCCGACCAAAGAGACTGTTACTACATCACATGATTCGGGGCAAGCCTTACGCTAGCAACACCCAGCTCTGGCATGGTCTGGTGTCTTTGTGCCATTCTCACCCATTGTGAGCGATGTATTGATGCTGAGCGTCTCTTACGTAACTATGCAAGAGCTTGCCCCGAATCATGTGATTAGCAACAGTGTCTTTGGTCTGGAGAATTCAAAGTTAAAATGTGCCAAGCATTCTGAGCAAGTCAGTGTACCAGATGTTATTGAAATGTAACTCCCAAAGGGTATAGGTTACTCGCAAATGGCTTATTTGCGTCGGGGTGATGTAAATCAATATTAGGTTTTGCCCTACATATAATGCGTTGTTCAGAAATGCGTGTGAACCATTGATGAGGAAGTAAGCCTGACCCAGGGAGGAGGTAATAGCTGAGGTAACCTACATGTATGACATGTAGTAATAACTCAACAGTCTTTTTTTCTTGCCTCACTTTTGTTCCAATATGGTTCTTCCATCTTAACAAAAGTACCCGACTGATCTGATCGGAGAAACCTACCCTGAACTGCTTAGCCACATCAGGTGTATGTCTGGCGCACGTTCCCTTCACTGAGGTTGGAGCCCCTTCTCCTTGCTGTGGTGTTAGGAAGGAAAAAAAATCAGCAAGCCTAAATTTTGACTTCAGTCATTTTGGCTTTTTTGCTAGGATGTAGCCTCAATCCTACAAATGCCTCCATTATTTCTTGAATATGGTCCATGGAGGGGTGACCACTGCCTGAATCCTGCAAAATCCTGCGGGAGTGACTGTCAATATGGGGCAGTACGGAGGATTTCAAGCATAATCCAGGCCTATATTTATGTACGTATGGCAAGGTTTGTGAATGCGCGTCCTCTAACGTGCAATGCCAGGCATGCGAATGAATTTCAATGAAAAAAAACCAGGAAACTTGTGCAACAACAGGAAAGATGTAAAATCAGGCCAAAAAAGCTCAAAATTAAATAAAAACGTGGATATTTGGGCAACAAAACCCCAGAAGTCGTGTTTAAACAGGAAGATTTTCATGCCTGAATGCATGAGGTACATGTAGCAGCAACCCAACTTTAGTAGGACTGGACCAACTCCAACATTTTAGTTGGGACATGTGGGATAGTCCTAACTTAAGTTGGTTCCGTCCCAACTACAATTGGGATGATGGGTACAGTTTGGGGGGGGGGGATAACATGTATTAGTTGATCCAACCAATTCCCTCACCCCTTTACAAAAAAAAATTTCGCAACTGCTGAGTGGGGCATGATATTTACTATCACTTTGTCTCAAAGCTACTTTTTACCCAGTTAATGAGGACAAATTTGGGCAGGCTGGTGTTTGGGTCCACCACACGGCAGTAAGCATACATGATCTTGCTGCCGCTCAATGAATCCGCCATCTCCTCCAGCCCATCCTCTGAAATAAAAAAGGAAGCATTTAGGGAAATTAGCCATTTACTATCTTCTTTCATTTACGTACAAATTACCTGCCTGATGCAACATTATCAGCGCAAGAGCAGCAAAAGTCAGTGAGACCTTAATTGTTGCACTTGCCAATTAACAAAAGTAAATAAACTGCCAGTTCTGAGACAATGTGGAGCATTATCATGTCCCATAGACCATTATCATGTTGCAGCCATCTTGAATTTTGAATACAAATGCATGTCACACACTGAGGGTTATATCGCACTGCATTCCATGCGCGAGTTGCCTGCGCGCAGGCAACGTGCCGGCGCGCTAGCTTTGCGTAATGAGAACTGCAATGCAAATGCTCAGTCTCATGTCTGTCAGGACATCAAAACCTTGCAGTTATCAAAGGTTACATCGCAGTGATTTGATTCATTTCTCAAACAGTAAGTTACAACCATTTATCTTTTTGACTTATTGGTGCATAACAAAACTATTTCAAGGGCTAAGGTGTGAAATTGTGGGGAGGGGGTGTAGCAGTGAGGGGAAGGGGGAGGGTGGAGGGGCGCAAGGGCAGGCTCTAGGGTGCTGTAAAATGTTTTATTTTACATTTGTTACATTTTATCAAACTTATATGAATGGAATTTAAAATAGACAATCTATCAGGCACATGTGCCTATGAATGAAACATGGCTCAGTCGTGGCCAATCAATTAACTTAAATCATGAAAAAATAAATGCCATAACTTTTACTGATTTGATTTATTCATTCATTTGATAATATTCTTACCGCCTGTGTCCACCACTTTCAACTCAAAACTTTTCCCATCGTATCCAAACACTGCCCTGTTGAAAAAATAGGAGAACATGTTGTTGAGTGAATTGTCAAATTTTAAGTCACTTGACATAGAACAGGAGAACATGGGTCTAGAAATATTTTTAAAATGGTGTCCGTGCGCGGTAGAATATTCATGGTGGAGCCCTTGCCGATAAACGATAAATTTCACTTTTCATCCAGATCGTAAACCTTAGCAATTCAATTTTAATCATCATACTCTACTTGTATCTCAGGTGGCATATTTACATGTAGTCATTCTGTGGCTGTTTTGAGGATGAAATCTGATGCTTTTATTGGGAAAGGGTTTGGTTGCTGGATATTCCCAACGCCATGTCTAACATGTCTAACAATCGACTTGGAAGACCCTACTTCTATCGCCAGACCATGTCCCGAAGTGGAAAAGGCGATTTCTAGGCTTTAGGGTCCAAGTAACAGCGATCGAGTAGTCGCCGGCCCCTCTTTAGTTTTGATCAAATTACATTTTTGTATAATTCAAAATGACCTTTTCAACCAAAAACAGACTTCTCTCAATTCTAATGACACTTTTTCTTTTAGGAAAGAATGTTACAAACTGACACTGCTTTTTTCTTCATATCATCTCAATGAAGGTCAGTCATTGCAAAAATGATATTAAGACATGAATATGGGACTGAGAAACCTTTCAAATTTTGATAGGAAATACATTGTACTAAATAGTGTCGGTTTGCAACATTCTTTCCCTTTTTTGAATCTTTTTTACAGTTTATTAGGGTAGAAATTTACGATTTTCGTGCTCAGTTAAAAGTTGGTGCAGTGCGATTCGATTTAGAGGGCCTTGCACGGTCACGGTACATCGTGGTGATTTCCCTATTACTTTTTGTGTTGCGTTTGTCGTGGTCACTGTTATTTTACCCCCAAATTTCCATCAAAAATTCAAAACCCTGCACTTTATCGATGCATGTTCTTATTGTTGCCAACTACTTTTGTACATCAAATAAATTAAAAGTTGATTTTCTTCTCTTACAAGTTATAGAGAACCAGGCCCAAAATTACACGATCACCCCAGTTCTCGTACTAACTCTCCATACTTTTACTAAGTTCTCATTGTTTGAAAAACTTTTTACACAACCGTAGCCCAATAAATGTGGTCAATGTACTGGACTACCTCCATAAATAAATGCCACATTTGGAACATGTACCCGAAAATAGACGTCTAAAAAATGCCGAAATTCTTTTTTTATCGCTATTAGTAGGCATGTCAACATTTTTTTAAAGTTTTGTATTTGACTAAACTGTTTATATATTTAGGTTCAGCTCTGCAAAACATACGAAATGACATCAACATCATCAAATTTGGTCGTGTACTTTTTGAGATACGAGCATTTAAAAATGCTGAATTTTGTCCGATTTCTGCCCAAAATGGCCAAATTTGACAAAAATGACTTTTGACACACTTGTATAAAATTGTACTTTTTGTCTTAACCCTGTTTTTCCTCCCTTTATCCATTATATAGGTGAGTTCCTTCAAGTCCAGAAAACAAAAGGCATTTTCTCCAGTTCATATTGGAATAGCGATCACTCAAAATTGTCATTTTCCCCAGCTTTTGCAAATTGACCAAGCATTAAAATTGGAAAAATAACTTAAGTCCAACGAATTAATATGCATAAATGCCATAACTAAATTAAAATAAGTAGGCCTACTCCAGCCTTGAAATTCTGCACAATAGTTGTTTATGCTAAACACCACATATCAAATTTGTTCAGCTTTTTATACCAACAAATATGCAAATGAGGACACAAATTAATTTCCTTAAGTACAGTGGATATGGGAAAAACCACCTAATTAATATGCGTAAATGCAATATCTCACTAAAAATGACTGCTATAGCTCTGAAACTTTGCACAAATATTGTTTATGATGACTTCCACCTTCTTTCTAGCTGTAATTGTCTATGTACCATCAATTATGTAAATAAAGATACTAATTAAAGCAGAAATAGGGAAATCTGCCTAATTAATATGCATACATTTAATATCACACTTAATATGACTTCTTCGGCTCTCAAACTTTGCACAAATATTGTTCATGGCGAATTCCACCTTCTTTCTGGTTGCAATTGCCTGTGTACCTTCAATTACATGTATGCAAATAAAGATACTAATTAAATCAGGAATATGAAAGGCATCTTTGTAAATTGTAGCTCAGAGAGCAACGCTGAATGGAAATTCTTCAACATCAAGGAGGGCAAGGCATGGTACAGGGTTCTGTCGCCACCGATCTGTAATGAGAAAAACAAAAGGGTACTATTTACAAAAAAGTCTTTAAGAAGATTTTGTTTAAATATCAAGGAAACCAACATGGAAAGATAAGATTAAATGTAGATGACACAGAAAAAGATTAGGATGGAGAAAAATGAAAAGAAAGGAAAACACCACCAGAGAAAAATCAAAAAGGGAGAAATGTCATATAAGAATGTACTTTACTTTTTTAACATTCTTGAAAAGGACTTATTGTTTGTATCCAGAAGGAAGAGCTTTGAAATTATTAAATATAAACAACAACATTTATCCCCAAACACTGTTAGTACGACTTCATTTCACACGTCACCAAAATCAGAGGGAATACCAGTAATCAAACGAATAGTTTGACCTTACTGCGCATGCGCCGCACTGCAGAATTTCGAACGTGACCCGTTCAGCTCTCACAGTGAAGTTGCCGTTCACTCACTAAAACTCATACCCCCCCCCCCACCGTCACATTTTTGCAATTATCTTTATTAATTTTTCTCGTTAAAACCATACATAAAATAAATATACATACCTGGCACTTCGTGATGTAGAATCAAATACATGTAGTCTAAGTTCAGTTCTGTGCGATTCCAGCCGGAAACTTACTCGCACATGTCGCCATGTGAATCGCGTGGCAGCTCGCCACTGCTCTCCGCCGTTTTTGGTGCCCGCCACTCACAGACCGCGGTGGTCACAATTCAACTCAATTTTACGATGTGAATTCAAACAGATACAGAACAATTTTGTCCAGCAAACTTGTAGAAAATAAACTCCTGATTTCAAATAAGTAAGTACTTTTTGTTGATTGTCCAGAAGATTGGGTGTGATGTCGGTTGAATATGGAGTATCAGAAAATCCAGACGCGAAAAGCTTTTTTCTTTCCGAAATGGAGGACTTCAACAAACTTTTACCTCGTGACAGGAACCTAGGTATCTTCCTCTTTCTAAAAAGGGGGGATTTACTGATACGTTGAGGGATTCACCTTGTAAACGCAATTTGAATGTCGATACATAGGTTTGCAGCATACATGTACAAACAAAGTCTGAATATGAAAATCCAAACTTGACAAAGTTCTACTTTTGTACATCTACATTTTAGTGTGCGTACATTTTCCAGTACTACTAGTTCCAATTGTGGCCTTTTATAGGCGATCGTGTACCTATGGGCCCGGTTCCTATAGTATAGGGAACAAAATCCACTTTTAAAATGTTTGACCTACCAAACTAGTTGGCAATATTAAGAACATGCAGGTATGTCGTAGATAAAGGGCAGGATTTTGAATTTTTAAGGGAAATTGGGGGTACAATGACAATGACGAAAATCAGCACTATGTCAATTGTCATCATGGTCATGTAGTCCAAGTTACATGTATGTCTTTGTCTATGTCCAAGTTACTCGGACTAAATCATGTGTGTACCGTGCTGAATCGCACGGCACCAACCATTAATGCCATTTTTGCAATGACTGACCGTCACTGACACACTTCATGATGAAAAACAGTGGCGTCAGAGTGCACCATTTTTTCCTTTTACTGTGTAGACTGACTTCCGCCTTCCGGGTTATTTATTAAAGAATATGTGGGAAAGAACCCGGAAGTAAATCAGCAACAGTAGTACAGTACTATAATCGAGGGACTAGAATATTCCATACACTTACCAGTCTGTTGGGGAATTTTCATTGGACACATCCGTCCAAGCTTTCACCAAAGCATCCTTATGTTTTAAAAAGCTAACAGACATTTTGACAGCCCCAGTTCAACTTCAACTTTAGTCGATGGCAAACGGGTGGGTGTGTGGGATACAGCGCGTAAGCAATGATGTGGGATCGATCCCAGGCATGAATGTGTATTTCCGTAATAACCAAAGTAATGCGTGGTGCGCCCTCTATGCTAATAATTAGGACATCAGCTACATGCAGTCGAGAGGGGTCTGTCGCATATAACGCGCGTGCACGGTTTGAAATAGAAAACAATTTTATTCAATGAGTGGAATAAATTTAAATTTCAACCGCAGCTCGGACACCATTCATGAGAAATAGATTAGTGCCATTCAGTGGATAGCATTATATTCAACTTACAACTTCGCACGGGATTTATTATGGAAGAACAAAAATGCAGTCTAATGATCTGTTTTACATTGAATTTCGTACCATATTTTTAAGTGCTTTTTCATTTGTAAACAAAACTTAAAGGGAAGAATATAATGTCCTGTAGCAAATAAATTTGATTGTTTATTGGTTTTAATGGCGCGCTATAGTCCAGTTCAGAAATTGCGCACACTATTCAGAATGATGAGTTAGTCGTCTTAATTATTCAAATTAATCATTTGATTACTTAAATGTCATGGGCCGATTTTTTTTTCGTGCAATGTCTTATTAAGCTCATAACTAATATAACGTCTGAAATTATCAAAACAAGCAAGTCTTGAGACTGAAGATTTGTGGAGAAAAAGCAAGATGTAGTCACTGAGTCCCGCCACTTGCTTTTTGTGCAGTAATGATCCCATAGCAAGGCCAGTCTGCGCCATGCAACACCACCTCTGTATAATGTCGATCAAAAGGTACCTTAAGATAGGAAACTGGTGAGAAACTCTACGTTGTTTAAAAGCTGCTGAATAGGTCTCCAACATGCAAAAATAAGCAAGTCTTGAGATCCAAGACTTTTTGAGAAAATGCAAGATGTAGTCACTGAATCCCGCTAGTTGCGTTTTGTGCAGTAAATCCGATAGCAATATAAATTGCCTGTCAGAGCCATTGCAACACCGCCTCTTTATATGTCGGTCTTACGGTACCTTAAAATAGGAAATTGTTGACAAACTCTACGTTGTTAAAAAGCTACTGCATGTGTAGACCTACAACATGCATTTACAAGCCAGTCATGAGACCCAAGACTTGGAGAAAATGCAAGATGTAGTCACTGAATCCCGCTAGTTGCGTTTTGTGCAGTGAATCTGTTAGCAAGGCCTGTCATCAGGGCCATGCAACATCGCCTCGCTATATGTCGGCTTTACGGTACCTTAAAAAGAGAAAATTGTAGACAAACCTTACTTTCTTCAAAAGCTGCTGAGTAGGTCTACAACATGCAAAAACCAGCAAGTCTTGAGACCCAAGACTTTTGGAGAAATTACAAGATGTAGTCACTGAATGCCGCTAGTTGCGTTTTGTGCAGTAAATCTCACAGCAATGCCTGTCAGTGCCATTCAACACCGCCTCTCTAAATGTCTATCAAAAGGTACCTTAAAATAAGAACTTGTAGACAACTCTACGTTGTTCGAAAGCTACTGAGTAGGTCTACAACATGCAAAAACAAGTAAGTTTTGAGACACAAGACCTTTGGAGAAAATGCAAGATGTAGTCACTGAATCCCGCTAGTTGCGTTTTGTGCAGTGAATCTGTTAGCAAGGCCTGTCATCAGAGCCATGCAACATCGCCTAGCTATATGTCGGTTTTACGGTACCTTAAAAAGAGAAATTGTAGACAAACCCTACCTTGTTCAAAAGCTGCTTAGTAGGTCTACAACATGCAAAAAAAAGCAAGTCTTGAGACCCAAGACTTTTGTATAAAATGCAAGATGTAGTCACTGGATCGCGCTTTTTGCTTTTTTTGTACAGAAATCCCATTGCAAGGCCTGTCAGCGCCATGAAACACCGCCTCTCTATATGTCATTTAAAAGGTACCTTAAAATAAGAAATTGTTGACAAACTCTACGTTGTTAAAAAGCTACTGTGTAGGTCTACAACATGCAAAAACAAGGAAGTCTTGAGACTCAAGTCTTATGGAGAAAATCTAAGATGTATTCACAGACTCCCACTAGTTGCGTTTTCTGCAGTAAATCCCCTAGCAAGGCCTGTCAGAGCCATGCAACACCGCCTCTCTATATGTCATTGAAAAGGTACCTCAATAAGAAATTGTTGACAAACTCTACGTTGTTAAAAAGCTACTGTGTAGGTCTGCAACATGCAAACACAAGCAAGTCTTCAGACTAAAGACTTATGGAGGAAATGCAAGATGTAGTCACTGAATCCCGCTTGTTGCGTTTTGTGCAGTAAATTCCATAGCGAGGCCTGTCAGTGCAATGCACACCGCCTCTCTATATGTCGTTCTTACGGTACCTTAAAATGAGAAAATTGTAGACAAACCTCACGTTCTTCAAAAGCTGCTGAGTAGGAATACAACATGCAAAAACCAGCAAGTCTTGAGACCCAAGACTTTTGGAGACAATGCAAGATGTAGTCACTGAATCCCGTTAGTTGCGTTTTGTGCAGTAAATCACATAGCAATGCTTGTTAGAGCCATGCAACACCGCCTCTCTATACGTCTATCAAAAGGTACCTTAAAATAAGAAATTGTAGACAAACTCTATGTTGTTCGAAAGCTAATGAGTAGGTCAACAACATGCAAAAACAAGTAAGTCTTGAGACCCAAGACGTTTGAAGAAAATGCAAGATGTAGTCACTGAATGCCGCTAGTTGCGTATAGTGTGCAGTAAATCCCACAGCAAGGCCTGTCAGAGCCATGCCACACCGCCTCTATATATGTCGATCAACGGTACCCTAAAATAGGAAATTGTAGACAAACTCTATGTTGTTCGAAAGCTGCTGAGTAGGTCTACAACATGCAAAAAAATATGCAAGTCTTGAGACACAAGACTTTTGTATAAAATGCAAGATGTCCTAACTCAATCCCGCTTGTTTCGTTTTGTGCAGTAAATCCCATAGCAAGGACTGTCAGAGCCATGCTTTACAGCCTCTTTATATGTCTGTCTTGAGGTACCTCAACATGGGAAACTGTTGACAAACTCTACTTTTTTCGAAGGCTACTGTGTCGGTTTACAACATGTCAAACAAAAAAGTCTTGAGACCCAAGACTTGTGGAGAAAATGCAAGATGTAGTCACGGAATCCCACTAGTTTTGTTTTGTGCAGTAAATCCCATTGCAAGGCCTGTCAGAGCCATGCAACAACGCCTCTCTATATGTCGATCAAAAGGTACCCTAGAATGGCTAGGTGCGTTTTGTCCAGTAACTCCCACAGCAAGGGCTGTCAGCTCCGTGCACTATTTGCTCTCTATATGTCGGTCAAAAGGCACCTTAAAGTATGAAATTGTAGACAAACTTGACCTTGTTCGAAAGCTTCTGAGCAGTTGTACAACGTGCAATATGCAGCCAACTTTTCAAACGCAAGACTTTTGTAGAAAATGCAAGATGTAGTAACTGAGTCCCGGTTTTTTTGCTTTGTTCAGTAACTCTCATAGCAAGGACTGTCAGCGCCGTGCAGGATTGGCTCTATGTCGATCAAAAGTTACCTTAAAATGGGAAATTGAAAACGTACTTGGTGTTGCTCGAAAGCTACTGGGTAGGTCTACAACGTGCAAAAGAAGCAGATCTTCAAACTGAAGACTTTTGGAGAAAAGATGTAGTAAAAGGGTGCCGCAGGCTTGTTTTGTTTTGTGCAGTAAATCCGATGCATACCATGGCAAGGCCCCGTCAGCGCCACTCTGATTTGGCACTCTATATATGTCATTCAGAATGTAGATACGAAATTTCAGACAATCTGGTTCGAAATAAGCAGCGTAATAACATGTAAAAAAAAAAAAAAAAGTCTTCAGGCTTAAGACTTTGGGGGAATATTCAAGATGCAGTAACTTAGGTAGTAGCGCTAGCCGACACGTCCTGCAATGTCCGTTATTGGCCGCGGGCCGTTGTTGTCCGGGTTTAGCCCAACAGCTCGACGTTGGGAAAGCGTACCGTCTTCTTGCCGGCAGACATCGGTTGGCACGATGATGGGTAGATCACTCAGACGACGATGGCCATCATACCTCTGACCGACATACAGATTGATTTCCTGCCAAAAATTGGAGATTGTTTTGAGTTAACGATTCCAGATCCCATCTCTGCGTGATGCGGACTCGATCGACACGGTAAGAGCATCATGTGAAAAAAAACCCCGTATACCAACGTTTTCTATCTCTTTTTTATTCGTTTTACAAGTAAACTATGACCGAAGGAATATGATCGTTTTATTTTTAATCTTTTCCTGCAGCCGATTTCACGAAACTTTACGACATGGCGCAAGTTACGCTCTACTTTCGTGAAATCGGCTGCTGCCCACTATTGCAACCCCCTATACAGAGATGGTCATGTACTAAGCCCTAATCCCCCGCGCACTGTGGCGTATCAAGAGATGCAAGGTGTCCCGGCCTGCACCCACCTACTTGACGGATTTTTTTGAAATACAATTCAGTAGCCATTTCCATGTATGGTTAGAGAGTTATGACATGAAGAAAAAAAGATAACCATCCAAAACCTTTACAATATGCGGTGAAAATCGGCATATATTTTCCATAATGGTCAGTTTTGAAGAGCGCCCCCATTTCGGCGATTAGTACAAACACCCCCCCCCCCCTCCCTCCCCAGGAAAAAAAATTACATTTTCGGTGAGGAAGTGCGGTTCCCCCCCCCCCCCCCCCCGGAAACGCTGGATACGCCACTGCCCCCGTGTGACTTTCACAAACTTTCAGGCGCTCGATCAGATCTGGACAATGGCGCTTGAGGCCTGCACTCACCCCTTCTCCTCTCTCTCACTCAGGATCGATAACCAAAAATGGTAAATTTGAGTAGACAAGAACCATGATAATTAGTTGTAAACCATTGTGCGCTCCCTCAAGAAAACGAATCCGACCTGTATCTTTAGGTACTTCCCTGTATCCTCGAGTCAGTATTGACGGAGGTAACGCTTGCAACGCGCCCGAGTTGTCAAACGCAAATTGAATGCGACTTCGAGTGTGTCAAACTATCCTCGTCAATACAATTTTTAGGGGGTCTGACGATAAATGTGTTCATCTTGCACTTACCGTGCTGCTGCTCCGGCTTCAATTCGTGCAGTTAATGCATTAACTTTTTAAAACGTGATGCGGAACTTAGCGAACCTTTCAATGTCAAAATTTAGCCGCAAGTCAAACGGGTGGTGTCTGGATGTTACAAGACACTTTGCCGGCCGGTAGCCTCATGTTTGTCACCAATGCACTGAGAGTCACGCCCACTTTTTGCAACTCTTCGCCTATAATTACATGAATTATTCAACAGAGGGCGCTATTTGATGACACCATCATGGCGGATCGATGGAAGAAAGTTTCTTTGGCTGTCGCCTTCGCCGGGATGGTGAAGGAAGGGGCAGCCGAGTCTCATGCTGAAAATCTCGTGTTAGAAATCGAGACATCTGAGGAACCCGTGGCCCCCACTTTGAGGTATGTCCTCGGTGATTTATGCTCCCATTTTTACCGTTTGGTTTGAGGGGTCAAAGAACATCATGAAGAAGGTCACAGTATAGTAACAAACCACTCACCTGCTCACACATGTCACATGCATGATTTTTTGATAGCATCTTTATTTGCCATTTTTGTGCAAACGACATACACAAATAAACAGCACTCACTATCTTATTAACAACGAAATCACTAAAATGTTGAAAAGGCATGATTTTCCGACTGTGAGAAACATTTCCAATTTTGTTAGAAAATACTTTGAGTTTGAGTTTGAATTTGAAAATGCATTCTTTCCCCTTTTTTTTTAGCTCAGAAACCGAGCTCAGTTTTAGTTTTGATAGGGCCTACCATTATTAAAACACGCAGTTGAGTTATTAGCTGATTACGATTATTGAAGTTGTTGAATTACACATAATAATTAAAATTAGGGCCTAAAAACAAAACCCAGACTCAGTGAACAGTGGAGAAAGTCAGAAAGGTGCATTATCTGTCGATTTCATTTCATTCGTTGGACCTACATGTACATGTATTAGGCCTACAGAAATTTAGCGTATCATGCATGTAGGCCCCTATTAATTATTAACAAAATATACATAGTTTACTGTATCATGTATGCATTTATTTCTAAATCTTCAGGTCAATGACCAGTTGACAGTGCTGTCACTTTTGGCATAATGTACACTGTAGGATTGCATAATTTCCAACTGTTCATACATGTATATATGTACATGGGTACATTGACTAGCCTGAAGCAGTGACGAGCCATAACATGTGGGTCTGGCTGGGCAATAACGCGGTTGCTGTACATGATCATTAATTATGATCATTGCATCAAGGCTGCCAAGGCCATTGGATCATATTACACTCCATTGAACTTGTTGCCTCAGCCCAGGATGCCCTGGCTATAATTATGAACACAGGGACGAGCAGCTGACACGCGCGCTGACTGTGGGCACACAGGAGCTTCCTGTTAGAGTGTGATCTCATTGAATGCTCTGCACATCTGCCTGCTGTTGTGCGTTGAAAGCACTGGCTTCACAGAACATACCACAGGATATCTGCATGCCAATTGCTGTACTGTGTCGCCGTCAATCTCCTCTTCAGTGCAGTGGACTTATTCAATGAGGAACTGATTAGCTCATCAGGATATATACGTGAACATTTTTATACACCGGAAGTCTCCTGTGTGTAAGCTTGCATGGAAGTCATGCAAGCTGGATCTCTCAGATTTTGATTGTGCCTCGCTTTTGTAGAGCTCTGCTATCAGATAAGCATCTTCACAGATCTGGAAATTTTGGAATTTGGTCAGACATCAAAGCTTTTGTGCCCGCCTGTGTGATCTGTGTTCATAAAGGAGTTGGAGTCCATGGTTCTAATTGTGCTGGCAATTATACCATCATCTACATGTACATGTACATGTACGTGTACTAATCATGTACATGTACAGGTATCAATATCATACATGTACATTGGACTACTAAAAGCTGATTCGTTTTTCACTTTCGGGAGAACAGTGTCTAGCAGTCGCTTGCAGTGTTTTGGTTTCTGCGTAGGACAAGTGGTCTATGGGTGGAACATGCTTGCATGTAATTAGCTGCTGTGCATGTATGGTACCGGTATGCACACGTATACATGCGAATCATAGACACTCTGTACAAGAATGGATCAATAATTTGTGCTGTGTGGAATACACAGTAAGGCAGTCCAGTACTTCTGTATTGCGTTTTGCGTATTGATTGAGGAATTAAGTGGAAGTACCGGAATTAAAGTCTGGAGTTCATGCACCAACGCTGGAAGTAATGATTGTGACATTGTCATCATGACGGACCCCAAGTACCCGATAGGCCAGCCGCTAGAAAAGGTCGAAGAGCACAATCGGCTTGTCAGTGTCATTGAAGAATCAGACTCGACGTCTGTCTGCCAAATATTCAGGTTGGTGAAAACATTTCAGACTGTGTGGTGTCAATAGTTATAACTTACAAGTGCATCCCAGTATTTGAGTAAATCAATATACCGGCTACATTGTACATGTAATTCACACCAGTTGTTGATCGTGGAATTCCTAATGTCCTTCTTTTGTCTGCGCTCTAACTTCTTGAGAAGATTCCCATTATGTCAGTGTATGTTGTGTACGCGACCCCAATCGCGGACCTATGCTGGTACATGTAATTGCGGACGATATTGTTTTCCTTTGTTCTCTGTCATTATTCATCCACGGTTTGAATGTCTTAATATGCCCACCCATACATACATCAGTGTGCACTATAGCCTGCTACCGTGCTACGGATGCCTATTACATTTTTTACCTCCATGACAAGGTACACATCCGGTAGGCCTGTTATGTTGTAGATGGGCTCTCAATCAAGTTTTTAAAGTCACTATCCTTGTGATTTTTCTAATTTTCAAACATTAATTCCTGAACAAAGTTTCAAAGAATGATGTTCTTGAACAAATTTATTAGCCTACACAGTAGGCCCCACATTTTTGCTAAAAGTTACGGGCAATTCAGCTGTACGTAGTGAACTACATGTAGGTTGGAAAACTCTACATGAAAGAAGAGAAATTCATATCAATACCATGGTTTTTAAGTGTTTATCGGGCAATGTTCCTAGTTATCTTAGCGAAGGTTTTGTTCCAGTCAGTGAGCTACACTGTCATCGAACTAGGAATACATGTAGCACTATTGGCAATGTGGTACTTCCACTCCCTAGAACAGAAAATGGAAAAAGAACTTTTAAATTCAAGGGTGCCCAGGCTTGGAATAAATTACCGCAACATTTGAAATCTCTGCATCCAGCAAGTCTTAATCACTTCGTCAAACACCTCAAACAGCTAAGTTAAAAAAAGAAGAAAACAAGCGGAGAAAAAAAAAACAAAAAAAAACGGGGGGGGGGGATGTCATCTTGCAGCCATGTTTTGTATTGTATTATAAATGTCTGTTGATCTGTGTAATTCCTATTTCATTTTTTTTTTTAACATTCTTACATTGTACATGTGTACTTTTAATTGTATTTTAATAGTAGTTTTGTGTGAGCTGGGATCCACGGGAGATCAGTGAGTTTTTCTCACTGGATGGATCACCCAGGATAAATAATAAATAAATAAATAAATAAATAAATAATTAATTCCCACTGAAAATAGAAGATCTTTGTAGTCCTACATGTACATGATGTTGCACTTGTTTCACTCTCGAGTTTACATGTAATTTAGCCTTGGCCTGAGTCAGGTGTTGCGCTTTTTGTTGCACCCTCAGGAGTCAGCTGCAGACATGGCAGACCAGCATAAATGTCAATTATTTTAGTTCAGAAACCCTATGAGACTGTCAATGTGTGCTCGTATTTCTCTCCTGAACATCAGTGTACATGTTGTGCACATGTACATGTATAGACTCGTTTCTGACTTGAGTTGAGTCTTTAGAAGCAGAATTTAAAAAAAAAACCTGATAACTTAGCGTGGACCAAATTTGGTTGTGGTTGTTGTTGTTCATCTTGGGAATGTCTGTAGGCCTAACTTCTGTAATGCTAGCAAATTTATGAGGAATTAAATTTTAACCCTAACGTACCTGAATCCATCAAAATCCACGTGTTTCGGGGGATTTCGGCGGATTCAGGATACCACCATATTGAAAAAGTTGGGGGATTTTGATGTATTAGGAAAAATAACCGGTACTGCAGGATTTTGATTGATTCAGGATACCTCCATATTGAGCAGTTGGGGGACTTTGATGGATTCAGGATCTCAACAGATTTACTCCCGGCTAACTGGTGGATTCTGATGGACTCACTGGCCACCAAAATATTTTTTGCATGGCAAAATTGATGGATTTTGGCGGATTCAGGATACTTTCTTATAAATATACCCAAGGGGTTAGGGTTAAATATTTGTTGTTAGGGCCCCACAACCAAAAGCACGGGAACCCTCCCTTAAATGTATTGCATTTTACACACTGTGTCACATGTGTGTTTTCATGTATCATGCGCATACATGTACATGTACATGTTCAGTGTACATGTGTACATGTAAATGTACCCTGCATACATGTATAAACAACATTGGGTGCTTATTTCATCTGTACTCAGATAAACCAGTAGGAAATTTACATGTGTAAAGTGTATACATGTAGCTTTTTAATATTACAAGTTATTTGGTCTGAATATTACAATCCATTGCAAAGTTCAACTCATAACATCTCGTTTGATTTATATTTGTTGTTTTCATATCTCCTCCTGTGTAGACGGGGCTAAAGTGCAGTGTGTTAATTTTTGACGAATTACGGTGTTGGAATTTTACAGCAGCCAATCACAGGGCTGTATTGCTGCTTAATTTGCATGTGTGTCCCTTTTCGATGAACCATGGTTTATGCACACAGGGTGTGACATGATGTGTCTGTAGAGACACATCTGGAAAAATGAACATCACATTTTTGAGTGATGAGTCTGCAGGACTCTGATATATGCTGTGCAACATACAAGACCAGCATCAGCCTGAGATGTACATGTACAGTTGAGTCCAATACAAGTTCCTGCAAGTCCATCACACATGTCACAAGTCCTCCAGTCCCAATTCAAGTCGCAAGCTATTCGAATGAGCTTCGACAAAGGCATTACTTAATTGATATTGTTCATCCACCATGTCCACTGTAATTTGCGACTGGACTTGGGATGGACTTGATGAATACACATGTACATGTACATGTACACATCCCTGAAGTCAGCTATACATGTAGGCCTACTCAGCTTACATGGATCTTGTAAACAATAATTTGCCAAAAGAATATTGGCGAAAGATGTACATGTAACTGTATGTGTATTGTATTTATTTCCTGCTGTGACAGTACGGTAGGAGGAAGTTTGTGAGGGTTAAATATCGTTTACATGTACATGTACATGTATCTTCATCATCAGTTTTTGTTTGAAGTACGTGTATGTGCATGCTTTACACACTCATCCACTTCCTGTTGTTGTGAAAGCTAGTTTCACGATTTGACCCATGGTGATACATGTACATGTACATGTACATGTATGTACATTTTTGTATATATGGCCTATTTTCGAGTAGTTTAACCCTTACCCTACTAGACCCTCCAACGCATGCCAATATGTGCCTCAAGAAAATCTCCTATGTTTTTTGCATGGCCCTCCAATATCTGCCATGTCATTTCAAGGGTAACTGGACAGGCACTCCAATACATGCCACAGAGAACAATGAGAGTCCTCTGATAACAAAGTGAGTGCCCCCAGCTGGTCACTATCAGGCACCCTCCAGGGCCTCCAACTCCTGCCAATTGGAGCCTTCACTGTTAAGACAAACTATCTGCCAATAAACTGCAGCTGGAGGGCATTGGCATAACCAACTGACATGCAGTAAACTACCCTCAGAGAGTAAGGGATAATAGGGGTAAATGGCACCACCAACGTCGAAATAGACGGGTCCCCCCTCCTCCCCCCCCCCCCCAAATAAATAAATAAATAAATAAATAAATAAAAAATTGCAGCCAAACATTTTGGGCAACATTTTTTGAAAAAAAATCAAACTTCTAAACAAAATTCTGAGCCCCCCCCCCCCCCTGCCAAATCTTGGGTGTGCCACTGGGCCGGATCGTTTTAGTTCAAGTGAATAACTTTTGGAGCCCTAGTAAAAAAAAAGCAAATCTATTTTCGAAAAGAGCACAGGGGGTGCAATTTCAAAAGTTAGGCAATGGGAGAAAAACAAATTGTGTATATGGGTGATTAATTCTTTTGGTCAGGAAAATACCCATTAGCAGCAGTGAAGTGCAGCAAGTTGACTCAAGCCCATAATTTGATGATGAGTCACATCCGGCCCAAGGCTATGATTGTACTATTGGTGTTTTTATACCTAAGTATGGTAGCTCCACCAGGTCAACATTGACAATTGATCATGTTGATAAGTAACTTTTCAAAATCCCCCACCCACCTTGCACAGCTTGCAAGCTTGTGTGTGAAAATAAATTACAAATACCGGTACAGTGTACACGCAAGTAATTAAAGTATGGATACAATACATTCACTAGTAAGCTGCATGCATTCATTCAGTCATTCAGTCATTATTATTTTTACCACATCTCATTGTGATCACATTACGTGACAATGCAGAAATACATAGTTTTAAATATTAAGGAATTACATTAATACTGGTTTTACAAAATATATTTATACACTTGAGAGCATTATTCGTCGGGTGCCCGGCAGAAGGGCATATGAGCGTTCCGACGCAATATCATTTTCAAGAAAATTGCATTGAAAGGTTCCATTGTTCCCCTGCGCGCATTTTGAATCAAATGTTTAAATTTCATTAAAATGGATGCAGTGTTCTGCATATTCCCTTTTGCTGGGAACATTTTGGTCATTACGCGCTACATGTATTGCATAAGGGCGTATGCACATATGCCCTTCTGCCGGGCACACGACGTATTAGAGATGATGGAAGGGGATCCCCAAAAGCAGAGCTTGTTTCGATGCATACGGTATGTTACCTGATCATCTGTGATGCATCCATTGGCATGCATGGTGGCTCTACATGTACATTTACCAATCCAGGCATGCTAACAATTCTATTACGGAGGCCCCCCCCCCCCCTCAATGGCGATAATCCATCACAGGTCAGTTGCTTTGAACAATAGCATGCACAATGGTGTCTCCATTGAAGGGGGCCTCGTGACTGTGGGTATATGATCATATGCTCGGCTTCATGCAAACTGTAATCCTCAATCCTGATTGGTCGATCCATGGCAACAACAGTGTGATGTCATACCTAATAGCACGGTCGATATTGCTCTCTGCGAGTTGCGCTATTCCAAGATGCGCACTGTTCCTTCTGCAAGCAAGTATAGGCCTAATGAGATTACCACTGAAAAAATAATGTGTGCGCGTGTTCCATCTTTTCTAGATGAATTCGTTGTCCCACTAGTGCTCATGGAACAAGAAAAATGTACATGTAGTCGTCTTACATCCCATCGACACACTACATTATTCCATGTTCCACTCACGCTCATGGGATAACAATTAGTATACTTATCACAGAATGAATTTACAGCAATAATGACACACACAGGTATGCAGCATTACATTGCACTTCTTTCATCATGTTCATGGAAACATTTTCACCAGCGTTTGTCAGTTTGCACGTTACTTCTAGTGCACAGTCATAAGTTACGTCGCAATTCAACCACTTAAGGCGACTTATGGTCCTCACCCAACTAAGGCCAAGTTCGGGCAAGGACCATTAGTCGATTAGTGGTTGATTTGTGACGTACCTTACGCCTGCGCACTGATAGCAACGTGCGAACGTCTCTAGTCAAATGCTGGTCAAAATGTCATCGCAAAACGTCTGGATCCTGGCTCTCTGCTAGCGTTATGAATGCTCGCGGCTATTGGTTACCAGCGAAGCAACCAACCCCAGTAGGCTGGTTCCAAATAGTCGACTAGCGTAGTCAACCACCGTCGACTAGACAGAGTTCGGGCAAACGTTAGTTAACCATTGGTCAACTATAGTCCTTGCGCGAACTTGGCCCTTGCTGCCTATTTATGGTCCATCTCTCTTGCTTTTTTACCAGAGCCATCCAAGATGGCAACGATCACGAGCGTTTCATGCAGCATCTCAAGGCGCGCATCCAGGAGCATGACCGAGACATTGAGAGGATGTGCAACTTCCACTACCAGGGCTTTGTGGACAGCATCGGCCAGCTGCTCAAGGTCCGAGCCATCGCCGAGAGGCTAAAGGTGGGTCAAAGGTCAAGGTCAAGGCTGGTCATAATTTAGACTTTGGCAAATGTGACCGGCTCCACAAACAAGGGTATTACATGTATGTCGCATAAAAATGAAATTTGAGTTATATGGTTGGAAAGCCCACAACGTATGCTTTCATTTGGTATATAATAGAGCTCCATACAGGTAGCCTTTTCCCGATCTGGAGATATGACATATTTGCATATCCTTGGAGTTCGAGTTGTATAACTGAGAAAACAGGTTTTGAAATAGCTGGCTCCGTTATAGAACAAAATGTCAGTGTTGTAATTCAAAACAATCTTGCACTGTTATTACTTGGTTCTTTTCTATTCCTCAGGAGGAGGTCCTGTCGACGAATCGGTCTCTCCAGCGTTCCGGCTTGCCCGTCATCCAACAGGCGGAGGATCTGGAGAGAACGCGGAAAACTCACCGGAATATCGTAGCAACAGTGGAACACTTACAACTTTGCTTGCCTGGTAAGAATGTATGGCCAACGATAACCCTAACTCTGCTGAATCCAACAGGATCCAACTATATCACATAACCGTTGGAGCCTGTTGGATTCAGCAGTAAACCCCTTGTACAAATGTACATATTCAGAGTCTGATTCTGTTGGGTACTGATAAACAACGCCAAGTTGGACTCTGTTGGATCCAGCAGACAACTAAAAATTAGACACAGTTGGATTCTGTTTGATTGAGCAGGAAGTAACCGTTGGACTCTGTTGGATGTAGCGGAGTAGTCCCGAGGAGGTTAAATGTGTGCTGTCACAGTTTGAGTTGCAGTTAGCCCGTGCCTGTGTACCAAACTAATACATGTTTACATTACTTATTGCTTTCTATCATGTCTGTTACAAATAAGAGCCAGGCACTACTAGGTCATGAAATTGACAGGCTTTCAAGTATTCCTACTTTTCCTACTTTTTCCTGGTTTTTACCTCAGGTTGGCGTAGCGGTACTTTCCTCGCCTTCCACCGCTGTGACCCGGGTTCGAATCCCGCCTGGGTCAATAGGTGGATTGGGTTTTCAGTCCCTACCTGATTCCATGGGTTTTCCTCAGAATACTCTTCTGGGCTTTTCCTCCCACCTCTAAAACTGTTATTTCTTCACATTTGTCTTCTCTTTACTGGGACCCATGGGAGATCAGTGGATTCCACTGAATGGGCTACCCAGTTAAAATAAGATATAAATAAATAAACCTTGCTCCTACGTTTTTTGTCTTCCTCCTACTTTTTCTAGTTTTTACCTTGCTCGTACTTTTAATTTTTTTTTTGAAATTCCTACTTTTTTTGTCCCACAACTCCAAAAAATGAAAACTCGTCGAATATTGCTCATGACCTGATGACAGTGTTACATTATATACCGGTACTGTCATATGAAAATCACACAATGAAAGAATACTGCAACTGTACTATTACTAGTTTTAGTGAGAGCTCAGTTAGGGATGGAGCACAAGTGTTGTAAGTACATGTACAGACCATGCCAATGATGAGTCTTGTATTGCTGTGGACATGAGTGAGTGTATCAACAGAAACTACTGGAAAGCCAAAAAAAGTCCTACTTTCATGCTGATTTTGCCTTTCAGTTTTACTACTGTTTGGAAGATTGGTTAATGAAAGGGCGATTTTGTTTCATGAATATGCACATCCTTGTTTTTGCTGAGAATAATGTAACTAATAACATTTCCTCCCCTAAAAATGTGGTAGAATATGAATTTGAAGATAAAAACTGGTTCAATAAAACTTGTATTTGTTTTGTACAAGCTTGACTTCTACCCAGAAAATAATGCTGACTGAATGCAGAAGTTGTGGTTAATCATGCACATCACAAACATGGTAAATGTGAAAGTACAATGGTTTCTACATGTACATGTAGGCCTATATGCTGCTGAAAAAAAATCCTCAACTTTCCATTTTCAATGGAGGCTGTTTTCGCATGAGAAATTTGCCGATCTTATAAAATCGTGTCAGGGTAGGAACCTTCAGACGGAAAGAAAAACAGAAACGAACAGAGAGTGTAGTTCAAAAGTTCAATAATAAACAAAGACATAAAACTCCTGAACTTTTTTCCCATGAATATATCACACGTATGGAAACATGTAGATTGCAATACAGAATGTATGAAAAGCACTGAACATGTTGAATGCAAATATGCTTCATTGTGGAAATAACATTAATGTACTGGTATGTACATGTATACTGGTGTGTGTATACTACAGTACATGTTCATTTTCATTTATGTACAATCAAAGCTCATGATAACACCCTTTGGTGCCTGTAATATTTGACTAAAAAAGAAAAATTGAACTTGTTTTCATTGTTATAAACACCAGAGCTGTTTAATTGGCGCTGCTTATTTTCATAGGCGCCTGGCAAAATAATCGCACTGCACTTGGTGTGAAATAAAAACGGAGAGCTCCGTTGACTGTTGACACTGGCAGTAATCGCACGTAAACCGAGGCTGAGCGGAGTACCGGGCAGGATCCTTAGCCAGGACGGCTTGACATTTAGGCGAGGCTAGTTTACGCCGTGATTGCAGGGAAGAGATTTTCACCGGTAATCACAGTGACAGGCATGCTGGTGGCCCGGGGGACTTAAGGCGGCAGGATTGCATTACTGATCATGAAGTATTTTACACATTGTACGCCTTACTGCAGGGGCTTGTGCATAATCATGTTCGCGAGATGGTACAAGGAGTACTAGTGAAAAAAATGAAGATAGTGTTAAATGAAAGCACGTGAAATTGACCATTTTGAAAGTATAATTCTGCATAGTGTTAATACAATGCACACATGTATACGGTATGTGAAAATTGTGAACAACGTTCTTGTTAAAAAGAAGATACTAGGCCCTATACATCAGTACATAGTGTGAAACTTTAGTACATGGTGCTTGATTTCTTGGGCAAGGCACTTTATTACAATTGCCCCTCTTTACCCAGGAGTATAATGGGTACCTGTGAAGGTACATGTACATATGTACAGACAAAATTGGGCTGATCTCGAGCTGCTGCAGTAAAAAGGTCTTATTCCTGATGAAGAGGGATACCTGGTACATGTATTGTAAAGCACTTTGATGCCTCACAATGTAAAAGTGTGTAAGGGCGCTATATTAAGTACATTATTATTATTAAATGATACTACCGGTACATGTACATAATAATAATAATAACAACAGAGTCTTATATAGCGCACGTACATGTATCTACCAACAATTAGGTACATGTGCTCAAGGCGCTGGAAATTATGTCAATTTTCAAGAAAGGTAAATAAAGTTTATGAGAAATATGAGACCCATTATGTAGCACCTTATAATGGTTTACAAGGTGCTGCGGCGCACATTGCAGCCACTGCCAGAAACACCGGGGCAAACCCCTTCTCTTAGCGATAAGTGTTACTGGGTTCTTTAACGTGCATTACACAACACACGGGACCTACAGCTTTACGTCCCATCCGAAGGACGAAGCAATAATGGTAAAGTGCCTTGCTCAAGAGCACAAGCACCACGGCACACGAGTCGATCACCCTAACCATTGGACCACAGCGCCCCACATGTATGCCTTTAAGACCTCAATTTGCAATGAATTTAGCCAGCCTCTCAAGCCACACACAAGTACATGTACACGTACAGTATGTATGTGTACATGTACATGTTTAAATTGTATGCGAGGCGTTCTGGCAAAATGAGACAGAACTGGGCATAGATCAAAATGAGGGTTTGCGGGTATTAGGACAGAGAATTAAATTTTCCTTACAAATCTTGTTGCACTTCAATTGGACATTCTGTTGACAAGTTATGGCTGTTTAAAAAAGTTCACATTTATCGACATGTCATAAAAACATAATAGTGAGAAAAAGGCCTGCAAAGTATTTAGTTGTGAATATTTGTGAGAATGAAAGATGAACTGATTTTTTCTTAAAGATATAGTCCATCATTTGTAATTTGTGCATTTTGTTCGTTTGAAGCAACAAAAGTGTTCAAAATCTAATGAAGGATACTGAACAACTAACCTGATGAAGTTTCAGCTCAGCTTCAGCTGTATATTCCGAGAAAAACAGCATTCTAAGATCTCAATTTCAAATCAAAAGTTGCTGAAATCATGTTTTGAATTGTTTTGAATTGCAGCTATACGCGATGTCGCGCACTGATCCGACGAATTATAGCAACCGCGCGTGCGTGTGCGTCATGCCAATGCTTGCGCGCGCTGCGCTGAATAACAAAACGAACTACTAATTTAAATTTTCCTACGGTGCGTCTTAAGTTTAGTCCACTTACTATCTTTCAACCAAGTATGTTTTTTCAACAATAATACGCCAGTTACTTTTTCGGATGCTGCAAATGATGGACTATAGCTTTAACACACTTTTGTTCACAAGTTTTATACCATTTCTTTAAAATATGTGTAGTGGACATGTCAAAGATTACAAATACAAATGTATCAATAAATCTGAAGATTAAAAAAAAATTAAAAACCCTTCTGGTTTTTGTTTCTTTGCATTTTTCTCCACTACGGCCTGTGCACAGTTTCTTCTCATTTTGCCAGAATGTCTCACATATGTAATGTATGGTCCATATTTGATGAGTGTCATGCCTGAGGCTCCCTTGCATTACACTGATGAGGCCTGCGCATCTTGAAGGTTGACAATGACCCCAGCATGCATTACTGAGATTGCTGTCTGGCCGATCGGTAGTTACCGCTATGGTGATGCACTCAGACTGATGAATTGTTCTTGAAATATTATGAGTGTGCATATGATCTTGATCATGTACAAGACAGAATAACATTCTTTTTTCAAATTTTGGTCAGTCATGTGCACAAGTTACATTTATTTACAATTTGTCATACATAATGTGCAATGTACAAATAGGCATACTGTGAATGTACAATGTACATGTACATTGTCATGATTGTACAGTGGGCAATATACATTGTAAAGGGACGTGATGGCCTGTAGTGTGCCCAACTGGTCTACAAAACGTGTTTTAAACGAAATGATGTTAATTAGAAAGAGCGTTTAAAGTAGGATATAAACATCCACACAACCATCCTTTAAAAAGTGGGCGTTTTTGTGTTATTCTTGCGTTTTTGTGTTTTTCTTGCGAGAACCATGCGAGAGCGAATTTCAGGGGTCACAATATTGACTCCAAAAAATCGAAAAACGTCTGTTACATGTATATGTAATTTTTTTTTATAATTTGTTATGTGATTAAATAGGTGCTTCTTTAAATGCCAAATTTTTTTGTGGACAGCCAATTTACACGCATGGTTTGACAGCTTCTTGTGTGAAGAAAAGTAGCCTTTATTTGCATCTTTAAAATCTGTCGTATAACAGCTACAGTGCATAATTATTATTATTGTTATATTTTGTATTACTTTTTTCGACCCATAAAATTACAAACACAGAGATGGGCCAGGGGCAGCAAAAGTAAAAATACTGTGGTCCGAGGACCTGCTGCCCAACATCAAAGTGCTATAAAATCAATATACATAAAATATATGGAATATAAAAATTCACACAAACAAAATGAACAACACATGAACAAATGTATGTCATTAAACAAAATTCGCACAAAAAGATTACACAAAATATAAAAGAAAATATATATAAATTAAAAAAAAGTAAAATCATTACTGAACAGCCATTAGATAAGAAACAAAAACACCAAAAAACCCAGCCCCAGTCAGAGAAAAAAACAACAAAAAGAAAGTTCTCTAAAAAGAAACAGAGGAGATAAAGTTAACCCAAACCACACTATGGTCTCAAGCAAAAGACTCAGAAAGGATTGTACATTTACGGTAGTCAGCTATAGAGCCCACAAAAATGTATCAAAATAATAATAATAACTGGATTTATAGAGCGCCAAATTGCCAAAGGATACAAGGCGCTGAATATATAAATATATATTTATAAAAAAGACTTTATACCACAGTGCCTATGTTCAAATTTTCCAATAATTAAATACCAAATTATTTGAAAATGCCCAGCGCAAAAATATTTTTGCCCATAGACATGATAGATACATGTAGATTCATTTGTGTACCCTGTACATTGTACAGTTCTCAATAGTAACCTCTTTGCTTTCATTTCTGATGCAGCTTATCTCCCATTATACGCTGCTGACATTTCAAGTTCCTTTTTCGGTTCTGGGTTAATGAGTGTTTGCAGCGTCTACTGAACAAACTTTGATCCAATTTGAGTGATCACTTGTTGACACATTACCCTGGGAATTTTAACCGGGTAGAAATTTAACCAGAGCTGCGGGTAATTTATATCACTGGAGCTTAGTCATGTTAGTGTTTTCTTTTTTAACTTTGTGTCTTGTCGCTTGTACATGTACGGTACGTACAGTCCCTGTGTATTCATGTTTTATGAAAAAGAGAAATTTGAGACACTTTCCAATTGTGTAATTTGTCGGGACAACAACAGTACATAATTTACATACATGTACCGGTACATGTACATTTTGTATACTGTGTCAAATTGTCTCTAAGAAATATAAAATACAGAAACGTGAAGTCCTTTTGTAACATTTTTTTTGCAATTTTCACCATTGTGTGTTTAATGAAAGTGACATTGAATAACTTTGCAATTTCTTCATATTGTAAAATTTTTGGAATTGAATTTGTGTGCCTTTCATTGATATTTGGTCACATTTATGAAAACTGCTAGTAATACCTGTAGTTTAACATTGTACAGTCAAGTTAACGGTCACTTGCCAAATTGCTGCTGTCAGTGCCTCATCGTATATACCGGTATATGAACTTGTGTGTACATTTGTACCGGTACAATGCACACGTATGCACATGTAAATTGTACATGTATTAAAGGGAATTTGGCATTGCACCTGACAGCTCATGTGACCTTGATGTACGTGTTCAGTGGATGAACAAACTTAATCGTGCTTGTAAATTTTGTGTTTAATTTTTACCTCCTGAAACATGTAGGCCTACATGTATGTGTACATTTTTCTGTAAAATGTACCCCAAAATACAGTACCAGTAGTGCTACACATTTGTCACTACATGTATACGTATACAATGTACACGTATACAGGTGCATAGATGTACACAGTACATGTATCCTGGAATGAATAATACTGAGCCTAAATTAAACATGATGTACAATGTATACAGACATCCCGACGGCTGTGCATAAATTATTGATTTTTGGTCTCGTTTGTATTACCCAGCCCATATCATCTTTCTCTTTTCTTTCTTTTTCCTCCCCTTGTCTGCAGTTCTCCAGATGTACTGCAAGTTGAATGAGCAAATGGAGAATAAAAGGTATGTTGACACTTGTGGGATTGGGAGATTGGGATGGACATGAGAGGGGAGCAAAGATGAGGATGAAGACACAATGGTGCTGATGAGGGCCCTCAAAAAAAGTTGTGTTGATGGTAACCTGACTTACCTGATTTATGTGACCAAATTATCTGTTATAAACATTTATTGCCACATTTGGCCTCTATTTTCTAATAGGTACACACAAGTAACTGGTTAATTTAACAGTTCAATTCAAAAATTAAACATTTAAATAAATAAGAATCCAAACTGAGTATATAAAACACTAAAGTTAGTATAAAAGACAGACTTTCACAAAAAAGTTACAGAATAAAATTATTTTTCTACCCACAAGTACATGTTCGTACATGTATGTATTCCTACCTGCATAAATTTGTTCAAGATTAGTGCAAACACACATTTTTGTAAGCCTGATTGCTGTGAAATATAAATAACGGGTGATTGTATGAGTTCTTGTAATTTCCGTACGTTTTTATGTATTGTACATAGATACATTTGCTTATTGAGTATTATGATATCTCTATCTGTGTGATTGACAACATTTCTAGACAAGATGTACATTGTAACATAACATTTTACATGAGATACACACATGTACATGCAATTGTCCAGAAATCCATGATACATGTTATTGAATACGAAATAAGGCATGCATGCATGTCAATGTGTCATGGATGTACATGTACATGTAAGTGCAAAATTGAAATGCAATGATAGTTGGTGTACCACTTGAATGAAAATGTATACTACATTCAAGACTCAATTCAAGCTTCAATGTTCAAGATTTATATTCCTCACATAAAATATTACATGAGATACAGTACATGTACTTGCCCTATGTGAAATCAATCAATATGAGATCTTAAAATTTAAATGAAAGTACAAACACACACAATAACCCAAATATATTAAAGAGAAAGGAACAAACGAACAAGTAAATAAATACACACCTGAATTAATGAACTTTACAATGACCACTTAATTATGGACTGATTAAAAAAAACACCTTAATATATAAGACAAGTGAGCTCAATTGCACAGCCTAGGCAACCCATAAGACCACTGAAGAGCGACACAAAGGTCAAACATACAATGCTCCAGTGCTGAATTTATGACAACAAATTCCTAAAGCCAGTGAATGGGGAAATATACAACTCCCTCCCCCCCCCCCCTCCCCTCCTCCAAAATCATCCGTTATTTCTTGAATTTAGTCTGTGGAGGGTGACCACTGCCTCAATCCTCCAAAATCCTCTGCCAATTACTGCTATGGTTTGAGGCAGTGCAAATGGTGTTTAGAAGCAGTGCGGATGAAATACGAGAAAAACACAGGGCTGATTTATACATTGCGGAACTTAACCAATGCAGGATATGGCCTACTAGCTTGACGTAATGCATCCTCCACAAAAAGCAATATACATCTTTGCCATTCATCCTCAATCCTCTAAAATCATCCAAATTCGGCAGGAGGATTTTGGAGGATTGATGAGGAGGGTTAGGATTAAGAGTGTATGTGTAATGACATGTATCATGTGCTCCATCCATATTCCTGTGTGCAATTCGCAGATACTACACAGCACTGAAGACATTGGAGCAGTTGGAACACACTCAGCTCCCGCGGGTCAAGCGCTACCGGTTCTGTGAGAACATGGCCAAGAATATCCCCAAGCTGCGTGAGAGCATCATGGAAGCCTCCATGAGCGACTTGAAGGACTTCCTGGAGAGCATTAGGAAGCACTCGGATTGGATAGGGGAGGAGGCCATGAAACAGGTAACCAGACTAGTCTTCATTCAAGATTCTGATGTCTATGTTTAATTTCGGTAGTCTTGATTCCTGTTGGGTCCAGATACCAGTGCCTATTGGCACAGTGCATTAAGCCTCCCTCTCTCAGTGACAATCTGGAGAGAGTATGCATCTAAATCTATCAGGTGACAGGTTTTTTTATAGGTCTGTAAACTGGCGTCATATTGGTACAATTGACAGGCTGTGGTAGTTTTGTTAACTGAGGGGACCATGCCTTGACTGACATTGATAGATGTGGTGGGTCAGCGCTGGTGAGTGCCTGCCAATGATGGATTTAGCTCAGTAACAATGGAGGCACAAAAGGTTTACTCGTGCATTCCAGGCCGAACAAAGGCATCGCCCTTTAAAATGGCTGCTACACAAGCTGTACCAGTATTAATGGTCACGCTATCTATCAAACTGCATCAACAAGCTTTGACAGTTATACGGTTTAACTCTGTTCTGGTACCGGTAATTGGTGACCAGCCTGTACAAAACTATGGGAGAGGAAGTGGTAGATTGTTTTGACGGTTTGTGACATGAGGGTTAAAAAAATTCCCCCCAGAATTCTTTATGGTACGTGAGCAATGATGATGGCATAAAATGGACTCTGTATATCACTTTGTAACCACTTTCGAGACCCTGGGGATAGGGTGGGGGTGGGGGTGTCACCTCATATGTGCTTGTTGATTTGTGTGTGAAAGGTGTAATGTATGCACAAGTTATTTTTATTCTGAAAGTACACAACCCATATCGTCTTTACGAGGGTGTCAGGTACCATCAGCAATACGTTTAAATGTTCTGCCATGTGGTCTCCCCCAACTCTCTCTTTGTAACCGTTGAGGAGGTTCTTGTGCACATAATGATGGATAACATCTGAATTTCCCTTCATCCATTTCTCCTGATTCTTGCAGGTGCAGAGACGAAGCAACATGGAGTCTTCGGTGTTTGTGAAGGGCAGCTCTGGGCCCAACAAGGAATCCTCACTGGTGGAGGCAGACAGCACAAACCCCTTCAGTGAAGACTTCATTGAAGAAGACGAGGTTGGGAAAGAAGAAAATAATATTCCCTGCCCATATATGTGACGCGATCAAGCTACACGAGTCGTTTGACGACCCTGGTCAATTTTTATTTTTTTACAGATTTGAAAAGAGGACAATCTCAGCATTACTGCTATGAAAATCGCAATCTGATACCATCTTTAGTTCAAAAATTAAGGAAGTCGGAACACCAAGAGATGTGATGAAGTGATCTTATTTTGGCCTGTATCTTCAAATAAAAATTCCCGACAAACGACTCATTTAGCTTGATCGTATCACACATTTGACCAGTCTCTCTGAAAAGGTGTAATAAAAAGCTGTATCCTCTCTGAGTAATCCTCGTTTGCTATTTCCCAGGTTTGGGTGTGATCCCTGTGCACATGGTAAATAGGGGTTTATGGATTCTGAATTGTAAGCACCTTCCTCAAACATACTGACTAATTGGGGAAAACACCAACATAGGGCTGGGTAGCTCAGTTGGTAGAGCACCGGTATGGAATTCTGGCGGTCGCAGGTTCGAACCCCGCTCCATTCTTTTTTGTTGTTCAATTATATAATTATGACATTTGTTTCTTGGACAGGAGATCAGTCCTTTGGACAAGGTGGACTTTTCCCCAGTCTACCGATGTCTTCACATCTACTCAGTGCTAGGAATGAGAGACACGTTTGAGAGTTACTATCGCAAGCAGAGAGGGAAGCAATCCAAGCTAGCCATCCAGCCACACGGCAACATGGTGAGTCGTTGAATTGATTGGCTGATTGTCACGCAAGTAAACTGTTTGACAGGCATCTGGACTTTTAGCGTGTCATCGAGTCCGTCACAAGTCAGGTCACAAGGCTAGTCAAGTGAACTCTGACAAAAGCTGTCCTTTGTTATTGTTCATTCTATGTTGCTTGTGACTGGACTTGTGATTTTCTTCTGACTTGACTTGTGATAGACTTGTGTGATTGGTGCAACACTGAATAATAATAATAATAATGGGTACTTTATGGCGCTTTTAACTAAGACCAAGCGCTTTACATCATTATCACCCTTTCTCATTTGGCCAATGAAACATTCCAAATACAATCTCAGGTCCCTGGGGAGTACATGTATACAGCTCGATGCAGCCATTTCGGTGCAAGGTAGCTAAAATCAATCACAGTATTAGTAACTGAAGTTGCAATTTTAGTTTGGGAATTAGCGACTTGACCAATTTTCTTTTTACATATTTATCAAATTTTCCTGTACGTTATGGACGTCCTGAATTGAAGCTCAACAAAGCAGACATGCAGACCTTTTGATGTTCACTTTACTGTTTAAAAATTGAAAAACTCTGAATAAAGTCTCGTAAAGTTTGGAATTTCCCCCTTTTTTGGGTTCATTTCCATTTGCAAGCCTGACAAAGGAATACATTTCAAGCAGAATTTTTGTTTTGCATTTTGTGTATTGTTCTTGTTAATTAAGAATCTGCTGTTGTCTGTTTATTCCTTTGATTTCATCATTCAGTATGAAAACCTGAAGCATTACAAGAAGTACTTCTATCAAATTTTGGGGTAAGTTGTCACGTTAAACCTGTTTGAACAATTCAGGAATAAGTTGTAATTGAGTAATAAAGCAGATTTTCCCCAGTTGTTTCTTTTAATTTTTTTAGTTTTTTTTAGGGAATAGTAGTGTGGGAGAGCAGCTTTAAACCTCTGGTTAAAATCCGATAAGGCCCGAGCCTAGGAAAAGAAACTTAAGAAACTGTTGAAATAATGCCAAATTCTGACGGTGTTGTGTTCAGCAATTTTACCTCATGTTCACGCTACTTCCATGGTGTGCCTTACGTGCTCATTCTCCTTATATAGAGATTGTATCAGTAATTCTCAGTCACCCGGTTGTAGTACATAGGCTGTGCGCATGTGGTGCGGAGTGCAGTGTCTCGCGACTAGATTTAAGAATCGCTTACCAGTGTTTAGAACGACAGTTTAAAACTATCAACGTGACAGGCTGTCGACCATTAAGAATGGGTAAACTGTCTCAGGTATTTATGAATTTCTGTCCAGGTTCTTTGTAGTAGAGGACCACATCCTGAACACAACGGAGGGGCTGGTAACGAGACAGTACCTAGATGTCTTGTGGAACACCGCCCTCTCGAAGATAGCAGCCACGTTACGAAACAACTCAGTGAGTAGTTCACATTTTGTAATATCCTTTTTTTAGAAAAGCTTGCAAAATCTGAGACTACTCTGATTACATGCATGTAGTTGCCACCGGGAATTTTGTTGTAAAATATTATATAGATTTGAGTGAGACAGGCAGGCACTATATTTCTTTAAATTATTTTTATCTGAATTAATTTTATTTCTCTTTCAGGCCTACTGCACTGATGCCACATTGCTTCTTCAAATTAAAGACCAGGTGGTGCTCTTCACGCATACATTAAATGTAAGGTACCAATCTTTATGTGATTAAATTGTAAGAATTGAGATATATTCTATTTCCAGAGCAAGAGCTTTCCAACGGTGCATACACATTTTTGGGAACTGAAATGCAGACTGCCATCTTAATTGAAGCTGTATACTACTTTTTGAGAAAACTACGGTTCAAAATCCTGTTATAATGCAGTGAATGAACAGTTAACCAATAACAAGGGATGAAAACAGGTTTTGAAAGACATTTTTTAAAAGAATAAAAATGGGTGCAAGGTAGAACAGGACTTATGGATTAAGGTTCAGCTGAATAGCAAAAAACAAAAACTGTATTCAAATTTATCATATCCACCAGTTCACCAAAGTAGGCAATGCTTCACCTTCAGTTGTAAGATTTTGGACTGATGTGATTTTGTTTATGTTGCCGTTTTGCAGAGTTACGGTTTCAACTCCACGCCGATTGTAGAGCTCCTGCTTGACCTAAAAGACCAGTACAACGAGATCCTGATGAACACGTGGGTGCAGGTGTTTAGGTAGGTCAAAGTTCAAACAGGCAGGCAGGGGGTACATTTAGGTGCAGTCCGATCCCCCCCCCCCTTCCCACTTTTCACTCAAAGTCTTGATTCAAGACCAGCGTTAAATTTTGGCCTCCTGCAAGTGCAGTCAAGCCACCTAGGTAGTTAGAGGGTGCTATCAGCAAGAGTCAAATCAAGTCTTAGGAACTTTGGCACTGATACCCGAGAAATAATACTCTGCTCTGCACCATTGCCCTTGTGACCTCATGATGCTGGGTACTCAGCTAGAATATTTCTAGGCTCACATGTGTGCACTGCATTAAAAAAATTGCTGAAGAACTATAGGTCTCTCTCAAATGACGTCATTTGCCACAGACCAGCCACGTGCATCGGCATTTTGAGCGTCATCTTGCATAACACACATCGACTGCATCCTATTTCAAACACATTTCGAGCAACAGGCGCCCATGCGGGGTACATTTTCAACACTGCACAATGTGTGCTTGATTGCGTAAAATACACAGTTGCAGTTCTCCTACAGAGATGGCTGTCTTTAAGAGAGACATATAGGCTCGCCAGATTGCAGCGATCAAATCATTGAAAGAGCGTAGCATTATTCTGTGCGTTATTCTGGGCCATGAATATGATAATCACGAGGAATATGTTAATTACGATGATGCTATTGACAGATTAAACATTTCCATGCTGGAAATTAGATGTGAGAGCCTGCTCTGCAAGTTCAGGAAAGAAGCTCCTGTTATCAACATTTTGAGAGACGCTAAGACCAAATAAAATGTTAATGAATTTTATTGTCTTCATATTTGCCAATCAGCGAGATCTTTGATAATGATAACTACACGGCCATCATCGTGGAGACAGAACAAGAGTACAACGAGATCACCAGAACCATTCCATTCAGCAGTACCGAGCTGGAAAAGGTACAGTTTCAGTTTTTAATGTTTAGTTGAGGCCACTTGCTTTCCCAAGCTGTAAGACCAATGCATACTATTTTCTAGATACTGTAGAGAATTAGTCTATGGAATAGAGTTTTACACAGCAAATGTCTATGATAACGAAAGGTCTATGATACGGAGCAGATTCGGGGAATCCCCTCGCAAAACAAGTCCGCGTCTTGACCTCGAGATTCTGACCATTCAACGGGCGCCTTGTATCAGGTCCTTTCGTAACCCATTGTATTACAAAAACATGTCAGCCAAATTGACCAATCAACAGCTTTGTCCACATTTTTTATTGAAATGACGTCTCAGTTTCTAAAGTCGACTCCGATTGGCTGGCGCGCATACAATTTGCATTGTTCAAATATATCAGACGTTGGATATGGAGATAGAGGGCTCCATTCGACAACGGCTGATACTCAAATTAGTAGAGAATTGTCTGGAATTAAAATTTTACTGAATGAGTGTTTGAAGTGCTCTTACACAATAAACAAATCTTGTATTCTTGTATGTTGTATTCTCATTATCTAAATGAAGGTCAGTCATTGCAAACATTTGGAAAAGACATGAATCTGGGAATGAGAAACGGTTCCAATTTTGTTAGAAAATACTTTGAAAGTACACTCGACTCTCCATAGACTTTGTGCACAACCAAAGAAGCGGCCTCTGGATACTACATTCTTTCCTTTTTTTTATATTAAGCAAAGGAGATGAGTTGGCCTTGATTTAAAAGCATTGGTCTGCACTTCTCTTCCTGTTTCATTGTGTTTTAAAAATCAATACAATTGACTGTTTTGGAGCCTAGATCTGCTCATTGTTCATTTTAGCGTTTTTCAACAACCAAAGCTCTGCATAGTTGTACATATGTTTTGGGAGCCAAATGGGTTTGTTCAATCTGGCCTAATGTCCGGTGTAGCATGTTCGTTATAGTAGCTTTCATTATTTCAGCATTGTACTTTACATGTAGTACAAGTGTTTTTTCTTCCTATCCCTCCTCTCCCCATCTTCTCCCCACCCCAGTTACCTTACCCGAAGAGATTGCCCTTCTCAGAGTTCGTCCCCAAGGTCTACCAGCAGATCAAGGAGTTCATCTATGCTTGCCACAAGTTCTCCCAGGACCTGCACCTGACGCAGACGGAACGAGACGACATGATCCGCAAGTCCACCAACATCCTGCTCATGCGGACGCTCAGCGGCTGCCTAACGGCACTCATACGCAAACACAGCCTGGGATTGATTGAGGTAAAACACGGGGGTTTAACGTTGCTCCCTGTAGGAGGATTCCGCGGGGGTAAACTAATTTGAATGTGCTGGTGTTAATCTCTGATCCCTATGTAAAGATCAGTAGTTTCAGTGGGACAGTTTAGCACATGGGATCATATTTTTTTCATGCATTTTGTTTGTTTTCAATAATAACACCACTCAAAATCAAGAACAGAATGTTCAAAACCCAACCTGTTGAAGTTTCAGCTCAGTGGATTATTATACTTTTTGAGAAAACTCAGAAAACCATGTACAACCTGTCGACCTTTTGATCATGAAACACAATTCCATCTATAGCATCTGTATTTCCAAAAATCAGTCAACTGACTGATCGTTGGAAATCACTCAAATTTCATGATTCTTTCTTAATGACAGCAAGCCAGACGGAATAATTACACGGGGTGTTTAGTATCATTACTTGTGCACAGAGTTCATAGTTCATAATATGTAGGTACAGGATGTATAGAGTGCACACAAGCCCTAAATCTCTACACAGCCTTCCCCCCCCCCCCCGAAAAAAAACAAAACAAAAAAAACACCCAAATGTTTAGCAACTTTCTGCATTAGTTAGCATAGATTAATTTTGCTATGCTTAGCATGTTGTTTTACGCAGTACTTTGCTTATCCTTTCAGCTCGTGCAAGTGACAGTCAACACCATACACTTGGAGAATGCCTGCAAGTACCTAGAGGATTTCATTTCAAACATAACAGGGTGAGATTTACAGTCAGAAACAACAAAGAAATGTCTCAAATTCAAGCAATCTACAATAAAGAGAAGTTAGAGGGACAAATTGTGCTTAACCTGCAGTGTGGTCTTGAAATTGTGACCCAAGTCGCCAGAGCTACATGTACCACACACATTTTGTTCATCAGTCAGTCAGTCAGAAATCTAGTGATTCAGTATGTCAGAGGACAGTAGGCTGGAACTTTGGGTGCCCCCCCCCCTTCCAAACAAAAATAAAGAAAAAAAATGGGGGAGAGAATATAAAAATTATAATTTTTTTTTATAATTTATATACTTTTTTTAGTTTTTTTTTTTTTTTTTTTTTTTTTTAATTGTTGTGTTTGTAATACACCCCTTGTTATTGTTTTAAAACTTAATATTTACGTTTTTAAAACTTTAGAACAACGTTATTTTCATATATATATATATGTTTTTCTGAGCAGGACAACGGGCGACAACATCCACGCGGCCGGCCTGCAGAGCACCAACATCTTCCGTGACGCCCGCAGCGAGGCGGAGCAGGAGATCTACAAGAGACTCAATGCCAAGGTGGACGACTTCCTGGAGTTGGCGTCCTATGACTGGACCCTGGACGAGCCCAGGGGCCACGCCAGCGGGTACATCATGGACATCATCAGGTTCCTAGAGGGAAGCTTCAAGGCATTTGTGCACCTACCTGTAAGTAAAGCACTCCAAAATATCGCTACTCCAACCTGACTCCCCTGTATTTTCTGTATCAACAGATATTCTATATGGCCATTTTGTTGAGTTATCTTAAAGGTATAGTCCATCATTTGCAATTTGTGCATTTTGTTCGTTTGAAGCAAACAAAAGTGCTCAAAATCTAAAGAATGGTGCTGAACAACTAATCTGATGAAGTTTCAGCTCAGCTTCAGCTGTATATTTCAAGAAAAACAACTTTCTAGGTTCTCAATTTCAAATTAAAACTTGCTGAATCATGTTTTGAATTGGGCCTGAATTCAGGGTCCGAGACACGTTCTCACTAGCCGATTGGAGCTACGCGATGTCACGCACCGATCCGATGAATTATAGCAACCGTGCGCAGGTGTGCGTCGTGTCAACGCTTGCGCGCGCTTCGCCGAATAAAACAAACGAACTACTAACGGAAATTTCCAACGGTGCTTCTTAAGACACACCGTTGGAAAGGCCTTCTTTCGTTGATTTCTTTAAAATGACAGCTTGCCAGAAAGAGTATAATTTCATAGGGAGTTTAGTCCCCTTACTATCTTTCAACCAAGGATGTTTTTCAACAATAATTACGCCAGTTACTTTTTGGATAGCTGCAAATGATATCTATACCATTTTCTTTTTGCAGGGTAAGGTAGCCCAGACAGCCTGCTTGTCAGCATGCAAGCACCTGTCACAAGCTCTGATGGATTTCCTACTGGATAACAACATCCGACTGATGACCATGGGTGCCATTCAGCAGTTCAGCTTCGACATTATACAATGCGAATGTAAGATTTGCCTATATTGAGGTGGTGCAGAATTCATTCTAGACCAGATTCACTCTTGTTTTGCCCATGTCTGTAGTGGACTTGGCCAAATGTTTTGGTCTATTCATGTTCGAAGTCTATCCATGTTTGAGGGAGAACGCTTAACGTCCCTTTGTTTTTGTTGCGATTCCAAACAGTATTTGCCAACTCGGAGCCCGTGCCCGGCTTCCGCGAGGGCGCCCTCCAGATGACCTTTGTGCAGCTGCGGCAGCTGCTTGACCTCTTCATGGTCTGGGATTGGTCCACGTACCTGGCCGACTACAACCAGCCCACCAGCAAGTACAGTCGCGTGAACCCCCACACTGCCATCACCATACTAGAGAAGTAAGTCGATCTCAGGTGGCACTCTCCACCATGTACAGTCCCAACGCATTAGAACCATACACATACTGTCTGTGTATAGGCTTATTTGTCAGTTAAAAAAATTGTGAAATTAGCTCTGTCAGAAAAGTTGAAGACAGGTTTGTCCCTTCTATTTTTTAGAATCGGGTGGCAACTTCCAAAAACCCCTCACAGGTATATAACAGCATTTCATCACCTTGGGAAACACTGAAGGTGTGAATTTCTTGTACCAGCCTTGATAAGTTGGACAGTGACAGGCCATACGACAATCATGATCAGTCTGTAAAAAAAATCACCCATTAACAAATATGCAACCAAAACTGACTATGTAGAGTCCGTCTTTTATTTGTTGCTGAAGTAATGCCTCTCCTGAAACATTGCCATAACTTGTTGCGCAGCTTGTGCAATAACGTGTGGCATAAAGTGGACATGAGTTACACTATATGCTTCAAGTTGTACAACTCTGCTTGTTGTATCTAACTTGTCTGTTTGCCTCCTTTAACGTAGGATGAGAGACTCTGAGAAGAAAAAGAGCAACCTCTTCACCAACTTCAAGAAGAACGACCGGGACCGTAAGAAACTCATGGACATGGTCCTGAAGCAGTTGAGGGCTCTTGTCAGCAGCGGACCACCCAGGGGCTAGAAGATGGGGGGGGGGTGTGATACACCCTGCCCACCCCATACCCTCTTCGCCACCTTGCCCCTTCCACCCCCTCGCCCTCCCCACTCCCAAGCCATCCCCCCCCCCCAGTTCCCCCCCCCCCTCCCAATTCACCACCTCCTTCTTAATCTTTGACATATTTCTTGAGGACGTGTGGAATTGTGGATACCGATCTTGCCAAAGTCCGCTCCTACTTGCTGCCCGAGGGAAATGAGCGTTGGGATGGCGTGCACTGTTCAGCCGCAAGATCGTGGAATGACCGTCTATTATTTGGTTCATGCTTCAAAAACGACTGAAGTGCAAGTCCGATGCGATCCCTAATGATTTAAAAAAAAAAATTGTGGACGCTTTGCGCCGGAGAGTGAAATTGGGAAATTCATGACAACATAATCGTGGTTGGAAAAAAAGGGCATTGATTTATTGGAATATTGTACTTTGTACTATCTGTACTTTGCTACCTGGACTACTGCAATTCTGGGAGTTACTGGGAGTGGGAACTGTACAGTATGGATTTACGGAGTACATTGTTTGTAAGACTGTTGTATGCCTGTTACGTGTACCTTGCCAATAGGCAGGACTGGAGTGACACCGGCATGCGCAAGCTGCTGTGGACGTAGAATATGACCTCCCTTCCTGCTGAGGTCATCATGATATGAATAATTCATTAGAGGCAGCCAGCTTATGTGTCTGGATACCCCCATAGACCGGAGACATGATGATTCTTCACTGGTATTCCACACTGCATTGTGGGAGCTAGATTAGAATATTAAGCCAAATTGGTATTTTAAATGCAAATTCGGGCTGAACATAAACAGTGATCTCCAAGACAGTGAAGCCGTATTGATTGTTTGTGGCACTTTCTGCAATAATGCAACCCCTGAGCCCCCCTAGATCTGCTACTGGAATGAAATACCGCATTGGCATATTATACTGCACTGTCGTAATCAGGCCATGCATTTTGCTGGCAGTGGAATGTTTTTGTAGGACATGAACGTCTGCATAAATCAGTTTCGTTGGTGGAGCAGAAACATTAGGGACATGCATGGTGGACCCACTAATCTCTCCATAATGTCCTCCAGTGTTTCATCTTATGCTAGGTTCACACATCCCGATTTTTAAGCCAAATCGCCGCGAATACCAATTCTTGAGTAAATCGGGGATAGTTCTAGGCTGTCTCTGGATGATTCTGTTAGTTCGGTGAAAGATTGTTAAAGATCGGGAAGCGCCCCTGACAAATTTGAACATGTTCAAAATTGACGGGGTGATTCGGGAACCAATTTCAATTCTTGGTTTATTCTTCTTGTATTCATAACTATTTCGGGAATGTGTGAACCGAGCATAAGATTTCAAAAGTGGCCGTCCTGCATATGAAACGGCAGATGATTTCGCACTTGGCTCAGTGTACAGTGTGACATCATTATGTCTCAGGGGATGGCAACAACAGCACACAGTCGTACGGATTGACATCAACCATGATATCACCTGCTTACTTTTTTTCAGGATGAAATCATTTTATGGTTATTTGAAATTTTGTTTTATCGCATGTAAAGATATGCATGATTTATTGAATGCATGACTGCAGTTTGTACAAGTGTACAAAGACACATAGATCTTACAATTTATATTTTGGATTGCAGCAAACTGCAATATGAGCGTGATTTTGTTTTCGTCTTTAAATCCATGTAAACTAAAGCAGATTAGATAATGTAGGAACCATCCGTTTGTGAACTTTACAATTGGTATCATTGTAGGGAATGTAGATGTACATTTATGATGATAAAAGCTTCAGAGGAGCAGTTTACTAGACATACTGCTGTAGATTTTCAGGCCACGTTGGATCGTTTGCAAGTACCCAGAAAAAGTACAGACTGATTTAATGACAGAAACCTTGCTCCAGATTAAGATAGAACTGGGATCGAATACCTTGTGAGACTATTCCGACGGAAGTGGTATCATTTGGAAGAATCGCACACTGCAGGTGGTTTCAAATGAGGATGCCCGGAGGCACACTGTTCTTTGTGCATTAGCAGCGGAAACTTTATGAAACCCCAAAATTGTGTATTTTCTGTAATTTTCTTTGCATAGCTGAAACTTCACTATGTTAGTTGTCATATGTACCCGACTTTTTCAGTTGAGCAATTTTGTTGCTTCTCATGAAAAATTTAAGCAACTGATCGTACTTTTACGCACCTTTAACATTGGCGGTGCAGTGCATGTCTTCTGTTTGCCTTTTGTTACAGTCAGTGGTGTAACTGGGGTGGGGGAGGGGCATGTCACCCCCAGCGGAGGTCTCTCCCCCCCATTTTTACAAGCAATATATCAGTTGCCTTCAGTTGACGCCCCCCCCCCCTTGAAAAATTGATGCGCCTCTGCCCCCCCCCCCCCCCCCCTAGAAGTTTAACCAAAGTTATGCCGCTTGTCATCTGTTGCTTTTGATACAGATGTATGGGACACTTATAAACGTATACACAATTACACAGATACTACAGTAAACAAACTAGAATATTTTTTTTATTAACAACTCAAAAATGTACATGTATAAAATATGAATACAAAATGAGAAACAACCAAACCTACTCGCAAGGCATATCAAAAAAGAAAGAGTGGGTAATTCTGTCCCATATTGTAACACCAGATTGTCCTTTCTGTTATTTCTCATTAATAAAACTCTTGACGATATTTCCTCCTGCAGAGAAATTTAAGAACTTATTCAGAATCCTGGACAAACCCATGGTGTGAGGGTCAGGCGTGAATTGACTTTAAATGTCCCCTCCAGTAAACTGCTCAAACTCTCCATTTGTAACCGTCGAGGGGGTACTTACAATGTGCCCATGGAGTCCGCACTGTGGTTAAAACTTGGAACTTACTAATGGTCACTATTACCAAAAAGAGTTAAAATAAATTGTCATATATAACAAAAGCTAAAGCTAACAATATTCAAACATGCTTATTAAACAAGTATTGGAACATCTGTCTCAGTGTAACCAAAAACTTATGTCATAAACTTAACTTTGACAAACTTGTCAGTGCAATTTATCTGGGTCATTCTATAAAGTTGGGGTCTACATGTATGTTTCTTTCCCCCTTTTATGTACGTCCAACATTCTTAATGCAGTCCTCCAAAAGTGACTTTGAATTGCAAACTACTGTACCTATACCCAACAAATAAAAAAATATGTTGTAGTCATTCTTTCTTAACACTTGAATGGCAAATTACCAAGTATCAAGGTAACAGGAAAAGAGAACATGTCAGACTTTGGACCATACATTTCTAGGGTGACCCATCTTTACCTTGGAGTTGGCACTTATTTTTTCCCCATGTTCATTGGCAAGATTCCATTTGGCATGTACAACTGCTGTGGCCTCGTGATCTCAGAGGGTTGAGCTCATGGTTGTGGGTTCAAGTCCAGCCTGGGGTTGTGGTGCATGTGCCCTTGGGCAAGGCACTTTGTCACTCATTGCTTCTCTCCACCCAGGAGTAAATTGGGTACCTGTGAGGGCAGAGCTGGTTATTGTGATTGAATTAGCTTCCTTGCGCCCAACAGGCTGCATCGAGCTGTATACTCCCCAGGGAGCTGAGATTGCATGTATTTGGAATGTTTCATTGACCCAGTGATCAAGGGTAATAATGATGTAAAAAGCCATTTACGTACCCGTTATTATTATATACACGTAGGTCAACACTTTCCCAACCTTCTTTAGATCAATTGGGTGCAAAATCACAGGATACAAAATCGGGCCCATGATAACTTCCATTCAGATTATCGCATGTATCAACAATTATCATCTTGATGTACTTAAAATCCCAAATGAATGTGTGTACCTCTAATCTTTGCAGCATTACAGTAACCCAACAGCTTTTCCAAATCCTGAATACTATTTCTTTTCTTTCATTTTTTAAGAGGGGTAACAATTAATGATAAACATCTTGTGCCGTGATTTTAATTTAATCTCAAGCACTACATGTAATAAAAACCGAGAATAAATTAATAAAGAAACTCTTATAAAAAAAATAAATAACTTCTTTGTATTTGTTGTCCTTTGTCAATGACACAAAACTAACAGGCAAGTCAGTGAGCAACTTTGGTGGACATTAACTTCTGCTTTTAACTGCAAGACATTTCAGCTGGATCCAGTTTAATATTATAACGGTATAGATCGATTGAATTCAGCAGCCATCGTCGAGTTTTGTTCTGTTGCGTTTGTTTCTGTACCACTGTCATTTTGCCTTTCAAAACGGTCCTCCTTTGGACAGAGGTGTTAGGCCCACCAAATCATAATGAATATCCTCCCTACTGAACAAAACACAAACTTCAATGATAGCTGCAGTGCAAACAATCTACTTGTACATGGATCGTATTGTTCTTCTATTTTCATTTAAAACTCGCAATGGCTAGTTGTTTGCCGAATTGCCGTTGAAGTACATGTATTGCATAAGATGTGAAACGGCAGATCATGCTCCATGCATGGCAACTGACCCAGCAAAGACCGACGGTCATACGAGTGGCTGCCATCTTTGCTGTTGGCGATCTCATTCTGTTGCCAATGCCACAAGCATGTGTTATTTATTGGCCAATTGGTGTGGGGATTCTCAGGCCCTTAACTGTTTTAGGCAGTCCCAGTCAAGCATACTGTGATGCCTGGACTGCATTCACTGTGGCAAAGTTTTACCAAACAGTTAATTTTGTCCTACATACATGTACATGAACCTCTCCTTATCAAGTCTGCAATATGCATTATGTGATCCCTGTATGTATTCTCAGGTTTGAAGCATTGCTAATGGTGCTGGCATCACAACTTTTTGGCGTGATCCCTGGCTACATGGCACACACGGTACAGGTTTATGGCTTTCGACTACCTCCCCTTGCACAAAGACATTGACAAAATGGGGAACCGCCAACATAGGGCTGGATAGCTCAGTTGGTAGAGCACCAGAACGGCAATCCAGAGGTCATAGGTTCAAACCCCGCTCCAGTCAATTTCTTTCTTCAACTTTAAAATTACTATAATGCGCCTAGTCAGCTTCTCTTAGTGAAGATCTTGACATGACAATGTTCTGGATTTGGTTGAAGTTTCAGGTGACTTATACGTGATACAATTATTTTTGGGTTTTTTTGGACCAATAAAAATTGTACTTAATAAACAGTTTGAGTCTTCTGACCAAAAAAAACATTAAAGAACAAGACCACCTGGGTCAGATTGTTTTCTCTCTCTCTTATCATTCTGTCGCTGTTTTGCACAGCATTGGACTCTGTGCAGGAACAATAGAGGGCACTTTGTGACCACTTTGGAGAGCCCCAGTGGGAGGGACACACTGTTGTGTGTATGACTCAAAGTACGCTCGACTAATGTTCTGAATCTGCACAATCCCACAATGTCTTCTTGTGAGTGCCAGGTGCGACTGGCAATGCAATTGGAAAGTCCCTCCCAGTGCTCTCCCCCCCCTCCAACTATTTTCTCATAACTGTTGAGGGGGTTACTTGTGCACAGAGTCCATAACTCTCTTGCATGATTCATTGTGGAGACTGGAATTACTTGAAAATATTAAAGTTGCCCCTGACTGGACAATCGTACGTCAAGTGACCCTTCTGTCCGCACTTGCTGCAGAAGATAGTCTGCCCGAATTTGGACTCTGTCTTTGGTTTCTGTACCTCGCGGATCTCTGGCTCTGGCTCGGGTTCCCCGTTGGACATGTTGGAGGTCTTGGCCCGTGGGGCGTACATCTTGAACACGTCACACTGGCGAGTTCGGTGTTTGTTGCTTCCACACAGAGGGCACGCCATCGACTGCTTGGTAGGCTCAGTGGAGCGGCTTGCTGTCCCCAAGGGCTGCTCTTCCTTACGTTCCACAAGTGAACGTTGAGTAGTAACTCCTGGCCCTGTCGCTGCCATCACTCCTTTGTTGGGAGCTCCGCAACCTTCCTTACCCAGGTCATCATTTCCTGGATTGCCCTCAGGAGTTGGGCTTCCTTTTTCATCCAAAGCTTTATCCATTTCCTCTGGAACAAACTCTGGTGCCCTAAATGCCGTCTGCCTAAAGATATCTTGAATACGCTGCCCATTTTGTGAACCTTTAACACCAAAGTAATCTGTGGCGACATCAAGAGTGGGTTGAAAGGTGTCTTGGATATTGCTTCCCTTGGGTCTGGGAGACAAGCCCTTGACAGTCACCAATGATGGAGCATTGTCATCACCTGACAGAGTCTGTGGTGCTTTTGTGTCATGTCCTACTTCATTTCCTTGACGGGCTTCCATGTCTTTGGTCTGGCCAAGTGTCGAGTTGGGGTCATTATTGATCACAGATGACACAAGCTTCTGGTTCAGTGACCCAACTGCCTGACTCTTCTTGGCTTCTGCAGAATTGTTTGTCTGCTCAACAGTAGCTTCCATCATTTGTGTATCTCCATCTTTTCTGGCTGCACTCCTCGTGGGTCCAGTAGTTGCCTGAATGAAAGCCAACGGGGAAGTCAATAAGCCTGTGGCTGGGGAAGCCCTCCCACCGCCTTGCTCCATCCTCATCATGCCTCTCCCCAAGACATTAGAACCGCATCTCGGAGACCCAGCAGCCACAGCTAAGAGGCTAGGTGACCCCTTCTCAGACCGCCCATAGAAAGGCCCTTGACTCTGTCCCCTTTGGGTATCTAGCTGGACCTGGCCGCCGCCATGTCTAGCTCCCTCTAGTTGATGCGACAGCTCCTGCTGCGGCAAGAAGACTTTGGGTGGTCCATAATCTCCTGACGATGCTGAAGGTAGCTGTTCCAAATCGCTTGTGCTGTCAGACTCCTCTTCCCAGAAGTTCTCTTTCTGCCGTGGCAACCCTCTATGTCCAGTGCCTGTCTGTCCTTGATCAGGTTGCTGATGTTCATCTGTGGCCTCAGAAATGGCTCCTTTTTCTGCCCTGGTCAGAAAATCAGCTGCTTCTGTCAGGCCCTGCTCTTTAATTGACTGCAGTCTGGGAAAATGAAATGAGACTGCCGTCTATAAAAATGGTATGAAATGTGTGAGTCGGCCATCTGAACAGTTTACATGGTCATGAGTTACCATGTGTTTGCCATGGGCTCCTTGTTATATTTACTGGAAAGTACCGGTGGAAGAAGAAATGAAGAAACATGCCATGATGATGTGAAAGCCACACTTTGTTCAAGCATTTTTTAATGAAATTTTATGTTCCCTTTTGGCGAAAATCAACAACATACATGTACCGGTATGTTCACTCCACCTTCTGTAAGGGGTTTGTCGGTGCTTAGATTGTTCTGCTTGACAAATGAAGAAGTTAAAATTAACAAATGTCAATCCGTTTAACTTCACAGCAATCGTTCTGTTTACTTGGCATTTTAATGAGCCAAGTGTTTGATATCGTCCACATTTTTTTGTCCACTGACATGAATCCCAAGGGGACATCAAAACATATCTAGACATCAGGCACACTTTAGCAACAAGCTTCATTCTTGAGCCTCTTGGTTGCATGTTACGGATTTAAGATGGCAGCAATGCACCACAAAAGAAGTCTGTTGGGTCTCACCTAGTATCATGATCCTCTGCATCATTTTCCTGGCCATCTGAATGATAGCATTTTCCCAAACAGTTACTGTTGTTGGCAGAGAGCTGCTTGGACGTAGGACCTCCTGTCTGTGGCACGGTATCAGGGGTGCTGGACTGTTTAGCAGATTCTGCAGCAGCCAGGCCTGTGATGCCAACTTGGCTTGACAACTGGATAGCTGGACCGACCGTGGTGGCCATGAGTCTGGACGGAGACGGTACAGTAGAGAAATTGCCAACTGGGCCAATGGCTGCTGTGTTGACGGTCCGAAGCAGAGAGTCCTGTGTGGTTTCCGGCCGTTTTGAAGCATTTGTTTGTAACGACAGGCCGAGTTTGGGTTTGCTCGGGGAGCCTTCTTCATTTGAAGCCTTTGTTTCTCGAGGATGGTTTAGGTAAACGGGGGACCAACTGTTGAGACTAGCAGTTGACACTCCAGGAACGAACTGATGTGGTGTGGTCTGTCGGGAGGCCATGAAACTGTTGCTGACCGGCGACGATGGAATGTAAGGCACTTGGAATGGGGTTTGATTGAGAACAAAAGCTCCCCGCTCGGCAGTTTCTCTATCTGGCAGCTTAAATCTGGCCGTCGAGCCTGCAAGGAGGAAAATGAAAAAAATCCAAAACTTTAAAGTACTACCCCAAACTCTTTAAGCACTTTTGATAGGAGCCCTTCCTGGATCCTCCATCCTCCATTATGCAAAAACATCAACAGTAAATTCTTTTCTCACGTGCTTGTACTCCCTACTTGCAAGGTTATGAGCCAAGCATGCGGCTTTTCCGGGACAAAATTATGGCTTTCCATGACCAATTCCTATGCTGTTTTTGGCATCTCATGGAGCCCACTGCTCTAGAGACAAAGGAACCCACTCCCTTCCAGCCTTCCACAAGACCACTAAGTACCAGAGAAGAGCAAGAATTTCATGTACAGTAATTCTCTGCTAAATATACCAGTATGTTAGACAACATTTAGTGCAAATTCTACTGGCCCTGAAATTTTGACCCTCGGCACAATCTACATCGAAAACCAAATGACTGAAATGCTCACATAAATGGTATGTCGATGTGAAGTGAATCAAAATAATGGATGACATTAAAGTTCAATTCTACAAAGTTAAGGAGTAATTTCAAATAACAAGAGTATAGCTTTTCAAATTTTACACAAAGAAAATACCCACCACCATCCACATTGAAGGAGGCCTGCTCTGCTTGTGAATCACCAGCACTGGCATCCGGACGGTCACTTGCATTCTGTGCCAGACAGGAGCCATTCTTTGGTGGGACATGGACAGAGACATCACTGGCAAGAGATGGGGACTGCATCTTGCCCTCGTCCAATCTCGACACATCTGAGGTCACAGGTTGACTTGGGGTTTCTTTGGCTGCAGTCACATTAGCGTCTGTCGCAGGTGCTGTTGAGGAGGCATCTCCCCCACCTCTGACTAAGTTTGAGCCTTCTTGATTGTCTACAATATTGGTCTGGCTGTCTTGGGGACTGTTTTCAGGCACTTTTTCTCCATCCACTCTGTTCTGACTCTCATCTGTTTCTGGTCTGCTGTCCCGATCATCGGCAGTCTGTCTCTTGGAATCTAACGTGGACTCCGTCTTGAACTCTAGCGACCACTTCCAGCCGACTGCTCTTAACAGGAGAAGGTCCAGCATGGCCTCCTTAACATATCTGTGCCAAAAAAAGGAAACAGCAGATTTCTTCTGAATGGCTTGTAAGAAAAGGAATATTGAAATCAATAAAAACTGTTCTTTTTTTTTTTTTCTTTACTTTTTTAATCAGTAGGTCTTTCTTTGCTCATGATGCATATTTCCCTCGATACTAGTGAAGTACTCGTGAAAATGGCATCACTTGCATCAAATTCACATCTCCTCATGGTTCTGCTGATCGGCAAATATATTAACACAAATTTCAGACGGGTCGGTATCGCAGCCTTTAACCTACCTTGGCTGGTTCCCAAGCACCTGGTCCCTCAGCAGCTTGTTGTACTTCTGGTCTTTCTGTTCGTCCAGCTGGGGACCGATGATGATGAACAAAGCCCTCAGACAACATGCGTAGACCTCAGAAAGCATTGAGGGATCCTCTGCTGTACCCTGTTCAAAAATCGCAATTCCACGTTTGGATATCAATACAACCTTGTAGGTGCCATAGTAGGTATCACTGCACCCCATTTACGAATATAGCAATTAACTACGTGTACTCCCAATTGAAATTTCCTTGCAGGACAATTTCTTTAGTGGAATTGAACACCACCCTCTCCTCTCCTCTCTCCCCCCCCCCCCCCCCCAAAAAAAAACCCACTACATTTTCATTTTCCAACTGCCCCCGTTGTCTGTGGACAAAACATATAGTATATGGGGGGAAATAGTTGGATGGTTTGGGATATTAAAGTAAGATACATTTTAAAAGGTATGTTGAAGCTTTAAAAATGACGATAAAAACACTATCTCTCGATTTTACAAATCAGTTTTTGTATGGCATTTTTTGAAACCTCACTTTCATCTCTATTTTGAGGCCCCAGATATGTGGGACATCTGCTCAGTGTAGGTCCATGCTCAACAGACAAGTGCACAAGTAGGGGGGTTGGGGTGTGGGTGGCTGACCATTGGAAAGGACATTCAAAATCATTGTGGACATATAAACACTCTGCGCAATGACGTTGTTTAACATATTTAAGCTAAGTGATGCAGCCGAACCAGAGATGAATTAAGGGAAGGTTTTGACCCCCCCCCCCATTTCCACCTCCCACCAGACCCCCTAACACCCCCCTCCCCCTCGCCCACCCACAAAGAAAAATAACTCTTCTTACCTGCACATCACACATGATCCACTTATTCACGGTCATGTCCAGCAACTTGTCCACGATCTCCCTGAAGTCACTCGCGACACTGCGGGACAGGACAAACATGTTTGCCACCAGGCCACTGAATGTGGCATACAACTTCTCTTTATTGGTTGCCGTGGAGACCTTCAACAAGAAAAAAAAGAGAAAAAAAGACCATATCATGATTTTGATTCTTGGCCGTGCACATACAGGGGCTGACTTGGGAGGATTTTAGACCCTCAAGTTACAGTAACTCCACTGCATCAATGTGGACATTTTGACAAGCATATGTTTCAAAGTGCCAGTGTTCAGATGTTCCATCAGCTAGAGCAACTAAAACCTGAAGCTTCCAACAACAACGCGACACCGCTGCAACCGTAGCTACCAGCGACTTGAAAGGACCCCACGGCAGAATCTTCCATAATGGATGCAGTTACAGCAAAGGAGTGTGTGACATCGTTTAATAGGTGATGCAGACATTGTTCTTGGTTTTCTTCCACAAACAGCACTAGCAAAAAAGCTTCCAATCCCTGAAGATACAAAACACCGTTGATCCAGACGTATAAACCACTTTGCCAACAGTGAATCTCACAGCTGCTGAATGTCATACGTTCCACTTTTCGTATTTATATAGCACTGTTCTCCCTTTTTAACTTTCTTCATCCATTCAAAGACAACACTCTAACAAATCAGCTCTCAACCACCTCTTCCGCTTTCTCTCTCGAGACCACAAAGAACATCCAAGACCATCCTAGCGGAATAAGCAGCATCTAAATTTAGTTCAAGATGCAGTGTGGACGCAATGACGAGGTCTGGTAAAAAAGTTCATCAGGGAGCCATCAGTCACAACACTGTAAACTGGGGACCCGAAGGAGATTGTTAATCTTCACTGATCAGGACAAGTGAGGATGCGTATCCTCCTACGGTGACAGAGCAAGACTTCCACATACATCTACATGTACATACTTCTACGAATGGCTCTTTCTTGAAAAACAAATTGGGAACTTAATGACCAATCAAGATCAAAGGCTGCTCAGAACTTCCACAGCTGACCACATCGATGAGCTGAAGATCTGCTTTGAAGAGATGATCTTCATACAGTTATGATGATGCCAAAGTTCAAGGTTCAAGGGGACACACCTTGCAGGGCAATATTTTAATATGTCCTTAATAAGCCACATGCAAACCCAGCAAGCAATTTGCAACCGGCTCAGAGCCAACATTAGCCTAGGCCATAGCCAACTATCTGGACACTAACTCAAATTCTTTAATTTCTACTGCTTCCAGGAGAAGTTGGGAGGAGAACAATTTTACAAAAGTTGTTGCTGACAAGTATAATAGCACAATCCTGCTGATCCTAAATCTTGCCAAATGTCTTTCATATCGTGTGGATCTCACCTTATCTCTACCACACGGTCATCCACTGTCTCCAAAAGCTTGCGTGAGCACCTTCTCCAAAAGGATCGACATGTACATGTATATTCCGGATGAAATGTTTGTTATTGATGAGAATCAACACTTTCTTTAATAGTCCAGCCACAACAAGGTTCTCAAGAGTTCCAGCCATTCAACAGAGGTACACCATGCTTCTCCACTAGCATCTGCTCCAAGCTGGAAGGGGTCCTCAGAATTCAAGACGGAGTCCCGAGAATCCAATGAAGGGTTCTTCTTCGATACAAAACCATCCACTGCAAGAACATGTCACACGCGGGAAGAAGTCTGAAGAAGTTTTGCAGCAATTGCCACCAGGATGTAAGGTTCTCGTTGACAAAAGAAAGGAACAGTCAAACTCTGTTAACTGATCAAAAATTCTCTGAAACGTGGCATTGCAAAACGTCTGAAGAGGCGGGTATACTGCTTCCAAACAGCTGCTCTGATTTTCAACATCCGATGCATCAAGATCTGGACAAGGGTGAGAGACACTCCCACTAACAGGCTAAAGACACTCCGTTTCCTGTCCTACAGTGCTAAACATATTCAAACAAAGAGCATATGACCACAGCTATGCTGAAAAAAAAGCAATTCTTCTTCCTTTAGCCCCCGCAGTGTGTTTAACGGCCAAGTATAATCAGTGAGCTGGCTCTCACCTTTATATACTGAGTGTGCCTCTTCATGATGGTATTTGTCAGATCTTCCGCAAAGTTCTCTGGGTGCTGACCTACAAGCAATGATAGGTAGAAAAAAAAACACACATTTATTAACAATTTAATAATAATGTGTTTATCAGGCCCCCGATGAAACATTCCATAGACCATATCCGCACCCTCCGAAGTATTGAGCTGAATGCTTAATGCTGCTAATTTGGAGTTGGCTAAGCAATGCAGGCTCTTGTATGGACAAGAGCCAGCGATTACGAAGGGAGAGTTGAGGGAGAGCACTCGGAGGGACATTGAAATGCATTGCTGCTGACGCCCTTATGCGCATGCGAAGACACTACATTATAAAACAAACTTCGGCCAGGGAGGACAGGAATCAGTACGCGCACAGTGTGTGTGCCTCAAACTGGAACACACTAGTGGTAAAAACATGCCATCTATTGTTCACGAACTGAGTCCATACACACTGATTGCTACACGTAAACGGATTGCTACTAATAATCCACTCGCTTTCATGGCTAGGCTCTTTGTCAAACCAGGAGCGTATTCTTCGCAATCAGTACAATCCTACCATGAAGCTCTTGTATCAGCTTGCAGACAATCTCCACTATCTCGGGCCGTTCCATCGCCCATCCCAGGATCTCATCCAGGGCAACAAACTGCTCCTTGGGCCAGGGGAAGCAGGCCAGACGGCCAGACTCTGAAAGAAAAAAAAACAAGGGTAAAGACAGTCACCACAGTGCAATCGTTCAAACTTAGAACAGTGACTTGGTTAAAAATATTACAATCAAAATAATTTCTTAAAGATTCTACATATTCATGGGTTACGAGAAATATTGCAGTCGGGACTAACACAAGTCCCGTCACAAAGACGGGGGTAAACAAAGATAAAGGAATGCCTTCGTCACTTTGAATAGCTTGTGAATTGACCGTGGTCTAGATTTGATTGAATTGTGATGGACTTGGTGAGGATTTGTGATGGACTCGACTACAACAGTAGTTAAAAGCATCTAAGATTAAAACAAAGGGTAGCCACTCTTATGACCTACCAGTCAATCAAAAGCCATGTCCCAAGCATATCTGAAGCGCACTCACAAGTCCGTTCAAAACAGGGGATGACTAATAACCCCAAAACAATGCCTTCGTCACAGTTCATTTGAACAGGTTGCGACTGTCTAGTGTTTGACTTGTACGGAGGTGAGACTGACTCGACTACAATACTGGTTATGAAGTTTAAAACCGTAGGGTAGCCACTTGGATGACCTACCCGCCTTCATGATGTTGTTGATCTCAGCGGCAGCAGCTGCAGCATCCTGTTCGTCCTTCAGACCTCCCAGGACCTTCCTGACTTTACGGACGATCTTAAAGCTCTGCCACTCGTACTCATTCTTCGCCTGTTCCTGAGACAATGCTTGGGTGGTTTCCTGGGGTTGTTTGGTGGGCATAGGGGCGCTGTGTGCCCCAACTGGCTTGGTGGCTGGGGACACCCCTGCACTTTGGCCATCTTTTTTAGTCATACCACGCCTGTTCAGGTATATAAATAATATCGTCAGACACACAACATACAGTCAAAAAAATGAAAGTCTAACACACACCAAAACAAGTCAATGATTTTTTTCATAAGTTTTTTGTTGTTGTTGGACGAAAGAACAGTAAAAGAAAACAAGAGATTCTTTCTGAAATTGTACATTGTATGATCACATCAATAAGCTTGTCCATGTTCTCAATCATGCAGGTAAGATGGTAATTACAAGGGAAGATGAATCTGATACACCAGACTTGTGTTATGGTTGAATGGCAGCATGTCACATACATTCCCCGACGTTTCATCAGACCAACTGGTCTTTAAGCGGCAACTGGTTGCCACTCAACTTCAACTCAAGTCAGGTTGATCAGATGCATCTTATACTTGTATCACACCTTGTTCAACCAAATTGCAACAAGAAGTCTGAAGATTGAGACTAAATCCTCCCTGTACACATAGGTTCACTTATGGTAAATCAGTAAATCCAGCCCTTCCTTTTTTTCCAAATAAGAAAGCTGAGAGTGAAAGGATGTTTGTCCTTTACCCTTTTGCCTTGTCTTTCCTGGCCCATGGTTTCTGCTGTGATTGGACACCGTCCCTCTTGTGTTTGATGGATGCCTTGGACTGGTTCTGGTCCATCTGACCAGGACCTCCCTGGCCTGCTGGCTGAGGTAGTAGATCACTTGCTCTGGGAAGGAATGCTTGTGACATTGTCTTGACACCTGTTGCAACAGACACAAATGTAAGATTTCCTAATTGGGCACCATTTAGTCATCATTATTATTATGTCTAATCATTCTGGTATTGAAATCAAAAATTCCCCTAAAGCACCGGAGGCACTCAGCTGTGGTACTTACTGCTGTCAAGTGGCGTATACCCTCCGCCCAATGGAATGTTGTCCCACACAGAGTCTGGCACGGCAGTAAATGCGGAGCCATCCCCTCCCATGTGGGTAGTTGCCTTTGACCTCTCGGGGTGGTGTCTAAATCCCGGCGTTGGCCGAGTGTTTTGAGGAGGATAGACACTGGGCTGGGGTGGCAGTTGAGGGATACTCGGCTGTCGTAGAGGGGGCTGAGTAGTGGCATTAGGAGGGCTAAAGGGGACAAGCGGAGGCCCAGGGGGGGGGAATGGTAGACCTGGGAGAGGAACCCCAATTGGGGGTGGAGGTTTGGATGTATCGATAGGTAGCAAGGAGATTGGATCTAGCAGAGTGGGAGAAACATTTTGTGGGAGGAAAGGAGGAGTGAGTGCGGAAGGGAAAGCTTGCTGCTGAATAGGCCGCCGTGTCTGATCTTGCCGTTGCTGTTGCAGTTCCTGTGGTGGCGGCGACAGCTGCTGCTGTTGCAGCATCTGCTGCAGTGGATGCTGCCCTTGTTGATACGGTGGCTGGATTGGTTGGGTGGGCCGCGGCGAGCGCTTAAGAATTTGCACCTGCGGGCTACGTTGCTGCTGAGGTGACACTGCGGGAGCAGGCACATGTGACTGCTGTTGCTTTGGCTGCAGCTGTTCAGGGGTTGCTGCTATAGCTGCAGGAGGTACATGCAAAGGCACAAATGGTTGTTGCTGTTTCATCTGCTGCTGCTGCTGCTGTTGCTGCTGTTGCTGCTGCTGATGTTGCTGCTGATGCTGCTGATGCTGCTTCTGCTGTTGTTGCTGCTGCTGCTGCTGCTTCTGCTGTTGCTGCTGCAGTTGATGATGCTGCTGCTGCTGATGCTGCTGCAGCTGCTGATGATGATCAAAGTTTATAAACCACTGCTTCTCTCCGTCCATTGAAGGCAGTGAGGGTTGTCTGTGTCTAGGACTTGAGTCAAACTGGTTCAGTGGGGGCCGCCCAGCCGCCTCACTTTGCTTAAACTGCTTCTGGAACTCCTGAAGCATATGTCGGCGTTGAACCTCCTGGAATAATGAGCCAGGGCCCTCCATTGCATCTGATCTGATCTGACCCTGTTCGTTGTGTGTGAAATCTTGCCCCAAATGAGCAGTTACTTTCATGTTTGACCTGTCAGGAGAGGTCCAAGATGCTCCTGTGAAAAAAAAAAATTGGAATTTACATAAACAATCTGAAATCTGTGTACACCGAGCCAGCATATCTACATGAAATGGTACAATGTACTTATTGGAGAAGACAAGCCCTTGCATATGAATGCAACATTAAGTACGCATTCTTTTAATTCCATTTAGCTCCACAGTCAAAGAATTAACAGTACTGTAAATCTATTTCTTTATGTACTGAATTTGATTGCAATATCCTGTCATTCTTATGAAATTGTGAATTTGAGTCCATGGGAAAATATTTAATAGTATGGGATTCAGATTTTTCCTGTTTAAATTTTTTTTTTTTATTCTATCCTCATTTCAAATTGCACTCCTGATTATAATTTCTAAATAAAATCTATCAAATTTGAAGGCCAAAACACAAAATATTTGTGTTTGCGTAAACAGAATCAAGTCCAAATATTTGAATTTTAATTTCACGAATATCATGCAATTTTATACAATTTAAAGATTTTGTTTCCTATTTCAACTGATTTTTAAATCTGCCATGGTTTGGCACAGACAGACGAAAAGTGTTGATTCCATAATCCGAGATAATACTTGTACATCATTTAGGTACATTGTACAAGTGAAAATGGAAAAGAAGGGAGTAAATATTGACAATATTACTTAGTTTTTCATTGGGTGGAGGTGAGACTAGTGATCGGCTACTTGCACGTTGAGAGGAGGGGACGGAGACATCATCCCTGAAATCTACAGTCATCCCACGCCCAAATCCAGGTGCACCTTGCATCATGCAAAGACCTGGAGGAAAAAAAAGACAATCATCCGGTAACTTCTATAATGAATACAGTATAGAGGTAGCCAGAGTTTCTTTTTTAAGTACAGCAGCCTAGAGCTCCAAACTTACGGCATGTACGGTTCCAATTTAAATTGGGACGGTCCCAACTTAAGTGTTCCAGTTGGGCTGACCAACTGGGGCACTGCTACTATGCACGGCAAAGTCTTTCAACACGGACGTTAGAGGGCATGCATACGAACCATGCTGTTTATGTACACATCAGTCGCACATGCACATGGTGTGAAGTACCAGAGAAACTGAATTGCATGTTATGTGGAAAGCGGAGCCCGATAAGAACGTGTGACATTTCTGGACCACACAGAAATTTCTGGAATGGTCACGTACTCAGGGATGCAACTGGAAATTTAGAAAAAAATGAGTAGGCTAAACTCCAAACAACAGAAGACTTTGTACAGTAATTTTCAATTTGTAATGCCATTTCAGGAGAAGTAAAGAAGTAAAATTGTGGCAAAGTGCATAGGTACGGCTGTTGCCTGTCATTCAGTATTAGTCTGAAGTGCGCCTGCATGCATGCACTTTTGACCAGAGTTGGATGACAGGCAAGAGCTGACGCAAGCGCAGTGATGGCGTGAGTATCACAACCCATGACGTCATTGCACATGTTGCAGCATGACACTTTCGTGAACAATGGCAGCCGAAATTCATCCGAATTGAACCCCAAATTACAAGATAACTAGACCTCCGAAGGTAATGAATTCAACGGGTTTTATTGCTATTAAGCAGTTATAAAAATAGAATACTTGGAGTGAATATACTGATAAAGTGATAAAATAATTTCGATCTTGATTTGATTTTCTGCTCCCTTAGCAACGGGGGTGTACATGTACACGCATGCCACAGGGTATATGTAGAGAGTGTGGCTGAATATAGTCCGAGTAACTAGGACTCTACGAATCGCCTTTTTTAACATTTGGAGATGGTCGGGCGATAGTAGGGTCCTATGATCTTAGAGTACATGACGATACCAATATAATAACCTATTTTGCCTTTTTCACTCGTACCCCCCATCAAAATCTTCAGATTTCACCCCCAAAACAGTCCTCAAAGTAACTGCCTGATGCCCCCCTGAAGGCTTCTGTGGGAATCGAAAATACAAATGGTGGTGGTTAGGTTCATATACATGACATACATGTACCTTTGGGAAGAAAAGAGAAATGTCACCTTCAATTCGGGAAACATGTTGCTCGGCATATATGGATTAGCTTGGACCCTACAATCGCCAGACCATGTCTGAATGTTAAAAAGGCGAGTTAAGTCCAAGTTACTGGGACAAGAGACGAAGAAAAAGTGGCGTCAGTCAGGTTGCAACATTCTGATTCTTTCCGTATTGATAATGACCATAGGCCTACACTAGTCCGAGTAACTTGGACCCAACTTATCGCCTTTTTTAACATTTGGACATGATCTGGCGATAGTAAGGTCCAAGCTAATACCGAGACCTAGACAACACAGTCCCAAAAACCAACATTTTCCAACAAAAAACATCAGATTTCGCCTTCAAAACGGCCTCCAAATTACTAGATATGTCACCTGAGGTACAAGTAGACATAGATGATTAAGATGGTTGTACTTACGTTTACTTACGATCCGGAAAAAAGTGAAATTTTCCGTTCAATTCTGAAGACCCCCTCTGCCTAGGTTGTCGTCGTTGTGCTCACGTTCAAAACTGCATGATAATGGCGTCTGACCTCGACCTCATGCAAATGTCGGGACAGCGCGCTTGCGCATAATGCACTGCATACACGGCAGATTCCCCTGCGCCGCGCCGACGACTGTTTCCTGATGTAGAGCGCCAGCCATGCGCCTGGCTAGCCAGCGCGACTCCTAGGCGTACCGCGAACTTACACAGCACTCTACATCAGGAAACAGTCGTCGGCGCGGCGCAGGGGAATCTGCCGTGTCGTCACGACATTTGCATGAGGTCGAGGTCAGACGCCATTATCATGCAGTTTTGAACGTGAGCACAACAACGACAACCTAGGCAGAGGGGGTCTTCAGAATTGAACGGAAAATTTCACTTTTTTCCGGATCGTAAGTAAACTTAAGTACAACCATCTTAATCATCTATGTCTACTTGTACCTCAGGTGACATATCTAGTAATTTGGAGGCCGTTTTGAAGGTGAAATCTGATGTTTTTTGTTGGAAAATGTTGGTTTTTGGGACTGTGTTGTCTAGGTCTCGGTATTAGCTTGGACCTTACTATCGCCAGACCATGTCCAAATGTTAAAAAGGCGATAAGTTGGGTCCAAGTTACTCGGACTAGGCCTACACGTACTTCTAGAATTTAGAACTTACATGTAGAACTTAGGCAGTCAAGGCACCCGTGTCCACAGGGGTGCCTTCGAATTCTACCACACTGGTCACACTGCCTTGCACTTTGCAGTGGCCACTGGCAGTGCCATGTGACTTTCTTTTGCTAAAAATGTCTTGCAGTTGAAAATGAACACAGAATATGATAATATATAAAAATTTAAAGTGCGTGCACACAATGCATAAAACGAACAACAATTCAGACTAGCTGGAGTTACCCAGCCCTGAGTTTTATCATTGGGTTGTCTATTAGGGCTGGAGCGAATTTTTCTCGTAACTTGTAGTATAGGCAAAAATTTTTGGAAAATGTTCAATTTTGTCCTCGTTACACACTAATTGCAACTGCAACTCAACTGTTTCATGCACTATTGGTTGCGGTTCCAGTACCAAAGCTGTGATGCGAGTGGTAAACCTTATATTAGTGCATGAAACAGTCATCGGGTGTTACGCTTCCGCGTGACGTCATGCGCCAACAGCCAGCGCAGCCGGCAAAAATGAGTAGTTGACAGCGATCGCTCTCTGTGCCTGTTAATCGACCGCCATTCATTGTACACAATTTTTTTTGTGCACAAACCAATTGCGGTCCTGGCCAATCCAGCAAGGTTGTCAAGTTAGCGGTTATTCCTCCTGTTTTCACTGCAATTGTAGGCTGAATCTTCATCGTGGATCGTTTTTTACTTCAAGGACCTGTGTAATGGTTATTCCAGGCAAGTTTGGGGTGAGTTGCAGTTGCAATTAGTGTGTAACGGGGACAAAATTGAACATTTTCCAAAAATTTTTGCCTATTAGTATTATAGGCCTACTACAAGTTACGAGAAAAATTCGCTCCAGCCCTAATACTAATACTAGTAATAGACAACCCAATGATAAAACTCAGGGCTGGGTAACTCCAGCTAAATTCAGACTAGGATTTTAGGAAATAATCATGAAGGTGTTTGCAACGTTGGCATATGCAATAGTCCTGGTTTGGTCAGGACAGAATCGAAATGCAGACTAAAAAGAAAGTTTCAAACTTACTTCACTTTCAGTCACGAACTTCGAATGAAGATCTTGCGCGATTTGCGTGCACTTTCTGAATTATGAAGAGCGCGCACGCAATAACATGTGTAGACTGGTAAACTGCTCGCAATGTGCTTGCTCAGCACATACGGGAGCCTAGGAATCAACCAGTTGTAAATCATAAATTGAAAAGTACTTACCCAGTGGCCACAATTGTATTTCCCACGAAGCGCCAGGCACGAACAGCGCGGCAATCCGGCCTCCCCGCAGATCAGACCGCACGTGTTCTAGTTCATGAGTCTGGAGTCACGGTGCTGATGATAACACATAGCAACCGATGGAAACTGGTGTGCAAAGGGATAGATGCTTGCATCGGATGACGTCAGCCCATCCCCTATAAATTTAGAATACTTTAATTTAGAAACGATGATGTGCCATGCAGTTTATATAGTCAAAATTTCCTGTGTGGTTCATTGAAAATTTTATATTGATTAAACTGAGTGGGGTGTAAAACATATCTCTCTGGCCTGAGAAAAGCTATACTGACATTTTAACATTTGTCGGTCTGTGGGCGAAACTAGTTTGGGGGCACATTTCAGGTTCGGCAAAAAAACTTTTAGGTCCAATCAATGTACGTAAAATGATTAACATTAAAATCTTTTTTCTTCAGCACAGACTTCAACACCCGGCACCGCAATGGCGCGGCGAAATTTTAATCGCGAAACTAAATACATGTATCCAAAATTTCCAATGGAGGCCATCTTAAAGTTCTCTCTCCGTCTTCAGGACTGTTAACTAGCTACAGGCGCGGTTCTATAGACCGTTTTTTTTCTCCGGACACTTGTACATTAATCCTCCGAAAATCAATAGGTGGTGGGCCCGGGTGGGGTGGGGGTGTGGGGGGGGGGGAACTTGGCTCCGTGGATAACGGGTGATACTCAGACAGATACTCAGGTGATGACAGTCTAAAGCATCCTGTAAAGTTGTGGCCCCTCGTGTGCTGACATTTTCAAGAAATATTGTAGTTTTTCCAACGCTGGTCGGTCGACCAGCGTTTAAATGTAGGTAATAAACATATTATTCATGACAAAAAATTAAAATCACATTTTGACAAAATATTTTCACCCTCTCGATGTTGTGCGACTTAATTAATACCCTTTTTGTGGAGCCGAACACATTTGCTATAACATACATTCATTTATTCCTGAAAATTGCAGCAAAAGCAAATGTTGTACATTCCCTTTTAACAAGGTTACATTCTTTTGCACTGACATTCTTTTTAACAAAACAATGCCATTGAGTCAAAAGCTGTCGACTTATTTTTGTCCATGGAGCCAAAACAGATGCACACAGCAATGTTCCACGTTTCTCTGCCTATTAAGACAAATAGTTTTTGACAAGAATTCTAAGGAAGCCGAACGGCCTAGTGGTTAGATTCGTCGTCCGCGATTCGCGGAACCCGGGTTCAAATCCCGTCGGTGTCTTTTTGCTTTTCATAAACCACGCATTCTCAGTCTTTATAAGATGTTTTATTTCCCGTCGTAAAATACCAACAGTACCTTAGCTTAATCGGTAAGCACTGCTGCTGGTACTGTCCGCGAGTTCCAGGTATAGGCGCCTTCGTACAGGTTCAGGGCATGTGGTCCACTCGGGGGATCAGGGCTTAGGGTGCCGCCCTGTTCCTCCCTTAGCTCTTTGCTTTTACATGGTGCCTGGCCCTCCGGGGTTATATGGATGGATAGGGAAGGAAGTGTGTATTGGTCGGGAACGCCGAGATCCCGGAAGAGCCCTAAGGGGTTGGCTGGGGAATTGTTATGGCTCAGACCGATCCCTGAATGCTTGGCTAGCACATAACTTTTCGATTTTTTTTTTAATCCTCTATTTTATTAAACTTTGGTTTAGTTTGATATGTACATCTGCTCGGCAGGTCTATACGGTGATATTAAAAACGAGACAAAGGTGTATATCATAAATCAATGAATATTTGATAATAAATTGGCTATAATCAACATTAAGTTTCGTTCGGTCAATATGACTACCATTATTAATGGCGTAATTTGCAATTGACGTAAGAAACGCCATATACAGTATTACAAGCAAACAAATAAAGATGTGATGTATATTATGGCTCGCACCATGCGGGGGCGCTGTTCAAATCCAACGATTATAAATACTATATAAAAGATAAGTGTACAAATACCCCCTAACCATTGCATTATTTTTAAAAGCAATTTCTATGCAAAATCTTTTTGACAGAGCTGGGGGTGGGGGGGGGGGGGGGGGTGTGACCCCCGAACACCCTGATCCGCGCCTGGGCGACTCTTGTACAGTGCTAGTGTGAATTCGATAGCATATGCCGGCGCAACGTCAGATCATACGTTGTGTCAAAAGAAGTCTTTCTTATGATCCTCAATAACTATGTTGTTTACAAATAAAGGGAATGTACATGTACATCATTGGCTTTCGAAAGTCGAAACCTTATAATTGTAATTTGCCGCGCGTCAAAGGAAGCACGTTTGGATATGTCATGTGGATGGACCAGTTACACAAACTTACACAAGACATTGAATAAAAAATACAACTTTTTATTAAATTTCTCGATGTGAACATTTTAATGCGGAAATGCGACATAATTTTGAATGGAGGAATTTTTTTAACAATTAACAATTGTCATACCGGGCCTTTTTTCACTAAATAAAATAACCGTTCTTTGGGAGACACCTTGAAAAAAAAACTTTGACATTTACAAGAATTTTCATCTCACTTAACAGCTTTTCAATACCATTTTGCGACGGTACGGGGAAAATCGGGTAACAGTAACAGGTAGGAAATTGTAATATGTTGATATTACAGGGATAAGCAAGGAGAAACCCATTAAATACATGTACATCATATGCATAAATACAGTACATGTATATACATGTATACACATGTATTCATACCGGCTTTGAAATCAAACTATCCTTACATTCTCTCTGTATTAACCAAAATGTTATCAATTCTGATCCTGGTGTATGATATTAACCAATTAATTTCTAAGATATTCTGGGTCACAGTTATACGATATGTGGTCAGAGTTTGATCAGATGGCCCTCCAGGATGCGGAAAAGCCCTTTCGGTGGTTGGACCCGTCCGTTGTGAAGCGGATCTCCATGCGGTTGCTAAGCGATATGATGTTCCCATTCGGTTTCTCATTCCCGCAAAAGCTGTGTAATTAAAAAAAAGAAAGAGAGAGAATAGGGGATTTTAAGGAAAGTACATGGGACCAAGGTTGCATACCTATAGCCGAGCTGAAAAGGTGATCGTCTTCCGATATCAAGCCCATATAGACGAAGTTGGGAGGTACGCATAGACTAAAAACATTGCACCCATTCCGCACACATAGGCCTAGGCCTATGGCTGACCAACATGAGGACCACAGGCGCGGTATAGCAGACAGTAGCGGATCTAAGGCGGGGGGGGACCACTCAAACCCCCCCCCCCCCCCGTTCACCCGCTGACCTATGTTATGAAACTACAAGCAGTAAAATGGGGCTAAAAATAATAAATGGAATGCTAAAGCTCCTAAACTTATTGTTGATTTGCTTTAGAATGCAGGAATCGTCGTGGATTTCAAATTTTTCCGAAGGGCATGCCCACGGACCCCTAGAAGGGCGTACCTCCCCGTTTCCTGAAAGCTAGATCCGTCCCTTGGCAGAGATCGATTTTGATTTGCCTTATAGGCCTACATAGTGCACACAATTAACTTATAACAACAAAATTGGAAAAATATCGCCGACCATGCCAACCCTCTTCTAGAAAAGATTGTACTTACACCATAGGAACTCGCTCGTTGCCAATACGGATAGTTACTCTGTCGAAGTCGCAGTTGGCATTTTCTTCGACTTCGAAGACCTGGAAAGTCAGTCGAATCCTTTTATTGTCGGCCACCTGAACAAAAAGATAAACATTGCCCAACATATTATGTATCATAAAAGGCCTATTTGCATGTAAATATCGATTGAAACACAACGTGATAGTCTCAGGGGCGTATCAAGGACCAAAATTGGGGGGGGGGGTGGAAACCGGCTATATAGCCGGCCGTTGAATATTCGAAAAGCAGAACGCCTCATTTGGCGCTAGGGGCGCTCTTTTCCCCTTTTTTATCCCTTTTTATTCATATTTCACAAATCCGTAGAGGGAAATGGGATAATTAGCAACGATTTATAAATAGTCGCTTCACTCCTCTTCTGGCTATATTATTTTTGAAATAACGTAAAAAATTATTACCCGATCTAGTAGCCTAACATTATTATTAGTAAAACAACAACAACAACAAAATGTGCATGACAATTAAGTGCAACGGTTAAAGAAAATGTTCAGCAAGTCACAACAAGGCTGAGTAAACAGGGTAAAGATTCTCATTACTTACGTATCAGGATAATTTTAGCAATTTAGTGGTCAAACCCCCCCGCCCCCCCCCCCCCCCCCCCCCCACAACCTAGCCCTGTTGAAATGGTCTGGCGACGGCCGTGAAAATTAAGGGTGATGGATTTTAATACAATCACACATCGACCTGAAAGTAAGGCCTTTACCTGTATAGTCCACAGGCAGTCCAGATTCTCTCCATAGGTCTTGGGATAATTCGGAGTCCTGATGTTGCCTTTCTTGCCATTGATTTCACCGCCGCAAACGGGGACTATACACAATGAAACGACACGTGCACAATTTCATAAGAACAATCGTTGATAACTAAACTGAATGTGTATTCAAAAGTCAAAATAATCCGAGTAGACGCTCTGCATAATAGTCTCAATTCGGTTCGTAAGTGTGACGTCATTTCAACTTAAACCACGCCCACTGCATACGCAGTATCGTTGTGACCATTGGAACCGGAAGTACCGTAGTGCAAATGAAGTTGCGTTTTTAGCCAATGAGCGCTATATAAAATCCGTGGCGTGTGCGCATGTATGACGAAGTCACTTACTAACCGGATTAGCCTACCTATCATAATGATGGGCGCTGGCATTGTTATTTTCATCTAGCTGGTGATTGGTGGACTTTATCAAACTTACATTCAATTAAAATCAAAGCATAGAAGGTTTTCGAAACCACGACTTTACTTTAGTCTCCGTTTCATTTCAGGCGCTGCGTCGACATCGCTTAAAAACGTCCAATCCAAGACAATTAGTTTATTAGGTTTAATGCTCCTACATGGTGTTGCTGAAGTACATTTAGCATGGATCAATATTAAACTAGACTCTTCAAACAAGTCAGGGACAAGAATCTTCTGAAACCAGCCGCTGGCGAAGCTTTGTTTTTCTTTAACCCATATGACCTTTCAAAATGATTTTATCACATTTACCGGTATTCTCCTCCTGTTCTCCACCATTCAGCCGATAGGACGCTGTGAAACCTCCCTTGTTGACGCTGTCGTCGCTATGGAAGACCACTCTCATTTCGTTACCTTGCGACGTCACCGCCGTTGGATTCACGTTACCACAGTGCCTGGTACCACGCACAGTTAAAACAGTAAGTTCCAATAGAAATGAAAGATAACCACAAGATGTCTTAAACTAAAAACCTGCTTGGAAACTATTAACCTTAACAGTGTAATAGAATAGCTTGACGAGAAGACATCGGTAACGAAATACTCATGGGCGCATTCTAATTTTGTTTTCCCCTTTGGGGCGGAGCTAGTCTCTTTTTGGGGGAGGATGTTGGTATGAGACATGAACATGCCCTACTCACTCCATCGAATCACTGCCAAGTAGAATTTATTCGCGAGGAAGCCATTTTCAATCGTGCACCTGAAGCTATTTTGCAAATTGTAAACTGTTGAATGGGATGGTGCCAGACTATGTTATGATTGGAGTGTGTTCCAAGCCTCACTTTCATTTTGTTTTAATATGGCATAAAACATTAGGGTAGGCCTATAATCGTCAATTTTGAATAATTCATCAGAGCATACCAGTATTAATTTGTAATGAACTATTATTTCATTGTTTTCATTTCTACTCGCAAGTTCCAAATATATAGGTGTGAAAGCGCCAGTTATGGCATTCAGATATCAATCACAGTGTACGCACTTTGTGCTGAGGCCCGACGGGCCGTTGGGCTTGAGTTGGAGGTAGTCCCAGCTGCAACGTCTCTCTGCCTCTATGTCCATGTATGTCACCTGAAGTGTCACCGTCTGGTCACTCTTACCCTGAGAGATGAGCAACGAGATCGGAGACTCGGATCAGAGAGGATACAAATACAGGTTAAAGGCCTTGATGAACGGAAAGAGGCTGGTTGTATATTCCACCTGTTTACCTCATGCTTCGAGGACACACAGACACACAATTGTACCTTTCATACGGTGATATCTAGTGTGGACATTCTTTTGTTTTCGTGTAGTTAAGAAAAACCTGTTAAAAAAGCTCATTTTACTGAGTGAAAACTCTTTCAACCCATTTCCCCCCTATGATTCCCTTTAGTGTTTCTCTTCATTTTGCCACCGATAAAACTAACCCAGAAATGCCTCTAAACCTGTTTCCCAGATAGGGGAAACATTGTGTGGACGTGGGCAAGTCCACACAACTTCACTGCTACTCGGTGAATGTAATGCTTGTACATCGAAGTTCGCATACGGGAGCAGTTACGCTCATTCCTTTCACAATATAACTTGCGAAAGAAACGCAGGCGCCGCAAAAAAAAATGTGGGTAGTTCACTTGCCATAGAGAATATACATGTATTTCGTACGCTAGCGGGCCGTGCGAACAAGGAAGAGGCAGCTCTGAATCACTGGCTGTATAAAGTATATCCATTGAGAGCTGGAACGTGATATTTGGAGGATTTCAAAAGGACAACGACGATATGGAAACTACAGGCTTAATAGTAATACATTGTACATATTATTGCGTAACGGAGGAGACGAAATGATTGACAATGCATTTTGTGAGCAACATATAGCGTTATCACGTCGCACACTGTCGTATAAGCCTCAGTCATATTTTACAAACCAAGAAAAAGAGCAAACGTTGGTAACTCGATTAGCTCTGGTGCAACGTAAGTCTATCTCATTAATTAATCGCATTGTTATGTAGCACTGTCCGTATTTGGACGGTATTGTATTGTCGAGAAATACACCGCAAGTGTACATTTTAATGGCAAATATACTTAAAAGCACCATTGTATTTTCAATTAGATTGACTAACCTGAATCAACCATTCGCAATGGCTATTACTTCCATACGGAGTCGGCCAGTTGGGCGATGTTATTTCTCCAGAAAAGGCCCTCAAAGTTCCGCCGCAAGCTTTGGAAAATACAGCAGAACAAAATGGTTGACCCAATCTCATAGAGATAAAAATTCCGTGCTTTATTTCACATGCACAAGGATCTTGGTGAAATTTCGACGGATCAAAATTCATTGATAATCACTGTCTGCCAAGGTGTAGCCATAAATGCAATATGTCTAGCGCAGATGTGCATCCCAAAGACGCTTCCCTGGTAAAAAAAAAATTGCGGCTTATAAAAGGCCCAAAAATGATGGTCGTCATATACCCCCTCCCCCCTTCAATGTCTTCACTAACGAAAAACCCACTTACAGGCTGGTTGGTTGGAACCGTCCGTACCGCTCCCGGGGTTACCTCCAACTCCAGGCCCGATTGGCCCGGCTCCGACGTCGGGTTGGTTGGGTATTTCGGGCGATGTTTCAGTCTCATCGTTTCCTCCATTGGTAGGCACTTGCTCTGGTAATGCTGTATCAATGAGTAATGAATTTATTTTTATATGGCTTGTTTTGGACTTCATTTGGCCAAAAATGTCGCGAAGGAGTATCGGCCATGATCATAATTAGCATTAGTTATTTTTAACGTCAGAGCTGGATTTGCGAGCATTAGACATTTGAAGCTGGTGTGCCTTTCCAAACTCGATAGCCCTCAGACACAAAAATGACTATTATGCCGCGTATAATGATGCTAATATATCGTTATTACTCGCCACATTCGAGTAGCGTGTTAAGCTGAAAGCCACTTTGAGTACTACATGTATATGGAATACATGTACATGTAGTTATGTTTAAATGAGGGACACCGTGCAGTTTGCTAAGCAAGCATGTAGGCCTACATGTTACCAGCCCGGTTGTGACTGGTGCGCACTTGATTTCTATTTGGCACATACATGTACACTTTACATTGTCCCAATAAAATTAGGCTATCAGAAAGGGATATGTCAATTCACATGTACTTTCAACTAAAAAGTCTTTTGCTTACCGCATAATTCTCCGTCGATGCAAGATGTATACCCTGCCGGGCACCGGCTGCAAGGAGAACCGCTGATGTATGGCTTCCTGCCGATGAAGTTCCCGCTTGAAGAACAAAGGAATTTAAATGAAACCATAAGAATCTAATAAACTGTTCTCAAAATTATGACAATACCTGTTAATTCTAAGTTTCAATTCCTGAGAAAATGTTATGTTTGTCAATGCTGTGTTTCTATGGGTAGGTCTAATTTTCTTCAGCAAACAGTCGCTGCAAATAAATGCATGGGCGAACTCATCTTAGGCTCAAGGGGGGTTAAGGTTTGAAGGGGAGGGGTTATCAGGCATGTGCTACTTTGTTGTGTATGATTTTCTATTTGACCCCTATTTAGACTTTAGACTCCCCCCCCCCCCCCCCCCCCCCCCCCGCCTGTGATCCGCCACTGAAAATAAAATGTAGCCTATTTTTATCACGTCAAAGTAATGGGGAGAAAGTACTGACACTATTGACTGACACTATTAGAACATTGTATGTGTGAATTATATAGACACAACCCCGTGTTTTTTGCAATTCAATAAAACAAATTGGTTACCCTTCGCCGTAGTTGCAGACTAATATGGACGCTGGGGACCAGCCATTGAGACCCTGGATGGACGGGCAGGTTCGGAGCGCGCATCCCACAAACTTTGACTGGGCCCAAACAACCTGCAGAAAATATAGCAAATATTCATTACGAAGAATTGGGAACAACTTTTCTGAGCTATTTCTAAACAAAACCTTTATTTGATATGATATGAATTTATAGCCAAGAAAGATTAAATCAATTAGAGAGGTTAAATTAAAACACCGAGGCACTGCAACAAATTGAAAACTCTTTTCTTGAGACCATGCAGCTACGTCTACGGTTTCTCTGGGGATTGGGGACCACAAACCAAAATCATTCTTCCTCATTACAATTTGAAACAAACTTGTGCCTACCTTGTTGAACTGGACCCAAAAAATCTCACTTTAGGACATCATGATTAATTACATACTCTTTTTGATATCATCTATATTCTTAGGCAGTCAGTCAGTAAGTGATTCAGTCAGTCAGAGGACAATAGGCCTCGCTGACGAGGAACCCATTTTTGATCGTGTTCCCCGAATGTGTTTTATAACTTGTAAACTGCTGAATGGGATGGTGCCAGACTATTTATGCGTTCCAAGCCTCACTTTCCATGTTTTGTCAAATGTGGCTTGAAATATTAGGGTTTGTTCAATCACTTATTCAAAATGATTCATCCGAGCAGAATTGTATAAAATTGTTATTAACTTTATGTCATTGCTTTCATTTCTACTCGCAACGGTTCCAAAAAATGAAGATTTTATCTCGCTTTCAGTTTAACGTGGTCGACTCGTGAATAAAGCTTAAAACCTTTGGGAAAAAAGTTTAGTAAAAGTTTTCAAAACAAGCAAGACAGGAGGAGTGAACATCATTTTTACCTGTGTGTAGTGTCCACAGACGCCATTGCAGTTGCCATTGGAGTACGTGTAATACTGTTCCTCGTTGAACCAGCTCTCGATCATACCATAAAGGTCCCAGCCGGTACCGCTTCCCGCCCACAGGTTCTGGCCCACCCAGCCGAATCGACCGCCGGTCGTTCCCCCGTGCATGAACACGCACTGGTCCGCCCACGTCTGGGCCAGGTCCGCTAGCTCGTCGTCCCATTGCTTTTAAACATGCAAAATATACAAAGGGGGGACATTTTTAATGTTTGTCCCTGACGAGATAAATGTCAAACTTCATACAGGAACCTCTACTGCTCCGAACAGTTTTAGTATGACCCTTTAAGAGAGAATAATACAAACATTTATCATTTCAAAGTCGGTTATTGTTTTTCAACCAAGACAAACTATCTAGGCCTAACTACCTCTAGTTTCTGTCTACTATTTTATACATCCTTTCTCCTCCAAAAAAAAAGAAGAAGTTAGATAGGAAGTACATATGGCCTTCCTCATTTCATATCGATATACCCGACGCAGAAATTACCAACTTGCGCTTTACCTCAAAAGATATATTTACAGGAAGAAAAGGAACAATGACAAGGCGGACGACAGTTGTTTTTAATAGTGTAAATTTCTTCTGTCTTATACACACTTATACACACAAACACTTTCTTTCATACTTTGATTAAAAATATCAGGTATTCAGGAACCTGAGCGATTATATGGCACTCTAATTAGAACGATGTCGTGAACCGTTGCAAGAAATGGTAAATGTCAGTGATTGACGCCTCTTGATTTAAATGTTAGAGCTCAGAAGTAGATGCCTTTGATGTTTGTTATCGAAATCCCAAATGCAAACTTCGTCGGAATGGCTCGTGTTGAAATTGAGTGATAAAATCTGCCGACCCGGCCGGCTATCAAAACAATGACAAAGAAAGCCGTCCTTATTTGCAACGGTCCGTTGACAAACGTGAGATTTTAAAACTTACAAGTGCCACCATGTTTGCTGCGGTTGGCCTGACTTGTCCACGGAAATCATTGTGGGCCTCCAGGAGGATGAGTTGCTGCTCGCTACTCAGCCGGTTCGAGCCCAAACTCCTGGTGCCCGGTACCGGTGCGCCGCGGTTCCGGCTATTCTCCGGTCCCGGCTGCCGCCGGGACGTTGGCCCCACGCCCCGGTTCTCCGGAGATCTGGGGGCGTCCGGTACCGGACCGTTGATGGTAAACTGCGGCTTGTGCTTCAATAGGGCCTCATCGGGCTGCATCTCGGCGGTCGTCTTGGCCAGCGTGGTGGGTTCCGTGGTCGTGGGGATCATCACCGGCTGGTGTTTTGCCGGACGGCGCCTTTGGGAGCGGCGCTCCCGGTTTTTAGGCTTTGCTCCCGCCGCCATGGAGCAGATAATAAGAACTGTAAGGAACAGTCGAAGCAGCTTCATCGTTGACTCGTCTTTAACTTAGTACTCCGATGAACTGTGGTGCAACTTTTTTTTTGTGCGCACCTCGTACGGATAAGAAATCAGTTTAATCTTCTGTAATCTACAGTGTTTTGGTGTACCACCGAGTCGTTGGGTAACCTTTGATACGGTATTATGATAATCTTGTGTTCTTGTCTTTTATGTGTATTCAATGCGCTTTAATTTTGATTCTCGGAAGAGCTGGAACTTTTTTTACTGAGTAATCAACTCATCAGAAACCTTTAACGAGTGATTGTATAGTAGCCACCAGACTCTTCCATTCAACAGTCATCTTTTACTTCAGTAACAATGAACTGAATGCATGCAACAAGTTAATGCGTACGTAATGACGTCATGACTTGTTTACATGTGGGCTTTCTCATGGGTGCTTTAATTGTTATAGTCGCCTTCACCAAGCTCCCATGTAAACGAAGCGTGATAGTCTCAGTGGTATTCATAAAAGACACAAGCCAAATGTGTCGCTAGGTATCAAAATTGTCTGTTTCTATTCTGCAAAACCCAGCTTATCAACTGCACAGTCAATAACATCCCCTACGTGATTTTGCAGTGCGCCCTCACGTGGTAATCCAAGCCTGTTATTTGTTTGCCTTTCTAAAATACACGCTGGCCAGTTAATAGATCTCATACCTAATGACGTCACGCTTTGTTTACATGTGCGCTTTCCTATGTGAGCCAGTCCCACCTGGCTCTCATAGGAAAGCGCACTTGTAAACAAAGCGTGACGTCATTAGGCCTTAGTGGTTTTATTTGCAAATACATTCTGAGAACAGTTTCGTTGACAACTGACGTATCGGCATTATAGTGAGCGACTACAGTAATTGCAAAAACAAAATAGTTGCTAGCCGTTCCCGGCGAATGCACTTTATTCCCGAGTCATCAGCCATATTAAACTGAAAGCGAGGTAACCTCTTCAATTTTTGAACTTGCGAGTGGAAATGAAAGCAATGAAATAAAAGTTCATTACAAACTAATACCAGTCTGCTCTGGTGAATAATTTAAAATTTGTGATTAAACATACCCTAATGTTTTAAGCCACATTTGGAAAAATGAAAGTGATCGAGTCGTGGAAAGCTCTCCAATTATGAAGTAATCTGGCGCCATCCCATTCAACAGTTTTCAATTTGTAGAATAGATTTAGGGGAACACGATCGAAAATGGCTTCCTAGTTATTAAGGTCTATAAGCCTAACAGCCTCCTGAACAGCCTCCCGATGAAAATTACTGTCCTTGGGTAGGCCTAGCCGTCAATAGGTCATTAAATTGAAAAACAGGGAGGCCTTGGGAGGCGCTAATGACTTCCCTGGCAGGTAAGGTTCACTCAAGATGCCCCTCAGGTGTTCCCGTCTTGTAATGCCATCGGCAAGGATCTCTCATCAACGTCAGACATCTTACCTGAGTGATAGTTTTCCACAAATAGGTGATTTCTGTTATGCAATGACCACGCTGATCATAATAGGCCGGCCTTGAGTTTTTCCCCAGACGGACACAGTTTTGTTTGTTTGTCAAAAACAATACTGATATTGCTGTTTAATGCTCTCTATTATTCTTTGGAGGCCTACCAATTTTTAGCTGCAACGATGTGATACCGAGAGCAGAATTAATTTCCCATTTGAGGAGGAAAAACACTTTAGTTTCAATCTTCAAGTTTTATGGAAGTAATTGCTCTAGTGATCTGATGTCGAACACTTCCATCGTCCGTACATAATAAGTCCCATTCACGTGTAGAGGTGTCTACGCCAGTAGAGGGCGTCACACCCCACGACTACCAGAGCCGTGTAAAGACAGCTCTGCAACTGCATAGCATACAAGAACATTGCAGCATTTTGGTCAATGCTGGGTCCACTGTTCGTGCTTTTGTTTTATCACGCTGAAAATCAATCAGCGAAAGAACATTAAATTATATGACAAGCGCGCGCTTGCTGGCGTCAAACTCACCTCCGAAGTCCCACATGCATGCGTTTTCAATCAATTTCTCATCACGCATTGCGATTGAACCGAGCCGTTTCTGCCCGGTAAATGTTACAGACTGAAGAATTATGCCTCTATCAACAACCTGAACAAGAATCGGAGATGTGTTGACGTCGGGCTCAGGGTAGCGGCTATAAGGGGCGAGATCTGACCAGACTGAGAAGCTGCGTTTCTCACCTCTGCATTCCCCCAACGGGTCTGACTAATAAACCCAATCAATCAACTGAAGCAGCCGAACAATTCAGGCGGTCCGCGTATAAATATTTGATACATTCTGTCACCCACACAGACGGATTGCTAAGCCTATAGGGTATTCCACGCGATACAGAATGGTGTAGCCCGTCACCTTTGGAACATTCTTGTTTATCGCAGGTAAAATATGGTGCGTCGCCTTTTCAATTCCCAATTGTTCACAGAAAGCGGGCAATCATTATATACACTCTCGGAATTAAAAATGGACACTGAAATAAACAAAATGTAAATTGAAATAGTACAAATCACAATGAACAGGATGTTTAATCGTTTGGCGACAGCTGAGGTAATTTAGACTGAAAAACCGACAAAATGAAGTACATATGAATGGAGTCACGAAGTGCTAATCCTGTGCACCCGAAAGGACTAAAAGTCATACCTTTCGCTCGTATAATATATCCTCAGACTCACGGTGTCTAATAATCCGCTAATTAAAAGTCATGCATAGACGGTCACGAATTGTAAACTTGGAACGATGCCACTTTAATAGCAGGTATAGTCTACTATCATAGACTGTAACATTTTACATTCAGAACATCAAATCGCACACTATGGATTAAGGTCCTGTTTGGTATGGCAAGGATGGCGAACGTTTTATCGCACTATACCCAACGTAATGTTCACCTATGTTTCACTTGGGAATTTACCGAGTGAATGTTGTTGACGTCATAAAGTTTGTAATCCACACCCACTTTCCCCAAGATTAAGTTTCTTGCGGCCAACTCGTAGTACTCTCTCAAAAGAAGGACTATCGATCTTTTCCTTGCACTTGGGGTTTAGATATACGTTCAGTGCATTCACAGTAGTACGTCATCTGTATTTTTTACAGATCCGTTGTTGCGTTAAAAGAACTTCAAGTTGTGGTGTTTCATCTGTCATCAGGTTTCTTAGTCTTACCATTTGCTTGTGGCCGAGTGCTTGTTGAAAAGTAAGTATATTTCTGCTCACATAAAACTGAATACCAAATATACTGCACTCTTATGTTTTTACCAGCTGATAAACAATTAACAAATGATATGGTACCTCAACAAACCCTAAAAAACCCAGACAATAGACCATTATCATGTTGCGGCCATCGTGATTTGTCCCCATTCAAATCAACGTAACAAAAACCATTATCGTTCAGTACTGTTATTGGATACAGGGAACAATGGTGGCAGCATGATAAAGGTCTTCACAATCGCATGGATGTTTGCCAAATAAAGAAAGGCTTTACGCGATACACGATGCTCACTTGACCAAAATATTATCCTTCCCAATTTCAACCCTACTTACCAATTGTTACTAAATAAATCGACAGTCGTTCATTCTGACTGTGACAATTTCAAACTGTTGGAGAGAAAACTGAATTGTAGTCTGGTCTCCGACATCGCGATCCGAGCACACACTCAGTGAGGGTATGGCAAGTGGCGGGGAAAAGACTTGAAGCAATCGCAACTGGAATGGGCTTGGACTTGCCAAGCTTGTCTTTCTTTGCGCGTGTGGGAGGGCGATTGATCCCGGTAATATTCCGTGGTGTGGTGGCGTCTGGGCGATTATCTAGCCATCAAATAGACATGGACCCCGGAGCAAAATGAGTAGCCACTCACAGACAGAAAATTGATACAGAAGTCTTCTGAATCATCGTCCAGCCCCACATACGAATTGTGCTCAAACCTTACATACTCTTTGTGGACCTGTGAACAAAACAGGTCCACAGGATGCAGGAAGCCTATGTGGACTTGCATACGTCCACACTTTAGGTTCCCTTTCTCGGGGAAACAGGTTTAGAGGCATTTTGGGGTTAGGTTTATCCGTCGCAAAATGAAGAGGAACACTCAAACAAATCGTGATAAAAAAATTGGGTTGAAAGAGTTCACAGTGCGAGTAAGCGAGTTTTTTTTCTCCGGGTTTTTCTTAACTACACGAACACAAAGGAATGTCCACAGTAGGTGTGCAAGGTAAGGCTGGGTGCGTTGTTGTGTGTGTCATTGTATTCTTGTGACACAAAGCGGATGCTGGATTATGTTTCCAATTTGTTTGTTGAATTTGTATCACAAATTGTGTGGAGCATTCTAGAAGCCACGAAGTATGTCTGGTCGAGTTTGAAACCCAACCCACAAAGCATGTGCGTTCAGTGTGTACAGCCAAGCTCCGGCAAACATAAAAGTGCGAGTACAAAACTGAAATTGTTCATGCGAGTTCAATTCACGAATGGTAACTGAAATCCCCTCCCAAAAGAGTAAATATTGGATATCGTGCGCTTGAAAGCCGTCTTCGTGTCAGATGCCATTCAGCGGATGAGTGATATCCGCACGAACAATGTACACGACCTAATATACCTCCCGGATTGCATTACATGACTGTAGAATTAAGTCTGACTCAGTTAAAGCAATGATGCAGCTCTTTTGTGTCAACGAATCAGCATTCGAACCTCACTGCTGTAAGTAGAATAAAATTCCACTTTAGACTGATAACCTAAAAAAGTCTGGAGTGGTTCCTTGAAAGTTGAAGATTTAATAATTCATACTTGTGTAAAACGAATTGAGATCGATACTTAATATACCAAGAAAGATAGTTATTACCGAGAAAGATGCAATAGCTATTTTGAGGTCTCAGAAAATATTCCTGTATTTTAATGTTGGTGCGCAGTAACATTTAATATGATTAAGAGGTACACTATGAAACGTGCCATGCTGAATCTTATCCTCAATTTTGAATGTCACTTCGGGCATTCCTAGCGAATACCGTAATCTCCTCATTCAGACAGAAGCCACTTATCCGTTCCCTGGAGCTGGATCTCGCGCCGGCAAAGCGTTCGATTGATGCGTCATGCTTACGTCA